AATTGCCTTACGAGTGTGTTTTGCAGGCTTCCGCCAAAGCTTGCTAGTCGACGTCCTTTGCGGGCCCGCAGCATGAGGCAAAACCACACATGGCCCGTACGGGGATCGAACCCACGACCTTGGGTTTATTAGTACCACGCTTTAACCTTTTCAGCTATCCTGCCTTTTAGCCTGTTTTGGTATGGGTGCAAATGTGATGGATCAAGACCATTTTGACTGAAGACACATGAAAAGCTAACGCTAGCTCATAAGTATGTGGACACCCCTCCTACTTGCAGAGTTCAAGTGTTTCAGCCACACTTATTTCTCACAGGTGTATAAAATCAAGCAAATAGCTATGCAAACTCTATAGATAAACACTAGCAGTAGAATTGTACTGAAGAGTTCAGTGACTTCAAACATGGCACTGTCATAGAATGGCACCTCTGCCACAAGTCTGGTCATAAACATTATCCCCTGTGAGATCTGCCCCAGCAAACTGTAAGTGCTATTATTGTGACATGGATCTAAGAGTAACAACAGCTCAGCCATGAAGCAGTAGACCACGTAAACTAACAAAGCAGGGCTACCAAGCACTGAAGTGAACCTCTGCTGCATCACTCTGCTCAAACTGCCTTTAAAGGTAACATCAGCATAAAAACTGAGCGTCAGGGGCTTCATGAATTGGGTTTCCATGGCGGAGCAGCGGCACACAAGCCTAAGATCACTATGTGCAATGCCAAGCATTGGCTGGAGTGGTGTAAAGCACTCTAGGATCAAAATTTTTGTGAGGTCCGTTTTGCAAAAATGTGGCCTACATTGCATAGCGAATAAACTAACTGCTGTTTATGAGTATTACACCAACCGTTTTCTCCTTTACCAAATCATTACTCCTTTATTTTTACCCATTCATAACTGTTGTGTACCTTTTCCTTTCATTTGTTCCTTCCCTGTCCCTCCATTCTTCTATGAACTTCTATTACTGTTTCATACACACACACTAATTTGACTCCAACCCTGTTTATTTATTTAATCATTTAACTATTTATTTATAAATAGTGTCCACATATTTTGGCCACTTAGTAAAGCTAGAAGAGCAGCTCCTGTTGCTTCCTTCAGAAACGTGGTAGCGTGGTAGGGCTAAGCTGGTTTAAAACTGGTTGCATTCATGCAGTTACATATAATTAAATAAACTTTTATGGATTCCAATAATTGTGAACAAGTAATATTTTTACTCCGTTCTGTTGAATTATCCACATTTAGTTCCTGATTCATTTTTGGAGAGCCGGGGGGTGGGGGGGGGCGGGGGGTATGTCTTATTTACTGTCCTGTGTTTAGTAATGTGCTCCACGGTTAAGTTTTCTGGACTCTGGATTATTTCATTGACGGATTTTGGTCAAATTCAAACAGTCCTTGCGCAGTGGACCAATCAGCAGCCGCGTCGTGCATTCTTGCGCCTCTGATTGGCAGAGCTTCTCTCCCTGTGATTGGCGGAGAGCGCGCAGCGCGATGTTTGAATACGTTAACTTTTAGCTTTAGCGTTAGCTTCAGAGAAGACAGTCAGGCAGTGAAGGTGGGGATACATCAGCACCAGTAACAAAACAAACAGGACGAAACGGGGAAATTTACAATTTACAAAGAGGACATTTACATTCGAGGACGTTTTCTCGCTAAAGGAATCACAGACCAAGGTGAGAGGCGAACCAAACCCGCTGCTTTATAAAAGAACACGGAAACAGTGAGAGAGTCCCGGTTAGTCTTAGCATTAGCATTGTTTAGCAGCGCTACTGAGTTCGGTCACACAGAACCTGAACCTTTATCAGTTAGCTAGAACAGCGAACATCTCTTCATCACATTCACATAAAACATTTAACCCACGTTAGTAAGACGAAGCTGAAGTCAACTTCTTAATCGCCAGATTCGTTTTCGGATTTTTCCGTTCCACCTTAAATGGTACAGCAATTGCATTCTGGCGCGTCAGGCGATAAAATATGAACTGCTGCACCATTTAAGGTGGAACGGGAAAATTCCAACAAGACGTTGGCGAATAGGAAAACAACTCTGCGTCTGAAGGCTTGGTTTATTATGTTTATTAACTTAACAGGATTCCTGAAAATGTAAATTATAGTTACTCTTTTAAAGTGTTAAATTATATTGTCTGCCCTATTAATTATCAGTAATATGCATAGTCTTATTTGGCTAACACGGAAATGGGTAAATTTATAGCGTTTTGCCTTACAGAGATTGACAAGTTTAACTGTTTATCAACTAGAATAAGTTTTATTTGCACTGTAAACTGTTTTTAATGTTTCTGAGGCGCACTAGAGGAATTACAGCTGATGAAATTTTCTATTGTGAACATTAGCGTGTGTTTATAGCGTATATCAAAATCTGAATTTTTGGCCAAGTATGTTGACACATACAGGCCCGGCTTAATATTACAGGTCTCGCCCTTATAGGGTGATCTTAGGCTACCAAACTATGTAACTGTAGGCTGGATGGTTTTGATAGCCTAAAACATCTTATAAGGCCGTAGTAGTAATATTAAGCCAAGCCTGTACAACACACTTGAAGTAAGGCTGAAATAGCATCAAAAATACAGTGAGCTGTTTGAAAAACTTACTACGCTCTACTAACGATATAGGCATGTATGGTAGGACACATCGAGGGACACCTGGCCTAGGTTACCTGTGTAGTTTCTGGTTTAGAACTGGTTTTGCTACCTTTTGAAGCTCCTAAAGGGTGCAGCACTGAGGTTCTGTCTGTGCTGCAGTTCAGGTGTGGAAAACACTGCAGAGTAAAATACAAGCAGCCTTTGAATTTCTTCAAGGGGGAGTTCCACTTAATTTTTTGTGAAATACCTGCATAATTAAATGGTTATTATGCAAATAAAGTCGTTCAGAGTGGTTTAATATGAATGTGACGCCTGTGATATTGTTTTACGAAATTTCATAGCTTTTGCCTTGAATGTATTTTGAAAAATCCGCTGATGGTGGAGGGATACATGTGGGGCCTTTTAAGGCAAAAATGGTCTCCAAGAAAATGTTTTTGGGTTTAACACTATTTGCATAATCAACATTGCATGTAAGAACTTGTCTAAGAATTCTATGTAAGAAGGCACCTCTAGGTTTACTGGTCATTTTGGTAAATAAATTGCCAATATTTGCATACACATCACCACTGGTTTCTGTTACCACCACTGTAAAGAAATCTGAATCGGTCAGTTTCTGCACACTGAGCCATTTCACATCGAACTTTGTCTCAATAATTGAATTACACAGAACTCCCCCTTAAACAGCCTTTAAATAAAGAAAACCTGTAACCCTATTTCATCTCTTTAGTGTTTTCACTCTTATGCTATCATCATCTTTTGTAGTCAAGCTCTCATACTTTATTTTAATATATATATTTTTTAAAATCAATATTGTGCTCACTCTTCACCAGCTGCTATACGCGGTGCTTTATGCAAACATTTTTTTCTTTTTATGTATCAATGTGTGTATGTGCCTAATTTTGATTTCATGGGAAAAAAAGGTCTAGTGCCATGTCTTATAATGTTTGTTCAATTTCTGGAAAGCAAATAATTGTTGTTACTCAGTATTTTATATATATATAAATGTATGTGTAGATAGATAGATGGATAGATAGATAGATGTGTGTTTTGTAATTTTATTATATTTTATTTTCAGGGTGTTGCGATGTCTGCAATACTGCCATCGCCAAGCGCTGTCCTGTCAGATGAGGAGGAGTGTGGTGCCGTATTTGAGTCCACAGCAGCAGATATCGGGGGTCTCATCCATTCCCAGCTTTATGGAGCGCCGCTGCAGGAGATTTCAGTGATTGCTCCTGCAGCTGATCTTCAGATCCCTGTAAAGGAGGTATGTTTTATCTGCCATCTAAACTAAATTACCATAAGTATGTGAACACCTATTCATCACACCTGTATGAGCTGGTTGGACGTCCCATTCCAAGACCATAGGCATTAATATGGAGTGCCCCCCCTTTGCGACTATAACAGCCTCCACTCTTCTGGGAAGCTTTCCAGAATATGCTGGAGAGTGTCTGTGGGAATTTGTGCTCATTCATCCAGAAGAGCATTTGTGAGGTCAGACACTGATGTTGGGCGAGAAGGCCTGGATCACAATCTCTGTTCCAGTTCATCCCAAAGGTGTTCAGTGGGGTTGAGGTCAGGGTTCTGTGAGGGCCACTGGAGTTCCTCCATTCCAAACTGGTCACACCATGGCCCAATCCCATTTCACCCCTCACCCCTACCACTTAGCCCTTAGCCCTCCATTTTGGGCGTTCTCGTCTAGGAGTAGGGTGTCCTGATTCTTGTTGAGATAGAGGGGGAGGGCGAAGTGTTGGGGCTACATCACCCTCCAAACAGAGTGATATGAGAAAAAAAGAAAAGCCGGCAAGATGGCTGAACAAGAGACCAAAGAAACCCACAAATGTGAGAATTTTCTGTTAAAAAATTGCGATAATCATTGTTTTATCTTAGTTTAATGTCATTTCAGTGTATTATGGTCATTTTTTTCATAACAAGCATAAAAAATTGCTAATAGCGTGCTAATGTCTCGGTAGCTAGCTAGCTTTTTTGTTCCACCTTAAATAGTCCAGCAGTTCTGACACCTGAAGCACCAGAATGTAACTGCTGCTCCATTTAAGGTGGAACAGGAAAATTCGAACAAGAATCTGGAGAATATCTGACTTCAGCTTCATATCACTGAAGAATTAGGGGTGGTGATAATAAGTAATTGCCCCCCTCTTTGAAGTCATATGATGCCCTAAATGTAACTAAAGCCCAGCAGTGAGGAGCTGAACTTTACCCTCCTCTGCTGTCACTGCAGACTGGCAGGGTCGCCTACAGAGCAGCGCTGGTAGCTGTTAATGAAGTGATGCTCTTTTTATTTATTTTTTTGTTTTGTTTTTGTTAATTTTTTTTTTGTTGTTGTTTTTTTTGTTTTTTTTTCAGGGCTGTCCCATTTTGCATAGCAAGATTTTAACCACTACCCCTTGTAACTCAGTTCTAAGGTGTTAAGGTGATAAGGTGAAAATAAGGGGTAGGGGTAAAAAGAAGAAATGGGACTGGGCCAAAGTCTTTATGAAGCAGGAGCTCAGTCATGCTGGAACAGGAAAGGCTCTTCCCCAAACTGCTGACACAAAGCTGGAAGCAGATAACTGTGTAAAATGTCTTTGTGCTGCAGCATCAACATCACCCTTCACTGGAACTGAGAGCCCAAACCCTGAAAAACAGCCCCGCCCATCATCCCTCCTCCACCAAATTTCAGCCTGCAGCCCTCTTCAACTCTTTACCTTACACTTTTTGACATTTTCAAGTCAGTCGTACTAAACCCTTATAAAATATTTTTTTAACCAAATTTAATTTGATATTTGAACCTTCCTTCTAACAGAAGTCAGGCAGATAAATCACTCTGTGCAGTAACTGGACTCTTCTCTCACTTTCCTGGACATCAGGCAGTGCAAACTAAGACTCCACTGGACAGAAGCGGGAGCAGAGATGAAGCTGTGGAGAAGCTGAAGGTGTTTCTGAGGGTTCGACCCCTTACAGAGGTGGAGAAGGACAGGGGAGAAGAACAGGTATGCTTCATATTTTTATCTTCACTGATTAGCAGAGGTGTAATGGTACATGTATTCGTCGCGAACAGTCATGTTACGGACATTACGGTTCGATACGTGCAGTCATACGGCCAATACGTGGTGTGTGTGAAGACTGATGAATGTAATGCGGAACCGAATTTCACAAGTTCCACCCAGAGAACTTAAGCTGTAAGCCATTAGCAAGAGATGATTTTCAGTTTGGAACCTGTAAGGCTGTGTCTGAAGCGCCGTTGATGTTGCCTGCTCATACCATATTCTGAGGCAGGAAGGCACCCAGTAATGTCCGAGTCTAATGAGTCTGAGGTTCCTCCATTTAGCTGTTTTTGAAGGAAGTGTACATGCATCCTTCTGTCTAACACTGTTGTGATGTGTCGCTGCCTCAAACATGATCTGATTGCAGATACTTTTATCACAATGCTGCCTTCTGGGGCACTGACTTATTAGACAGTATAGGCAGGAAAGCATCGAGACAGCTGCCTTCAGTTTTGGACAGACGTCAGCCCGCATAAAATATGACTTATATGAGAATGTATCTTTACATTTTACTGTTTAATACACTACAGGCTGTAGCAGATGCTTTGGGGGGGGCTATTCAACAGTCAGTGGAACAAACTGTAACCTGTTCTACTGTCTGTTCTTATGCATTTGGGTGTTTTTGTTTGTTTTTATCCCGTTGTACTGAACTTGTACCGAACCGTGATGTCCAAACTGCAGTGTGAACCAAACTATGACTTCTGTTTACTGTTACACCCCCACTGATTAGGCAGAAAGAAACTTAAACATTTGCTGTTGTTGTTGAAGTAGTTTTGAACAAAGTATATTTTGTGTGTGTGTGTGTGTGTGCGTGTGTGTGTGTGTGCGTGTGTGTGTGTGTGTGTAGGGCTGTGTGTGTGTGCAGTCTGAAGACACTCTGCTCCTCAGAGCACCCAAAGACTCGCACAACATGAAGAGCGCAGAGAGAGGCATCGTCCAGAGCATGCACAAGTTCAACTTTACACGGGTAAACCAATCACCAGAGAGAAAACTGAACATTTTAGTCCTTTCAAATCCAGGCTTATGCCATCCTAATGTTTATTATTCAGTAACTACATGAAATACAATGCACGTCTGAGGTAATAGAAATGTGTAACAGAAGTTCAGAGTATTTTAGGGATTAAACAGAACCAAACTGATCTATAATGCACATTTAAATTTATTGTCCAGATTAAGCAGGCCAAAACATCCCAGGTAATTGTAGAGTTAGCTGTTTTTATCTCGTTTTAGGCCCTCTGAACGGAATGCAAACTGTCCTAAAAATGTTAGGAAGCATCAAGTTACTTAGAGATGAAAGCAAACTTTAAACAAGCTACAGGCTGTACCAGTGATATTCAGAGACAGGTTTTAAGTTCAAATCTTTTAATGAAGTAGTTACCGTAAAGTAAATAGTATGTTAAAAGCTTCTACTCTCCGTGTTTAAGCTGTAATATGTGAATATGCACCACAGACTTTCTTGCCGCATGTCATGCCGTCATGAACCGGCAAGTCCCGAATGACAAAAATAAAACGTGTGAAATCTGATCTGACCGCTCAAACTGAGCGACATATCCTGAAATCTGATTTGAATCAGATTCAGATCCACCTACAAATGTGGCTTGAATCCAGAAAAAGTCAGATTTGATGTGGCTTTTTGTTGTACAGACTGCAAGGAACCTCTCCTGGCTAAATCGGATTGAGCTGCCTGAGCGAGGCCTTTGTGATGCGCACATCTGGGTTGTGTTGGAGTTGACTCTTGACTCCTGCTGGAGTCGATGGAACTTACCCTTCACCTCCGCTTAATTTTTAACTCATAGCACCAGAGCCGACAGAGCAGACATTAAAACCCTTCAGAAATGTAGTTTACAGCACTATTGGAAACAGAATCTTTAGCTACATGACACTTCGCTGAGGTCAGCTCCAACTGACCCTTTTTTTCTAAAAGGTATAGCCTACAAATGTGGTTGTTAGCTAATGGTTATCCTGTGTAATTTGGCCCATGACCAAAAAGTGTGCATATGAACTTCTAGCTAGCTGCAGTCAGGCCATGTATGTTCATTAACTTGTGATACATGTAAGTCAGTAGACTACATTATATTACTGTCACATCTGATACGCCAGGCAGCGCATTTTCATTCAACGTAATCTAAAGTCTCATCTATGTAAAATGCAGTGCAGTGTTCAATATTTCCGTGGGTCGTGTCCCTGACTTTAGAGATAGATAGATAGGTAGAACTTTATTAATCCTGAAGGTAATTGCAGTGTTACAGTAGCAAGACATATAATTGCACATAAACTTACATTTGGATTTTCACATTCCTAATCTCCAGTCATCACAGTGGTGTGGGATCCTAAAGGAAATGATGGGGCTTTTCTTAATTAGAAGTTGATCAAAGCTCTACACTCTGTTCAGATATTTGGACCAGAAACCTCGCAGCAGGATGTGTATGACCAAACCATGAGGCAGATGGTGCGTGATGTCCTTCATGGAAAGAATCGGCTTCTCTATACATATGGCGTAACCAACTCTGGCAAAACCTACACCGTACAGGGTAAGACCGCCACCCATGTTCTTTTAGGATCACAGCGTCTTTGTGTCCCTTACAGCTCTGCATGCTCAACTCAGTCATAAGAAAACATAAAGTTAACAGGTTATTAATTGAGTTGGTGGCAGATAGTAGGATTCACATTTTAACCATTAACTCATGTGAATGCCCATATTTTTAAAAATAATATCAAGCATCCAACTGAGGAAGTATTTTTATAGTGTTATGAATAAACAGCAAAAGATTTGAAGTTGTGACTGACTGTTCAGTTAATATTTTTCTATTCAGTCTACAGCAGTTTATCCCCGCCCGTTCCCCAATTCCCCATTCCTTGCACGGGTGTATTTCTGCTGGACTGCTTTTTGAATGAGGAACAATACAAAGTAGCCGATCAGAACAGAGCTCATTTACATAGATCAGTCTTAAAGGCACACTAACAAATAACAACCTGTTTAGTTTTGAGGGATAAATAAAGTTCTAAAATGGTAATGTAAAAATAAGTGATGTTTTTGGGTCATAAACCAGTAAGTGGACGTTTGAGAGGGGAGATTAGATACAAGATATTGTACGTTTTGTGTTGTAGGTCCTTAAAGTGAAACTTTGCCAATCATCATTCTTTGTAGCTCTCTTTACCATCAGATCACTGACTCCTGTTATTCCACCACAGGCACGGCTACAGAAGCAGGTCTCCTGCCTCGGGCTTTAGTCTCCCTGTTCCACAAGATTTCGGGACGGCTCTACCCTGCTGTGGACCTAAAGCCAGTACTCAGCCAGGAGGTCCGCAGGCTGGACGTCAGCGAGGTCCGCGCTGAGGAAGCTAGACGGAACACTCTGCTGAAAGAGGTAAAGATGGAGGGGTGAGAGATGTGATGAAGGAATACTAGTTCAGGGATTTTATCTGTGACATTGTGCATCGTTTTAAGCTTCGCGTTCTCCAAAAACCAGTACAGCATTTTCATAAAAGGTGAATCACTGAAAACATCAAATCCCAAAATGAGCATTTTCATTAAAAACTGTAAGGGTCCAGCCCATTAGCCCTCGGAACTCCAGTTCCCAGAAGCCACACACCTGTAGACCTCTGCATTTAAGGCTGTGGCTAACTGCAGTCACTGTCACACCTGTAGAGGGCTGACTGATATGGTTCTAGTGAAAGAAAAGAAAAAAGGGCTAAAAATAGAAATTACTACACGATCTGTTTCTTTTCAAAAAAGAAACAGAAACAAGAGAGAAACAGCCCCAAAACTACCAAAAAGAGAAATAAACAAGAACCGTCTTCAAGCAAAAAAAAAAATTCTCTCTATTAAGAGCAAAAGGGCAAATAATGATCTTCCTCAGGTAGCTGGAGAGGGGTCTTTGTTTTCTGGTTTTGTTAATTTTACTCCATTTTGACAAGAATCTTCCTTTGTTTGAACACACCGTCTTGACGTCTTCTTTGTTTGCCAGCGGTTTGATCGCTGCTCTGAGCGACCTCATCCCAAACGTGCAGTCATTACATGTACGCATAGTCACTAATGTTATTTACATCATTTCCTTCCAAATAAACAATGAACAGTAATATACAACAAATCTTACAATCCTAGCTCGTATAAACTCTTTCTCATGAGTTTCCCTCTCTGCACTCAGGTCCGCTTCTACCGTCCCGTGATATAGATGTGATGCTTCCCTTACAGTGTCTTTTCTCCCCAGACAATTACAGCTCACTCAGGCATCTTTTAAAGAGTTTAGTTGTGCAATGTAGAGCTGCAACAATCAATCAACATAATCGATAACATTGATTAAAAAAAAACGTTAACAAATCTCGTTATGGATTAGTCGGTTTGATGACGTTTGTGGTTCTTATTTACTTTACACATTCATGGCAGACTAAACTGTGTGGCTAAATTATATTTGTTGCTAGTGTGCTAATGCTCACAGACCTGCTCGTCCACACGGATACTGATATTTTTTGAAAACTGATTTTCCTTCTCTGCATTTTAGTCTCCTGTCCGCACAAAAACGTTTTAGAGATTTTAAAAAGGTCTTTTGTGTTTTTAAGTGAATGATGTTTTTAAAGATCTGATGGTTTAGGACACTGTGTGTCTGACATGGCTGTGGCAGTTTGATCCAGAGTTGACCCTGAATGTCAGGTTAGCGTCTTCTCCACACGGCTATAACACTGAACACATTCCTCCTCCTGCAGTAGCTGCTGCGCGCTGTGTGATGGCATGTTGAACTTGCCGGTAGGCGGGCAGTAAGGACTGTGTTGCAAGATTGCATCGTCTTGGAACTAGGGCTGGGCAATAAAACGATAACGATAATTATCGCGATATAACTTTTCCTCGATAGAGCGATACGACATGTTCGATAAGTGTTATAATATAATACACCACTCTAACACCTCCACGTTCAGCGAAAGCCTTGGTGGCGTTTTCTACTGCAAGGAAAGCGACACTACTGTGCTGTTGCCAGGAGAGGGCGCACTTCCGAGTTTTTCTACATGATTAGAGAGGGAGGGGGCCACGAGTAAGATGAGTCTTTAGCAACGGCTGAAACGCAGAGTTACACATTCCCTGTTTGAGTGGAGTGACTGGCGATCTGCTTTCCTGTGACCGAGTGTGAGTGACGAGGTCAGTGGTGTAAATGTACTGACCTACAGCGAACTCACCTCTTTCTGTACATCCTAACAGCTTTAGCAGCGTTAAATCACAATCTTCACAACTACAGCGCTGTTAAATTACAGCCCTGATTTAAACGAAAGTAAACTGAGGAAGCTGTGAGGCATTGGAGAGCGGGAGAGCGCTAGCTTTCCAGGCTAGCTGTTTTTAGCAGCTCCGTCACTCGACGACACTGTGAATTAATGATACTGTAGATCAAATACGACACAAAAGCACCACTTTCAGTTTAAACGTACCTAAAAGGAGGACCCTGTTTGTCTGGTGTTGATATTTTGCGTTTCACCCCTTAAACTACTACAATTGAATATCCAGTCGTCTAGCTGGTGTCTGAATACTGTGATGTCATGTGTAGCGGGGTAGCCGAGCGCTCGGCACCAGCTAAAATAATGTTTTCTTTCTTAAATTATGACTATTACAAAATTAGCTGTGCTTTTCCAGCTGGGAAAAACAGCTCAGCAGAAACTTTCTCCCACTCTCCCATGACAGATCTGTGAAATGTTCCACTGTTTGGTGAGTGTTTGTCGTGTTCAGACCATAAAGAATAGTTTAAAACAGTAATTAACCAATCAGGAGCGAAAATCAGCCTTCAAACTTGAAAGAAATAATGATTTGACATTTATCGCGGTATGTATCGATATCGAATGATATAAATTTTGTTTATAGTGATAACATTTTTGGCCATATCGCCCAGCTCTACTTGGAACAAAGGAAAAGGGCTGGAATTCCAACGAGGCGTTTCAGGCAGCTGAGAAAAGTGGTTTCTGGCCTAACACACTACAGGAACAGGAAGAACTGGAGAAGCATAATATGTCCCCTTTAATCGAGTAATTAGACATTTGCTTTGTGACTTACAGCCACACTTGATCTGTGTGCTTTTTCCAGGAGGAGACTCCCAGGCTGCGTGGGGGTCTGAGTACCAGCTGGGACAGCGGAATCGGTGGCCTCTCAGCGGTCACTCGGCTTGAAGGTGAGAATCCTGTACTAACGTGTTCTGAACTGCTGCAGTAATTTCCACTTTTTATTGAAAGCGTTCTGTAATCGTTATGTGTTACAACATTTAGCAGAGGATTACAGTTTCATCATGTTACTGAGAGACAAATGTAACGTTAGGAGACTTGCCCACTGCGGTGTTCTTGTATGAGCGGGAAATTATAGCACCAGTCGGCTGCGTTGAGGGCAGTGGTATCACCCACTACGCTCCACCAACTTTACTCCTTCTCTACTTTGTGCTTTGTACATCACTATTCACCCTTTGTCTGAAACACTTTGTTAGACCTCCTGCGAATTCAAGCCCCGCCTCCCAGTGAGCCCAGTGTGCTCTGTTTGGGTGAACGGAGCGGTGGAGGGCAGCGGTATCACCCATAGACATGCATACAGAGATGCCGCATTTCCTGTTGTTCTCTATGTGAGGCATTACGTCTGCTCGTCTGCCATGTTGGAGAGGTCAAGATCCACTTGTGAACAGATTCACTTGTACTGAGAGACGAAGAGTCTCAGGATTAAATCAGACACAACTTCCTTATTACTCAACCGATTTTCACCTAATCTGTTTAGTTCTAATCCTCAGACACAGATTAATCCAGGCTGCTCGGATCTGCTCTCAGCAGCTTTTACTACTTTAATAACTGATCGTGATAATTAGCCGTCCGGACCAGCAGGAAAGTATTCAGTCTGCACCTGACATTAAAAACCGAGTAGAAACACAAACATACACATGAACAAATCCATCAATGTACTGAAAGTACTGAATGCAGTCCAGCAGCGATGTTGACCGCCCCAAAATGGCGGCGTCGTTTATGTGCCTGGGTGGACCCAACGCAGCATCTAGGTATGTATATCTGTGGTATCACCCACTATGCTCCACCAACTTTGCTCCTTCTATACTTTGTTTTGTCTTTTTTGCTCTCCGCTCACTCTCCCCTCGTACAAAAAGGAGAAAAGCACTCTGGGATCTGTTTTCTAATCTCCAGCTCAATGTTCCTTGTTCTCTCTGCAGTATATGTACTTTGATTCAGAGTTCCTGCAGATCCTTACAAGGTGTTACAAAGCCTGAAAATAGATATGAAAATAAAATGTGTTTAACTATTACAGGTGTTAAAATTAGAGCTGTCCAAGCATATTTTAATGGATATATAACCAATTCAGAACTCAACCTAAACTATCCAGCTGAAAGTGGACAGAAACTGACCACTGATTGACAGCTAGAGGACTGCAAAACTGATGAAGTCGAACACAATAAGAACTGTGTAAGAACACAGTTACACTCAGTTTTATAACCAGTCAGTTTGAATAAAATGGACATTAATATATGCCATATTAAATGGTATTATTTTTGCAGTGTTGTGGTTTTAAAAGGGTATTAAAGAGTTAATTCAATTTTTAAAACTTATGCAGCAACTCTAAGACTTCTTTCAATCAAGCAACCTATCAGCCCATATTGTGACTCGTAAGTACATTTAGGGGTGACCTTTATTTACAGTGTAGCCAAGCAGGTTAAACTGTAATTGAAAAAAGTTAAGATGAAGTTTAGATTTTTATGGATAGATTTTTAAAGAAATAAAAATAATGGCTTAAATAAGAGAGAGGCATAAATTAGCAAAAATATATAATGAAAACACCATTAGAAGTAAGCAAAAGAACCAACGAAGATAATAAGCTATAAGAAAACTACAAATCTTAAAAATAAACTTGTTTAATAAAGTAGAAAAATAAAAGAATTAACATGAAATAAATAAGCAGCTGCAAAAAAGTAAAATAATAAAATTAATTAAAAAGGAAAAGTTGAATTCAACTGTAGCAGTTCCAGGCTTTCTGAAGAGACTAAAAGTTTTAAATGATTGAGTGAGTTTTAGAGACTCCTGTAGAGAATTCCAGCTCACTGGTGCTGCAGCTGAAAGCAGATTTTCCAGTTGAGTAAAAACTCAGCCTTTCTTATAGGTTTTGTGTTTAACTAAATCTGAGTCTCCTGTAAGCGTAACATGTGGAAGCTACTCAAAACATGGTCTGAGCACACCTGTCTTTTCCAGATTCAGATGCTGTTTGTTTGGAGGCGGATCCTCTGTCGCTCAGCGGTGGAGATGATCTGGAGCAGGGCCTGCAGTACTCCATCTGGGTCTCCTTCTATGAGATCTACAACGAGTTCCTGTACGATCTTCTAGAGGCTCTGCCGTCTCTCCAAAGCCGTAAGAGAGCCACGCTGCGACTGAGTGACGACAAATACGGAAACCCCTATGTGAAAGGTACGAGAACACACAGCGCTTTCTTTTGTTTACATTTCCAGGCAGTGATGTCGAGTCACTCTTGGCTGAAGCTGTGATTTTTACACACATTGTGCCGCTGTTGGTATTGTCCTTGTCTTGATTATTGATGCCCTTCTCACTGCTCTCCTGTGTAAGCAGATCTGACTTGGGTTCAGGTTCGGAGCGCAGAGGAGGCCTGGAAAGTGCTCAGAGTCGGACGATGTAACCAAAGCTTCGCCAGCACTCACCTCAACCACAACTCGAGCCGCAGGTACCAGCTAGCACTCAGTGAATTTCACTGAATTAATTTGGTGAAAACTTTTCACTCGTTTCCCAAATTAATTAATTAATTAGTGGAATTCATTCATGCATTGCAAATGAAAGCAAATATACAATTAATTGTTTGGCGGACAGAAGCAAGAAACGATTTCTGCAAATCAGCTTGCATTTTAAATGTGTGCCAAATAATTAAGATATATTTAGATCTTAAACCACATCATCGTTTTTGGCGATGTTTCGAGACTGCATCCAAAATTGCACAACACTATAGTATACTATACTATACATCGCTGCTGTCGGAAGAAAACCTTGTATCCCGTTTTTGTCGTTTTTCAATTTTTGACATAATTTGAAAGCACCTGTTGCCCTTTACATTGTGTGTAAATTTCATGAAGATTGGCCTAAAAGAAACGGCCCAGAATGACTTGGAAAAAAGTCTGGTTCCATTGACTTACATTAAAAGTAAAGTAGGTTTTTTCCTTCTTTTGTAAAGTTACCATTTTGGAGATACAAGGTTTTCTTCCAACAACAGCAAAATACTTTACTAATGAATGGACCTGTAATGATGCCGTACTATTTAGTACAGTATAGAGAAAATGCACAGCCCAAGTCAGAGGTGTCTGATCTTTACCGCAAAGGGCTGTTTTTCATTTCACGTTTTCATTACAGCCAACAATTTTCATTCTTGATTCCAGTTGTTAAATCAGTTGGTCTGTATTTAAACAGCTGATGTTATGCTCCTGCTTTATTGGACTAAATAAGGATAAGACTGGGCTTCGATGTTTTAAGGACATTTGCAGGAAACGGTGGTTTTAAATACATTTGTGGAAATCTGTAAATTAATTAAAATATGTACGGTAATTTGCATAATTCTGAATAAAAATTATATATGCTTTTAAGTAGTGTTTGCTTTTGTCCTTAAATGGAAAAACACATTTTCAGGAAATGAACAGCTGTTTTTGTATTTCTTCATTAACTTAGGATTCATTAACTTTAATAATGATAGACCCGAGGACTTCAGCTGGTTTATAAAAATAAATATCAGCAAAAGAATTTCTGCTGTTTGCTTTCAGTCACAGTATCTTTACCGTTCGAGTTCTACACATCGATCCGCAGGCAGAGATGGGACAAGGAACACAAATCAGCGAGTAAGTTGCGGTTCCTTATTTCATACATAATTCAGTGGTTTGATGCAAAATGGTTAATTGTCGAGAAACCTTAGTTACATTGTTTACAGTGGTGGTGATAGGAACCAGGGGTCGCCATGACTACAACACAAATATAGACATTTTATTTACTATCCAGAACCACCAGTGAACCTATATGAGAAGCTGATGTTTTGTCCACTGAAATGTTATCATTCAGATTAGGGTTGCAACGGTATGAGATTTTCATGGTATGATAACCGAATCTATGAAAACCAAAAATATCACAGATGGTAAATGTTATTTCACAGTTAGTAAATCAGGATTTTACTGTTGTAATTGTTGAGGTGGAGCTCTTTTGAGCTGTTTTGTAATGATCAATGGTTGTTTTAATTATGGATCAGTCCGCTGATTAAAAATGAATGATTGTTTTCATTATGGATCAATCTGCTGATTATGTTCTCCATTAATCAATTAATTATTTGGTTTTTAAAAAATCTGAAAACCGTGAGAAATACCATCACAAGTGCTCTGAATGATTATCAAAATAGTTGCCAATTTACTCTCGATGTGCAGCAGCGCCGACAGACAGATCCAGTTTGTACCTTTCACTCACTCATATATATATTATGTTAATTTACCTTAAATTAAAAGCAATGAAATGGCATGTTGTGGTATGTGGAGAAAAAGATCTAATCTAAAAGAGCACAAGAATTAGAAGAATGTCATAAACAAAACCTTTCATCAGTAAGAAATGTATTGGCATAATATTTTGGCGGTTAGTTTAAGGGAGGCTGTTGCTTTGACTAAACCCCCATCACGTAAGTGTAGCCGAAGGGTAAGACTCAAAAGTCTCCTAGTTCATAGCAGTTTGTGGAATGCAGTAAGGCAGGAAACTCACTAATTACATCTAAATATGTCTTCACTGAACCGTCCAAGTAAATTCAGGTACACTATATCCAGGTCAGCTGTGCTCCAATGGGCACGAAACTATTCCCAAACATCCAGGAAAATCTTGAAATCCTACAAATGTATCTGCTAGTTTTACAGTCAAGAAACCTCTTGGAAAATGAGAACGTTGCTAAAATGTTGTGGAAATTTTAGTGAAAAGTGTAAATTTGGCATATGTAAATTTAGCCACTGGTGCCCTGTCTATGGAAGACTGTAGTCCTGTAATGCTAACTGTAGTGGAGCGCCAGGCAGAACAAGGCTACACAAACACTTGCCTATGTGTACACAAAGCCATTATGTTTTAAAGTGAGGGTGGAACACATTAAATTATGCAAATACATACAGTCAATCTGTACTTACAAGCTTTGCTCAGCATTGTTTTATAGCAGCATTTTCAGCTGTTTTCTTGATGGCGAATATCAGCCAGTTATATTGTGGCTGAGTAAATACGTTGTTATTTCCCAACTCAACGAGAGATGTAAGGCACTGTTTATGCCTCACATCATAAGCGTTTATCATTGATGTATTAAAAATACACTCACTTAAAGTATGTTTTGGCTGTATCGGCAAACATTCACTGCTAAGCTGCAGTTTGATGCCAGCCAGGTGACGTTAGTAAACATTCCTGTTGCTTTGAAATCCAGGTTTCTGTCAGGAATGATTTCTTAAAAATGGACGGACGCCTTGTCAAAAATACAAATGTAACCTCCTGTTGTCTTGGTGGTTGTTTTTCAGCAGTGTGTAATGTAATGTGTTTGTGCAGGTTGTCAGTTTGTGACCTGGCGGGGTCGGAGCGCTGTAAGGACCAGCAGAACGGAGAGAGGATGAAGGAGGCCAACAACATCAACACTTCCCTCCTCACCCTGGGACGCTGCATCAGTGCTCTACGACACAACCAGACTAACAAGTTAGTACAAACTGGAACTGTAGAGACGCTCAGGCCCAAAAAATACTTTACACAAAGACGCAAACGCAGACGCTTCGAGCTACACAGATGACGTTTCACGCGTAGTTGTGTTAAAAATGTCATGGCGCGTTTCATCACGCAACGCAAGTGGGAGCTGTGTTCTGAGCGTTACAGCAGGGGGCGCTATAATGACAGCCAAGCCTATCCAATCGGTCTCGATTTCTCAACTGCTGTAGCAGACGAGCAGCTGAGTCTCACACAAAGACAGCTTATATAAACATAAAAAGTATGATCCATTATGACCTTTTCACTCCAGCAGAAGAGCTAAAGCAGCTCACTCTCCTCTGCTGTCCATGTTTAGCTGTTGGCATAACAGATCCTCTCTGATTTGTCCTCTAGCGCCCCCTCATTACTGAGTATTTTAAGTACCACAGTAACGTAAGAACGCACAGTGGCATTGGCTGCGCTCATTTGCGTTCATCTACTGGCCTAATGTGAGAACAGCCATCAGAAAACAAATTACACTTTATAACGTTTACTTTACTTTGTAAGCTAACTGACATGAGTGTTTAATTATTTTAGTGTTTGAGCAGTAATATCACTAGTTAACATGCATAATCATCAAAACGAATCAAACTGATCAACACTATCGTTGTGCCTTACTGTTGTCACCATCCACTGGCTAATCTACTGAAAGTTAGCTAAGTAAGAAAAACACCTGTTTTTAATTTGTTCATTTACAATGTCATTGTGTCTCAAGTTCGTTGTTTAGCGGTCTACAGGTAAGAGCGTCGTTTAGCAGACGCTCTTACCTGTAGAAATTTAAAACAGAAAGTGAGTAGCATGAGGAGTCAAACGTGTTTTTTCACATAACTGTAATGTTAGTGTTTGTGTGCCGGTCTCCCGCAGTGAGTCACGTCTGCTGCAGGGTTGGACTTTAAATCATTAACTAATGGGAAGTATATATGAATCAAGACCAGCTGACTTTGTTTTTTGTATATATCACTATAAGTAATGGCTTTTGTAATTTTCCACCATCGCTCACACACAGACGCTGAAGGTGGTGGTCAATAAAATAGTCACATGACTGAACCTGATGAATACTGCAGCCCCAAAGACGTTCATGGCCACCCAGTTATATTTTGTCCCATTTTAACAGTGTCTGATTTTCCATTTCATCCCATTTTTGCACATTTAAACAAGGAAACATTTCTATTGTTATAAATAAACATAACACACAGTGTCACTCTTTTTCCATCTGGCCATCCCCATAAACAAAGTCTTTACATTAAAAGAAGCCTTTGTTTATGTGATTTTATCATTATCCCCCACCGGCCTGCTGTGTTCTCCACCAGGTTTGTTTTAGACCGGTGGGAAATCCTGAGCATGGTGCAGTTGTTTGAGGTGAGTGTGTGATTATTTAGGCATGCAGTTAGCACCATGCTTAGTGTTTTTATTTAAATATATAGTATAGTGTGTGTGTGTGTGTGTGTGTGTGTGTGTGTGTGTGTGTGTGTGAGAATTTTTGCTGAACTGTTCCTTTAAGCAAACAGTGTTTCTAAGCCACACTTCGGCTCTTATCTCCTCTGCAGGTCACGTCCTCCACAGGTTGTGCCATTCAGAGACAGCAAGCTGACAAGAGTGCTGCAGAGCTTCTTCTGTGGCCATGGCCACTCGTGCATGGTGGTCAATATTAACCCCTGCGCCTCCACCTACGACGAGACGCTGCAGGCCCTCAAGTTCTCTGCTATTGCCACTCAGGTAATAGCGATTGTCATCAGTATGCTTCCATCTCAGCCTACCACACTCCTGCACCTGTTCTCATCTGGTTCTCTGTGTGTGTCTTCTCAGCTGGTTCATGGTCCCTCCACTAAAACACGGGTAGCCTACATCCTCTCACTCCTTCGAGAGCAAAGCACACACTCAACCAACAATACTTTGATGGAGCAGGAAGAAGAGGAAGAGAGTGATGATGAAGGAGACCTCACCATGTTTGACCCTGAGGTGAGTAATTAGAGAAGCCTGGGAGATGCTGTTACCTCCTACAGACTAGATTAATCGCTCCTCTCTGTGAAAATGATAGGGAGATCCTGTAGTTTGTGCTTTTTGATTTACTCTCTGTTCAAGTTAAAGGGCCCATAATACAGCAGGAAAAGCCAAATTTTCTTTTTCAGATGTGCTGTTTTTCAGTAACAGTTTGTTGTTCGTAAACACTGCTAAAGTTTAAAAACACAGCGTTTACTCCCCAGTCCATACGTTTAGCCCAGCCCATTCCATTGAAGTTTTAAGGAGCGTTTCAGCTCATACAGCTTTTTGAATGAAGCACAAGAACAGAGCTAATTCACCTCAACCAGTCTTAAAGGTACAGTAACAAACAGCCTGTTTAATTCTGATTTATATATACACCTTTGAGCTCTACTACTCTGAAGTGTGATAAATTTAGACATGCTAATCGGTGGGCTGTACGCTTCTGTTACTTGGTAGCTACATTAGTCTCATAGCTCCAGTGCTAAAACTAAAGAAGTAAAAGCCTTATTTTTTTTGGTGAACTTCTGTTTTATCTTGCCGTTCTCAATAAGACAGACTGAAGTTGTTCGATGTGGGCAGTAAAGATCTAATAACAGAACTCGTACCCTGAACTAGTTAAATGACCAGTTTTAATTTTCAGTTATTTATCTGCCGGCTGTCTAGAATGCTAATTTTCAGAAATGAAAAAGGCTGAAATGATATGTATTTTAGTTCCTTGTAGGGAAAAAAAAGTAAAAGTGTGCTACGGTGTTGTGGCTGTTTGACAGGAGCTGCTAAAGGCCATCGATGTGCTGAAGCGAGAGGTCCTGCGTCAGCGTCAGGAGAAAGAAGATCTGGAGGCCAGGGTCAGAGAGGAGGTCTGCTCTGAGATGATGGAGATAATTAACCGCATGCAGGATGATTTTAGGTATGAAGCTGTAATATTAGAAATCAGAGATGGGTATTTTTAGGCAAAATGATATTTGAGTGTTCAAGCCATCATTTGAACACAACAGCTGTTAATCTGGAAAATTATATTATTATACTGAGGTTTTGTAGTTATTTATTATTTTTTTATATTATGTTTATCATGGAAAAGTGATAACATTTCAGGTTTTATTGTCTCTCATGTCTTTTTATTAAATATGACTACATTGGTAGCAGTGGCAAAGCTGGTTTAGAATGAGTTCCATCTGAGGGCACGGCCATAGCTGCCCTGCATAAATATGCTTTTGTATAATGTGTACTAATCGCAAGCAAATAAATTTATTATTAATTGAATTGGTTTGAATTGCTTTTTTTTCTGTACATTATCAAATACACTCTCCGTTCTGCAGTGAGACCCTCGAAAGTGAACGGGATCTGATGGAGGAGAGATGCGAGAACAAGATCAACTATTTGAAAAGCAGCTTAAAGAAGTACTACAGTCAGGAACTGGAGGTGACTGTTCCTTTCTGCGTCTCACCGCATACAGACCGGATCAACTCTGTCTGCTCCTGTGTTCTCCAAACTCATTTTTACTTGTAGGTAAACAGGTGTTTGGGTTTCCATTCCCGCTTGTCTTTTTTAGGAGAGAGATGAGCAGATCAGAGAGCTGGCGGCGGAGCTGAAGGAGAAGGAGGGAGGAAGCGCAGCCCTCCTGTTCCCTCCTGTGGACTCCGAGGGGCTGCGTAGATCCAAGCGTCTGGCCTCAACAGCTCTGAAGAGGAACACGGGGCACGACGGCGCCGAGCTGGACCAGTGTAGGGCCGAGCTGGAGCAGTGTAAATCTGAACTGGACCAGTGTAAAACTGAGCTGGACCTCAGACGGACAGAGCTGAGGCTCAAAACACTTGGTAAGATCACAGACAGAGGATTTGGAGACTTAAATTGGAAAATGCAACTTTAAATCAGTTTAAAATTAATTAAAACATTCAGGTGTATTTTTAACTTATTTAATGGGACATCATTGTTTGTATATCCAAAAAAAACATTAAGTTTGTCATTTTTATTTTTTCATGTAATTGTCATGATTGTGAGAATAACCTGGCTGCAAAGCAGGAAAGCAGAGCATCTCTAGCGTAGCTTCCCCTACAAAATGGAACAACGCTAAAATAATAAACAGCATCACTTCATTAACAGCTACCAGCGCTGCTCTGTAGGAGACCCTGCCAGTCTGCAGTGACAGCAGAGGAGGGTAAAGTTCAGCTCCTCACTGCTGGGCTTTAGTTACATTTAGGGAATCACATGCCTTCAAAGAGGGGGGCAATTATTTATTATTGCCCACCACTGATTCTTTGGTGATATGGAGGTAATGTCAGCTGTTCGCCAGAAGGTTTAACCAGTTTAAAATATCTTTAGAATACTTTTTTAAAATTGTAAAGATTTACAGGATTCATAAAAGGGCCAGAAAGGTCCAAATGATACATAATAATTTTAGGGATGGCCTGAGTAACTCGAATCCTGGAGTATTGGTGTTTGATTCTCTGTTTAGGGTTCAGAAGCTTCGTCTTTCTTTAAGCCACAAAAATTATAGCCTAAACTACAACACATTTCAGCAACAAACACCTTTACATAGAACAGTTATTGTTAATATATAGAAAATATTAATAATAAGTTTACATCCTGAATATGCGCTTTCCATGTGGCCACTGGAGCTAAAAGAGCAAAGACGTCTGAAATTACTTTAGGAAGCATGATCAGTGCAAAATCAGTAGATGGCTGGTATATCATTGATTTGATAAAGCATCTCTAATATATATCTAAAGTATAGCTGTACTTAATTAATAATAACAATAATAATAATAATAATAATAAAAATGATAATTGAAAAATAAAGGTGACACTGAATTTGAGCAGCTCAAAACCTGTTTTTGTTGTGTTATATTATTAAAAAATGGTACACCAGCCAAATAAAATGAAAGTGACAAACTAAAATAGACTAGAAGTTAAACCGTGATGGTGATAAATAAATTGATAATTCTAAATTGTTAAACTCGTTTTTGAAGGAGATTGCTTCGGTCTCAGATTCTATAGCAAAATATGACGTGTGAGCCGCTGGGCTTTTAGCATTATCATACATCATTGCTGCCTACAGGATTACACTGCAGTAACATACTGAAAATTGTTTTATTATAGTTTTAATTGTAGATATTATTGTTTAAGGGTCATTTTGAGAACTAGTGTTCAGATACTCCTTTGGAATTACCAACAAGTATTTAAAGCCTGCTGTTTAGGCCAGATCAGCCAGATTGGCCAGATCGAGTTTTTCTAAACTGCACATAAGAAACCGTATTACTTGTGTGGAAAGACATCTTCATCTGCTTTATGTAGTTTGAAATCGTTCTTGGCTGTGCGGTAAGATGAAAATGTAGTAATTAAGGTGGACTGACTCTGACTGGTCCCGTCTCTCCTCAGAGCTAAAACGTTTCCAGGAGCAGCTCCCAGTTACCGTCGGCAGCAGCAGCCTGACCAGCACAGCGGACCGCAAACTGGTAGAGGGACAGAAGGTCAGTGGTTTGTGTGAGGATGTTTATTTTCTCAAATAGTATAAATAGGTGTGAAAATCATGGAACTGGTTGGTTCCTCACAATTACTCTTCATGGGTCCTCTGGCAGAAATATGTAATTACTTTCATTGGTGATCAATATATAAGAATTAGTTGGAAAATGTAACTAATTGTGCATTCACACTACAGAAACACAAAGTAGTTTATCTTATCATGGCTGTTCTTTCACTTGGGTTACAGTCGGCTCGACCAATGCAGAAATTTCGTGGCAGCTGCTGATTTTAAGGACTTTAAGGTTCTGATAACCAATATCAGCCAATATAACTTTGTGTTATTTTATATATTGATTTTATACTCCAAAAGCAAAAGCTTTACTTAAACAATGATTTACTGAGGTGGGCAAGTGTATATTTATTTCACATTCTCTGCAAGTTTAGCATTTTGCACTCGTGTAAAAGGTGAAATGTCACATTATACATCACATCTTGTAAACGTTGATCATCTATAATCCTGAGTTTACAGCTGGCTTAGTTGGTATTTCCCATTTTCCAACTCCCATTTTCAAGTGGAGCGTTTGCCTACATTTTTCTTCCTTTTTCCATAAGGCCCGCTTTAGACGTTCACGTTTTTGTACCACAAACGTGTCTGAAGTCATTTTTTCACGACAGTTTACCAACATCTCTTTAGCCCTCAGAATGAAGCAGACTGGCTTGTTGGCTTTACAACTGAGTTATATAGCGTTAATAGGCAGAGCTAAACTGCTGTAGGCTTTATAGGAAGGTATGTGTAAATGTGGCTTTGAGGTTTTGTGACATCACAGAAACAAATTCAAAACAGGCTGTTTTTGCAGCTGAGTTTCTATATATTGACTAAGGTGTGTCGACACTTCAGCAGTGTTTACTTCTAAACGTCAGACTCTTTTCCATAATATGGACCTTCTAACTAAATCAGTAAGTTTGTGTAATTTAATATATATGCGTGTGTGTGTGTGTGTGTGTGTGTGTGTGTGTGTGTGTGTGTGTGTGTGTGTAGAACCTGAGGCAGCTGAGGGCCGACCTGCAGTTGTTGGGGCTGAAGCTGCAGTCGGGCGAGCGAGCCTGTTGCCGTAACACTGACGGAGAGAAACTGCGCATGGCGCTCAGCTCAGCCGACGCCACGCTCGCTAAGCAGGTACAGCACACAGAGTTAAGGCCAAACTTACAGTTCAGCCTAAAGCTGCACAGTTTATGAGGTCTACTTCAAGACTGTACGACATACAGCAGCTGTTACGGATTACAAAAAGTTTCAAAAGTTCTGCATAATTATATCAAATGTAAACAGAGAGGTTCAGAGCGGTTCAGAGTGGTTTGGTGTGAAACGCTCTGTTCTAGATAAACTTACCGAGTCAGAATTGTTCACAGTGGTGGTGATAGGAACCAGACGTCCACCTCTAAAAGCTCCCTCACAGAAAGTTCCTACATGAAATGGTTATGAATTCACTGCCTGATGACTGAGACACTGTTTTATGATAGTTTAGAGAACTTAAACTCCATTCATGGTGGAGGGATACATGCAGGGCGCTGTGAGGCAAAATAGTCCCCAAAGAAAACTTATTATTTCAGATTTTCCACTATTTTCCATCATCAACATTCCATATAAACTCAGAAGACTCATGTAGGTTCACTGGTGGTTCTGGATAGTAAATAAAATGTGTCTTAGATTGTTTATCTAACTACACTTTTAGACAAAAGCTGACCCTTTTACTGCAGGAGTTCAGCAGAGGTCAGTTAAAGAGGGATGAATATGCTAAATGCTAGATTTCTTTGAATATTGGAACCCAGCAAATGTAACCATCTTGAAGAGTAACTGTGAGTGTGCTCATCATTTAGCGCTCATTTTCATTGGCCTTAAATCAGTGATTCCACCAAGCATATGGTTAGCGGACTGACCAATCAGAATACTTTTCTCATACATCAGGATGCATAAAGAGAAGAAATCAAACACTTTTCTTGTTTAAAGGTTTTAAGCACTGCCCGTCTTTTGCTAAACATGCTAAGTAATGTTTTATTCTATTCTGTTTGATCTGTTGTTTTAAGTTACTATAGTTGCAATTTTAATGGTTGTTTGATTTTTTTTTTAATACTTTTAAATGAACTATTTTAATTACTATTATTTTTCTGAGCGTTTGATATGTTTTTACTATCCAATTTTTTCAGTCCCTGATGTCTGTATTGGCTCAGCTACAGTTTAAATAAGGGTCTCCCTCAGTGTACTCAGTTTAAATAAAGGATGACTGACTGACTGATCTTAAGTCATCTTGTGGGGTCAGACATGATCTTTTAACAAGAACTGTGAGAAATCTTAGCCTAAATGTGGGTGGGAACATATAGTAGATAATGGAGCCCTGACTGGAGGAATTTGGGGTGGGTGTTAGAGTGGGCGCTCTTGTTAGTGCTGGACTTAATTAACCGTAATCCAGCATCAAAAGTTTAACAGGTTTTCCTCAGATGTGTCCTCTCATGTCTGGCCCTGTGAAACACGGCACATCTTTTAAAGCTCCTGTAGACAATTAGAGTCCACAGAATTGAGCCTCCAGTATCTGTGGCTGAGCGGTGCTGATCGGGCCGGTATCTCTTAGCCTGCTCACTGACTTGAGCTGCCTCTCATCTGATCTCTCTCTCTCTCTATCTCTCTCTCTCTCTCTCTCTCTCTCTCTCTCTCTCTCTCTCTCTATCTATCTATCTATCTATCTATCTCTCTCTTTCTTTCTCTTCAGGGCCAAATGCTGGTGGAGCTGCAAACCAGCCTGCAGCTGGTCAAAGCTGAACTGCGGCACAAAGACGAGAGCCTGGCGCAGCTGCAGCGCCCCCCTGTGGCCACCACCCCGAGCTCCTGTAAGCGGCGAGGCTGCGGAGAGAACGAACCGCCTGAGAAACGGCAGCTGCTGCGCTCACTCTTCACCTCCTCACGCACCCCATCCAAAACCCCGCGGTGGGGCGGCTTTACCACACCCTACTCCAGCGTGCTGCGCTCACGCCAACCCTCACCTCCCCCCAGCCCCGCCCTAACACGCAGGGTCAAGTATTAAAGGGGTAATCTGACCAAACGAACATTAAGGTGGCTAACGGTGGATAAAAGCTAGAGTCGGCTGAGGTGGTCTGGTTTGCAATGCGGAGGAAAGCCGGCATTTTTATGTACACTAAATACCAAAAACCAATATTATGCATTTCCATTGTTAAACTCTTTGCTAACATTTACTAAAACCTTCTAAGGTTTTAAAGAGGAACTAAAATTTTTTTTTTTCAAAACTTAATTAAATAGTTAAGATCCAAAGAGAGTCTTTGAGAACGGTGAAACAATTCATTGCAGAGAAACTTAACAGATTTCTTTACAGTGGTGGTGATGGGAACCAGGGGTCGCCATGACTACAACACAAATATAGACATTTTATTTACTATCCAGAACCACCAGTGAACCTACACGAGTCTTCTGAGTTTATATGGAATGTTGATGATGAAAATAGTGGAAAATCTGAAATAATAAGTTTTCTTTGGGGACTATTTTGCCTCACAGCGCCCTGCATGTATCCCTCCACCATGAATGGAGTTTAAGTTCTCTAAACTACCATAAAACAGTGTCTCAGTCATCAGGCAGTGAATTCATAACCATTTCATGTAGGAACTTTCTGTGAGGGAGCTTTTAGAGGTGGACGTCTGGTTCCTATCACTGAACAGTTCTGACTCGGTAAGTTTCTCTAGAATGGAGCGTTTCACACCAAACACTCTGAACGACTCTTAGAGCTTAACTACTTAATTATGCAGGAATTAAGAAAAATGGTGTGATTCCCCTTTAAGCACCTCTTTCGGTTTCTTTTTGTAAAAAGCAAAAAGATTTCATTTTTGCACAAATGCCTGCTGTGGGAGAGCAAAAATAGTTTAAATTAGACTTCTTTATGCACCAATGCTTTATCTTTGCTTGTTGAGTTGATTTTTTTCTTATATTGTGTTACTGGTGTTTGGAAAAAATTCATTCATGTACAAATACAGCATTTTCACACAGCCCTTTGTTGGTGTTAATGATGTTCACACTGCTGTGGTGTTATGAACGTGTAAGTGGTGCACAGTCACAGCTCAGACTACATTACCCACAACCCTGACTCGTCATGGTGACAGTAACAGTAATAATGCAGTCCACAAGTCTGTGTTTAACTTGGTCAGTGTTTGTTTTGTAATTTTCTATCAGGTTTTCTACACGGCTGAGTGGGCAGTGCTGACACTGTTAGAGACGCGATACTGTTGAAGGAACGAATGTCTGAAAATAAATCCAGATTCTTCTCACATAAACATGTATTACGTTTGACTAAATCTTTGATGTAGACTGGACATTGAACAAAAACGGCCTTGTGAAATATTTAGCAGGCTGAAGATTCTTCACAAGGGGGTGCTATTAGCACTGCAGTAACACTGACGTGGTGGTGGTGTGTTAGTGTGTGTTGCGCTGGTCTGAGTGGATCAGACACAGCAGTGCTGCTGGAGTTTTTAAACACCTCAGTGTCGCTGCTGGACTGAGAATCAGAAACATCCAGCTGACAGCACAAACGGCACAGCAGCAGATGAGCTATCATCTCTGACTTTACATCTACAAGGTGGACCGACAAAGTAGGAGTGTAATAGAGTGGACACAGTGTTTATGAAGATGACCGCTGATTCACATCATGGGAGTTCGCTGCTGCTGCACTGAGGGAATACAGTCAGCCTTTCTTACACAACAAGACTTTTTATTGAGACTCTCAGAGGAATTTGCACAAAAAAAAAAGTTCCAGCCAAATCTGCCTCATTGGTATCGATGGCTTCCTTTGTAAGTACTAATCTACTTTCATCTATTTACACAAACTAATAAACATAAACTTTATATCTGTATAAATGGTTCTTGCGGAGATGGAACAAGTTTTCTAGAGGGAACGAGTGATAGTTTGTCCCCAGAATAGTGGTGTGGGTGGAGTTTTCACCGGCTCCGCCTCCAGATCGCCATGGATAGCCATTGTTGTATTTTTATAAATTCACAGCTGGGGTTTCAAATTTGCCTCATATCGTCATGCATTGCAAACGTTCATTCATTAAACTTGCTGACGTAACAGAAGCCCACAGGTTTCTGTTGTAAAGGAGTCAAAAATCTGTTCTTCCAGTTCAGGAAAACAAATTTTTATGTTTTAATCCAAAGTGTGATACAGATGTGGCAGACAGAGGTTGGGCTGAAGAAAAGAATTACTTTAACATTCAAATTACCAAATCACCTAAAGCAAGATACACAAATAAGACAGGAGTGTCCAGCTCTGGTCCTGGAGGTCCAGTTAGCTCATTCAGCTCTGCAGTTTGTCACTGGGTTTAGTAGATGTGCCTGAGCAGGAAAATCAGCAGACTGTGCTGGACTCTCCAAGAAAGAAATGATGACCCCTCGCTTGAGAGAGCTTTCCCAAACCATTGAACCAGAAATGACCACTCCTATGACGAATGTCATGGCGTAACAGAGGACAGGTCCAGTGGGGACACTCTTCTGACTGGTGTGGTGTTGCTGGACAGAGGATTGAAGACGCTAGGTAAGGACAGATCAGTGGAGGACGGCTCTCCTTGCTCCCGTACGGCTGAGATCTGCCTCAACAAGGCCTTCCCCTCCTCACGCGCCTGGGGAAAGGAAGCAGGGGTTCTTTATTACCTGAGCGAGAGATTTCTACACAACCGCAACTGAACTATCAGATTTAGCAGATGGACAGTTTGGAGGCGGCACCATTATCAGGCCAATAACAGCAGAAGACACTGGATTTGGGGACTGAAGGGGATCAAAACCTGAGTGATGTGATCAAACCTGAAACGGCACTGGCTAACATGATGGCCTACTTTTAGAAGCTCATCTTAAGTGAAGGTGTGTCTTAAGTAAATAAAAGTAGTAAAAACAGCTCAGATTAAACCTCCCGTCTTAAAAAGAATGTCAGTTCAGTCTCGGCTGATACTCAATATCAGCATTTGACATTCAATATTGTCCACAGTCAGCTACCAAACACACGGAAGAACGTGCTGACCATTAATTAAACAATCCATTCTGAAACATCGCTCTGCTCAATAACATCTTAACCACTCTGTACAAGATGGAAGTGAGGCTGAGGTTTGAGGGTTAACTTCAACAGCTAAAAATTATTAATAATACAGTGTTTAAACTTAAAGGAACCATGTTGATGTTCCACATTTGAATACATTCTAAATCAACTGCTCCTACTCTGGGCTCGTTTGAGAGTGTGACTGTGAGAGTGGCAACACATCAACAGTCTGATTGGGTGTAGTTCCACTCATTTGCATAAAGTCAGTCCAGAAGGAGAGCGAGCGGAAATCAGTGGTTTTGATGTTGGTATATTTTTGTCTCTCGCCACGTTATGGCACGTCAGGTCACGCCACGCTCTGTATGATGTATGATTTTAAAAAAAAATTCAAATAAAAAAAGGCATCATTTTGCTTGACGTCACTGTCCACGTTACAAATATGCTGCTTAAAATGTCTCCACCCTCCCGCGTCCCTGTATGTCTGTTCATGTTTTTTAGCATGAACCTTCAACACGGATAATTAGACATTTTCTTACTGAAAAAATGTCTTTATTGGAGTTTTACAGTCTCTCTGCAGACTTTTTGAATAAGGTAGTACTTGTGTATTCAGTGATTTGCAAATAATGTCTCAAAGCAGTCAAACATTTAACCCTTTCAGACCCAAATTATGTTCCAGGGCACAAAAATGTGGTTATTTAATGGAGTTTGGTGGCTGGTTATAATAAAATAACTTTAAAAGCTCTAAAAGTGTATCTGTTCCTCACCCCTCTTTCCTTTCTTTTAATGTTAATGTAGCTTATAACTACTAATTCACCAACTTTTGACCCTGAAGATCAGCGCAGACTGCTGGTCACATGGCAACACAGACAACAATCTCACCTAGCTAGTAGCTAACGAAACAACAAAGAGAGAGATTTAAGATGAACATTGATAATTTGGAGATGAATGGACTTATTTGTGTTTATAATCACTCCAGCTGATTTCCTGTTATGTTTAATGTTTGCAACGAGAAACTGTCAAACACTAAGAAGTCATTAGCATGAAGTCCGTTTCTCATTTGCCAGCTTCTGGTTTGAATTCTCCCGTTCCACCTTAAATGGTGCAGCAGTTACATTCTGGCACCTCAGGCACGATTTAAGGTGGAACAGAAAACGTCAAACTATAAGCTGGCGAATGAGAAGCGACTTCAGCCTCGTAAAAAATCGAATGTTGAGACATTTTACAAGAAATTATTCTACTTTTGAGGAAAAGTTTCCTGATGATGATGTGAGAGAAGCAGCTACAGCTGAGCTAAAGCTTAAAGCAGAGCAGAGCAAGTCTGCGTTTTAGCACATCAGCACATACTGAGACACATTTACAGCCAAGATGATAAAAATGTTGTGGCTCTCAAGGTGGTTAGAATTTTGTTGAAAGGACAAAATAGCTCTACTTAACATTTGGGTTGCGACTCCTGATCTAGATAAAAAGTGCGGTCATGACATTCAAAAGTCTGTTCATGAACTCTTATGGATCCTTGAATATCAAAATTACCCAGAATGCACAAGCCTATAAGCTACACTAACCGCATTATCTGTTCCATCATTAAAGTCTCTGTGATGATGCTGTTCAAACTCACATCGTTGTAGTCACAGCAGCGCTGAGCGCAGAGAGACGCCTCGTCGTACAGTTTGTTCTTGAAGTAGTACTGACCCAGATAGCGCAGAGCGGTGCTCACCTCGGCGTGTTCCAGCTGCTCCTGAGAGAGAGAACACAAACACATCTGACACTAGTTTCAGTTCTTTGTTCTGTGCGTCAGTGCGAGTCCCGCCTTACAGACTACTGACCAAAATATTTCTACAGAAAAAAGAGCAAGTCTGAAAATTTTACTCTGAGCAGCAACAGCACATCCACCAACATGCGGTACGGTTTCTAGCAGTGAGAGGAAAAAATGACTGCAGTGTAACATCACGAAATTCTGGACTTTAAAACAGTATCAGTGCACAGTCAGTACAGGCTCTACCTAATAGGCTCTACAATATGCTGCTCCCCCCGCGACCCAGAAAGACAAGCGGCTTAGAAGAAGTGTGTGTGTGTGTGTGTGTGTGTGTGTGGTTTGTTTTTGCCTGCAGTTTAACAACAATCAGCTGATCTGGAGTCTGTCTAACGAAGCAGCTTCAACTTAGACTGACCTTCAGACTTTAGCTTCAGGTTTAGATACCCAGACTGTAATTAATCCAAGTTTAGTTACTCAGACTGTGTTTAATCCAGGTTTAGATACTCAGACTGTAATTAATCCAAGTTTAGTTACTCAGATTACCAAAATGCATTTCTGTCTTAATCCACAAGATGGTGCTGTTTCTTTTTGGTGAGATCAAAGCTGTCAGACAGACTGGTTTAGTTTCCATCCGTGTATTTTTATGCTTATTTTACCTTTTCAAATAAAACAGTCAAATTTCGCAGAAAACGTTTGTGCACTCACTTCAGACGAAGAACATTTGGCCAATAAAAAGACATGATAATTTTCAATAAAAACATTGAATAGACTGGTCAGTCGTTTCCGTTTTTGTGGCCATAGATATAAACCTGGCGAGTGTGCTGTTTACTGACTGTCATTTCTGTGCGAAAGAGGATCTGAAATCTCTCAGACTCCATAAACCTGGGTCAGCTTACCCCACAGGAGAAGATGTCCTGGATGTAGATGATGTAACACTGAGCCGCGTCGTCTGATTCGTTTAACTGCTCGTGAAGTCTGAACACAATAAACAGTGAACAGATCATTGATGAAGAGCTGTTACTCTGCCAGGTCAGCAAGAACTGAAGGAGGAATTTACTCAGAACATCTGTGTGATTTTATTTATTATCATTATTCTGAATGGGCGGGGCTAAACATCACAACCTTGAGGAATTCAACACAGGGCATTTTGGCAGCTTAGTTTCCGTGTATGAAGTAGAAATTAATGGTACATTACTGTGTTTAAAAATAACTAAACTCAAATTAAAAACAAGGAGAATCAGTTTCCTGTGATGGACCTTTAAAATGTTACATAACTAGAACGTGTTTTCTTACTTCGCCAGTTTGAGTAGAGCCATCCTCTCCACGTCTCCCACAGAGTACGCTCTCCAGTAACACTGACAATAGGAGAGAATTATCAGAAACAGCCCCCCTCAATGGGCATAACCCCCCCAACACACACACACACACACACACACACACACACACAAACACACACACACACACACAAACACACACACAAACACACACAATCCTGCACCACTACTAACCTTTTTCGCTTCAACTTGCTGAGACAGTTTTTCATAGCACTCGCCGAGAGCCACGAGCATGCGAGAGTCGTTCGGCCTGCAGAGGAGAAAAACACACACATCAGGCTAAACACACACACACCCACACACACACACACAGTCACACCCACACACACAGTCACACACACACACACACACCCACACACACACACACACACACACAGTCACACCCACACACACACACACACACACACACCCACACACACACACACAGTCACACACCCACACACACACAGTCACACACACACACACACACACACACACACGCACACACACACACACAGTCACACACCCACACACACACACAGTCACACACCCACACCCACACAGTCACACACCCACACACACACACACAGTCACACACACACACACACACACACATACACAGAGTCACGAACAGACACACCTACAACGATTTTAATTTGTACCAAATTTGTACCCTGTGTGTGACTCTGAATGGGGCACTCGTGGGCTGGAGGTTAGGTTCGAACCCCTGAGCCGACAGTACATGACTGAAGAGCCTTTGAACGAGACACCTAACCCCCAATTGCTCCCCGGGCGCTGTGGATAGGGCTGCCCACAGCTCCGGGCAAGTGTGCTCACTGCCCCCTAGTGTGTGTCTTCACTAGTGTGTATGTGGTGTTTCGCTGCATAGATGGGTTAAATGCAGAGGTGAAATTTCCCCATTGTGGGACTAATAAGGATCACTTAATCTGATTTGAAATTTTAGCAACGTTTACCTTAAAAGATCTACAGAAACAGTCCAGAGTCTTTTTACATTAACTTCCAGAATGTTTTTTACATTCCAACAGCAAGTGTGTTAACATTAACCTATAAACGTCATATAAACACAATGTATAAACATTAACATATCAACATATGAACACAAGGCACAAGATGTTTTTTTTTCCTCTACTGAATATATCATGTCGAGACACCCCACATCACATCGAATCAAATTTTTAATTTTTTAATATTGTCAATATTTTCAATATTGTCACACCCCCAACATAAACATGAGCTGAAAGGCTGATAAACACACACACACCTGAGCTGGTGGGCTTTTCTGTAGTAGTAAAGCGAATAAAAAGGCATCTTGAGGATCTCGTACGTCTGTCCAAGTCCGTACCAGGCCCGATAGTCCCTTTTATTCACTTCAATAGCATGTCTGATTTTAAAGATGAAAAAGAGAACATGTAAACATACAGCACTGAGCACTCACTCCAAACTCTTTCACCCTCGCAGAGAAAACATGAGTTCCAGCATTTTATTTTAGACCAAAAACACAAACAGAGCCTTCAAACACTTCTGTTCATATACAGCTTCTTATCTGAACTTTCCGTTCCACCTTAAATGATGCAGCTGTGACACTCTGGCGCCACACAGATTTCATTTCCTACACAGATTTTTATTTGCGAGCCTCTTATTCACATTTTCCACCCCACCTTAAATGGTGCTGCTAGTTCATTCTGCTCTTTACAACACCTGTAATATTTAAGGTGGAACAGAAAATTTGAATAAAAAGCCAGTTTAGCCTCGTATTAATACTGACAGATGCTGGATGGACTACGAGGTTTCACTGCAAGTCAGTAAGTTACTGGAACGGAGACTGTGATCCAGATCCTCTCGTCCAACATTAGAGTCTGACCTCACAAATGCTCTTTAGACTGAATGGACACAGATTCTCACAGACTCATTCCAAAATCTTGTAGAAAGCTTCTCAGGCTGTTACACCAGCAAAAGGGGGCAACTCCATATTAATACCCATGGATTTGGAATGGGACATCCAACAAGCTCATGCAGGTGTGATGGTCAGGTGTCCACATACTTTTGTATACAGTGTATATCCATAGCAATCTTTACAGTGTTTTCAGTAACGTTACTGAGGCTGACCTGTAGGCCTGGATGGCTGCTGACGTGTTCTTCATCTCCATGTACTCGTGCCCCATGAGAGTCCAGGCCCCCAGACAGCGTGGGTTCAGCTTCAGAGCTCTCTGGAAATACAGCGCTGCCTTCTCATGCTGGGAGCGCAGACTGTAGTAATTACCTATACGTTAATACAGGTAGGAGAGAAATGCAGGCGGTTTAGAAGACAGTAAATCTCCAATCCAGCAGTGCCCAACCTGCTTACTGGAGATCTACTCAAATTAAATATCAAAATACATTATGACAATACTTTTACTGAACTCTGCTACTATAATCTTTTATTTCTTCAAGACTGAGTTTAAACTCATATTCAATCACTGCGTTTGTGCCAGTGTCATCTTATTAAAAATAAATATGAAAAGTAAATGTTAAAGCGCCGCCCATCCCACAAAAAAGCCCCGGTTTAACCGTTTACTGTGATTATTTCTCAGTAACCTGAATAAGAGGATGCTGATAACGGCACAAGCCTACATCACTGTGTTGTTTATTCTCTGTGACCAGCTTCAAGTATGTAGTGAAGTTTGTTTTTTAAATATAAACCCAGTTGCATCACTAGGACTGTGTGCAGTGGCCTCAGGTACTCACCAATAACACAGCACGTCTCCACTCGGTACTTATCAATCTCCACCAGGTTATGGGCCAAATAGCTGAGCTCTGGCTTCATGCTCTGAAAAAGTGAAATAAAATTTAGGTAATTAACAAATTAAATTTAGTGTAAAGCACTTTTAGCTACTGGCATTTATATTCCCAATAGGGCCACTAGTTCAAATACTAAAAAGGAAAGAAAGAAAAAATAAGGACACAGTGTTACCGATGTGAAACACCAGCATGTAGCACCTCAAAAGATCTAGACAATATGCACTTCTCTCATGTCCACCAAGCTCAGTAGACTCAGCCATTTCACTGTTTTCACTGTTGTTATTAGAGTGTGTAGCTCCCCCTGGTCGACAATCCAGTGTGTGAGTGAGTAATAAATGACCAGCCAGGTCCTCAAATCTAAAAAAGGTCATCTAAGAAATGTCACTGCTGTTTACCAGCTTGGCTGAATAATCTTGATCTTATTGGGGAAGGGCATTTCAGTCAAATTTTAAATTTGAATTAATTATTTAATAATTTATATAAGTTACTAGCGATAAAAATTCTGAATGATTTTACCCTGTAAATCCTCCTGCTTTAGTTTAAAGTTTTAGGATTAAACAGGTGAAGATTAATTGCTCATCATTACCGCTCAGAGAGAGAAAAGCACAGTATGGAGAGTTAGAGTCAGAGTCAGAGTCAGAGTCAGAGTCAGAGCTACACAAACTAAAAAACAAATACATTCATTAAAGCGAAGCTTAAACTGCGGCTTTTCTGTGATGTTTATTTATCCGTTATCTAATGAGGGATATTATTGTCACTGCGCTGTCTTTAAACTGTGCCAAGTATCAGGTTTTATTCAGCTGTGGTTGGCGACGGGCCAGTGTGGGTCAGTTTTGGACACAGTTTCGTCAGATTCAGGTGCGTTTCAAACAAAACACTTCTTAAACCAGCATTTTATGTTTTGTAGACCAAATAATCAGAATAATCAGTGATCTCACCCTGACATAGAGAAGGTTGGAGAAGGTGTCCATGTTCTCAATCCGGAACGGATCTTGCTCCCGAAGTTCATTAAACAGATCTAAGGCCTGGTCGATGTCTGTGGTGCAAAAACATCAACTTTGCTGTGATATTTCATGCTGAACTGAAAATACAGTACTGTGCAAAAATTTTAGACACCTGAGAGAATTATATTCATCAGGCCAATAAGTGATTATTATAATACTAGAATAAATACTAACAACATTAATACATGTAGTGACTTTATGTAAATTAATGTGATTGATTAACCATTTCCAAACTTCTCCACTATTAACTGTAGTCATCATCCAAACCTGGGTGAGGAGGAGTCAGAGGCCATATTACAGAAACTTCCTCTCTTGTTGTCTGAAGTATCAGACAGGTCAAGATAAGATTTGTCACAAATTCATATTACAGAAACACTGGTTTCATTAATTTAGCAATCTTATCTAACAGCATCTAATCTCCAGTTAGGAAATCTAAACCTACTCGATAGAAGTCGATAATCAGCTGTCATGTCTATTTCCTAGCAACCAACCATACACACACAATGTTAAAATGTGAGTTAAGCTGCTGTTACTGATGTAAAAAAGGTCAAACTGAACTAAAATGTGATAAACTGTAGGTTGTGAATACTGTGAGAGCGCCCCCTGCTGTTCATCAGAGCGTCGCCGCTCCCCAGTTTCAGTCTCCATTTCCCAAACGCTTTAGCCGAGCGCGCTAACGTTACTCCTCCTAATAAACAGACACACGTTCAGCTCCGCCTCCTCATTATTCACCACCATCACTGTAATATTTCATCATCAACATTAACACACGAAGGTGATCAGAGGGGCGGTGGAGATCGAGTCTGCAGCGTCTGAGATCTTTAAAACGCAGAGTTAGAAAAGAAAATCATCTCACAGTGAAAGCAGCGTTTTACAGTAGGAATAAATGGAGCTCATTATGCTGGTAGTGAACTATGCTGCTGACTCAGCTGCCTAAAAACCAGAGAAACGGACCTTAAACAGAAGTGAGGACCCTGTTGGGGTTCATCCTAAAGTTAGGACAGGATTTAGGAGGTTCAGTCTAGTTAGGATGTTTGTGTGATGCTGTTTTCTTATCTGGAGTTCATGATGAGATTATGAAGTTAGGAACTGTTATTCTGGAATAGATACTGTCCGAAATTCAGTCTGTACTGAAGTCGTCATGGAGACCAAACAGATCAGATTTCAGAGTTAGGATGTTTCTGTAGTGCAGTCTCTGGACCCAAACCTGCGTTCTTCTAACTGGCTCTCAAGACATCAACTACTTTTCTGAAAACAGGAAAGCAGTGTTTCTTTTTACTGTGTCCAAGTTTGTAATCATTCTAATGTTACATGGTGTTTTTCTATTTCCCAGACAGTTTTAAACAGTTTGCTGAGGTGCCTAAGACGTCTGCACTGCACTGTAAATGTGTTTATATAATGCAGATTATCAGACACACCTCTAATATTGTGATACGCCACGGCGATCTGGGAGATGATGTAGGTGCTCTTGGCGAATCCAGCGTCCATCAGGCTCTGGTACTTCTGCAGCGCCTCTTTGATCATCTGCAGCTCGGTGTACATGTGCGCCATGAAAAAGTCCCTCACCCAGCAGTCGGGCAGAGACAGAGACTTCAGCTACGGAACGGAGAAGAAACAACTGACTCAGCAGCACGAAAGATACAAACGAACTAAAGAATGAGTGCAGGTGCAGCGCAAAACATGCTCAAACCAACTTTCAGTTTCATAAGGCTGTGGTTAATCATGCACACAGCCCCGCCCACTAACAGTGTTATTCTGTGGGTAAATATTCTTCCAGCTCATGTTTGAGGCTCGACGGCATTTTAGGGCCACTGTTAATAAAAATAAAAATAGTAGACTTCGAGAAAAAAGTTGTAATATTTTGAGAAAAATGTCGTAGAATTTCGACATTAAAGTGGCATTAATACCAGGAAAGTGGCCAAAGGCTTTGCGAAGTGAAGGCAGCACCTCCTGGTGTTAATTGAGGGGCGGTGAGTTGGTGGAGTTCTACTTTCATATCGATTCACCCATAAAGAAACACTCAGTCTCCCTGTCTCTCCTGCACATCAGCACCAGCCTGTTATTAGTATAAGAACCGGCTGAAACGGCTGAGCAGGAAACTGTGTTTATCTAGAATAAAGAGCCAGACGGACTCGGAGGAAACTGTCTGTCTGTGTTGTTGAAGGAGAACCTCAGGCAGGGTCGTCTACACGGCTATCGGGGCTCCATCTCCCCCCATTCAAAGAGGGCATGAAGTTTCACAGACAGTGAGAATGATGATCAACATGATCCACAGAGAGACAGGAGTGAGTGGAGCTCCGGCGCCAGTACAGCAACCGAGACCCCAACGCGTTATGGCAGCCCCCCTACAGTACAGCAACCGAGACCCCAACGCGTTATGGCAGCCCCCCTACAGTACAGCAACCGAGACCCCAACACGTTATGGCAGCCCCCTACAGTTAGCCTCCCTACAGTTAGCCCCCCTACAGTTAGCCCACTTTATCCTTCAAATATTATTACTTTTTCTCGTAGTCTAGTATTTTTATTAACAGTGGCCATAAAACGCCGTTGTATGTATCTCCATCTAGCCACTGTTTCTGCTGCTGTTGTTTCAGGAGTCTCAGTAACGTCTTTGCGCTGCTAATTGTAAAATTTCTGCCTGTTTCTCAAACACCACTCGCAGCACAAACTGTACAGTCAAGAACACTTTCAATAGCTCTGCCCGTTTCTGCATTGTCCTCTCACGTTTTGCACAATTCCCCCTCTAATGCAGCTACTTATGGGTGTCGTGATTATGTACAGAGGAGCTAAACGTAGTGCTGGTCACGCAGGCTCTAACTGTGGTCTAACTGACCACTGAACCGTCCCTCAGCCCTCAGAGATTTACGGCCTTTTTGGAACTACAGCCAGCTTTAGTGTTAAGAAGGTATTTGATCAACATGGGCTGACCTACAGAAATACACAGAAACAGATAAATGAGTAAATACAGGTGCAGCCGTTCACAGTATCAGTGCAAAACGAAAATGAAAATAAAATCCAAACGGAGTCTGTAAACAATTGGAGGTAAACAAAACAAACATCTTTTACAACTTGCTAAAGCCCATATTTACACTCAAAGTAAGAACGCTCCCGGTCATCAGGAGATCGCGAGTTCGATCCCTGGTGATGCTACAGCCGTCCGTAGCCGGGAGTCCAAGAGAGCACAATTGGCCTCGCTCTCTCTGGGTGGGTAGGATGGCCCCTCCTTCTCCCCCCATCACTCAGCGCGATGCTGACGTAACAGATCTGGCGGTTGGCGCTTTCCTCCGAGCGCGTTCGGCTGTCCAGTGACGTTGCGTGAGCGGCAGCTCGAAAAGAAGCGGTGGCTTCACAGGTCTCGGAGGAAGCCTGTGTTAGCCTTCACCCTCCTAGCGCTCGTAGTGTTGTGTGATTGGGGGAGTCCTAACTAGCGGGTGGAACTGGAGACGACTAAATTGGGAAGATAATTGGGTAAAAATCCACAAGAATGCTGACATTGACTGTATGAACACTGCAACAGTGTTTTATCATTATAATTCACTAAAACCAACAAATATATAAGTGTTTGACCGATGTTTTCCCTTAAACCGTTGATTTAATTTTTGATGAACTGCTCATATTTTAATTGGCAGTTTTTCATTCAACGTGATGATAATTTTTTAATTGTTCTCATGCGGGCGCAACCTGTTCCAGCAGCCCTGCATAGCTGACTAACTCTCAACTCCATTTAATCTGAACCAGTAGCAGATTAATTGGGACCCAGCAGAGGTTAATCCATCCTAAATGTAGTTTACTGTAGGGGTGAACGACATGGCAAAACATTACATCACGATATTTCAAGACATTTTTACGATACATGATATGCATCAAAATATTCAGTTTTTCAGTTGGAACAGACAAAATAGATCCGGTAGTGCCACACATAACAATGTTACAATAAAAATAAAAATAATAATAAATATATATTAATATATATAATAATAAAACTTACAACCACAATGATTTTTATTCTTGTTTTTACTGCACTGAATTAAACAAGCTTCATTCTGTTCCCTCTGTAATGAAACATGTACGCAGTGTTTAATGAGTGCTGACAGTTTCCACAATATGTCATCACTGTCAGAAGAAAAACCTCATATCTCCAAAATGGTAACTTTACAGGAGAAGGAAAAAACCTACTTTACTTTTAATGTAAGTCAATGGAACCAGACTTTTTTCCAAATAATTTTGGGCCGTTTCTTTTGGTCCATTCATCATGAAATTTACACACAATGTAAAGAACAACAGGCATTTTCAAATTATGTCAAAAACTAAAAAATGACAAAAATGGAGATGTGAGATTTTCTTCCAACAGCAGCGACATGTTGGTTAATTGGGCTAATAATGATAGATGTAAGTCAGTAGACTACATTACATCACTGTCATATCTGTTACGCCAGTCTGCATTCTTTCATTCAACAAAGTCTAAAGTCTTATTTATACAATATACAGCTGTTTCTGATGTTTTGGCTCGTGTCTGTGATTTTAGGTGTGTAAGTTCACTTTTAATCACTAGAAATGTGAGCCCCTATTTAATATTTTTTCTCAGTTTAATTAAGCTACAGCTTCCAACATGGAAAAACAGTGTATAATGTGTATAACGTTCTAAACAGGTATGTTTTGTTTTATGGCCTTTTTTAATTGCCATTTGTAGCATTTAAAATTATCATCAAAACTGATCAACTTCCCTGATGATTTTAAAATCTCAGGTACATCCCTGTCATATCCGTTACACCAGGCTGCGTCATTTTTGGCTGCATTGTCTTATTTATACAATACACAGCGCTGTGTTTTGTTTTCAGGGCTTGTGTTTGTGATGTCAGGTGTGTAACTTATTATCACTAAATAAAGTCAAAAGAAATGTGAATTTCTATTTAACTCAACAATTATTCTCAGTACGATTAAGCTACAGTGTCCGACATGGCAAAACAGTAAAAATACCCTCTGATGGTTTAATCTGAGCGGTGGTGAGCAGTAGGGAGGGTGAATTTGTACCATTTCGATGTTGGTGATGAGGTTGCAGAGCTCCAGCCAGGCGCCCCAGTGCAGAGGAAGAGCGTGGGTCGCAGCGACGAAGATGTCCACCGCCTCTTTCAGGAGGTCCAGTTTCCGCAGCACCACGCCGTACCTGGAGGGCAGAGCGAGAGACCACAGGATGATTTTTGAGTGCAGGCAGAGAAGAGCAGAGCAAAGCTTGTGTGTTACTGTGGTTTGCCGTACAGGTAGAGGGCGAATCCGTCCAGCTCTCCGGCGCTGTGCTTCTTACTGAGCTCCACTCGCAGCTCTCGCAGTGCCTCGTTCCGCACCTGCCCTTTCTCCAGAGGACCTGCACCAACACCGGCAAAAACACTGTGAACGAGACTCACCACAGGACATTCCCACTGATTTAGGTGACGCATTCCACAGTTTTACTTATATTCTATGTATTTATATAAGTTTAATTATTACATCTTGTAATTCATTTCTACACAATACTCTCTTCGTCTTTAATGGAATTATGTTTTTGTTACTCTGCCTTTAAAGACTGAAGAGTAAACGGAATATTTCAGAACATTAACATTGTTTACGTACTACATCAATTTAAAAACATTCAAATTTCACACCACTCTAGGATGTGTAGAGTCTTTGGAGGCTGCAATGATCCATTTTGCTTCCTGACGGAAGGATAAAAAGACTGATGAGGTAGTTTGACGGTGCGATTGTACTTGCCAGCTTAGTTTTCGCTTCGTTGTTAGCATTTGTTCAGTTAGACGTTCACATTTCCAGGCTTAAGTGGCACAAAACTGATTTTTTGCCTTAACGTGACACCGAGCTGATTATTTCATCTGTCCTGAGCTGCTTTTAATATGTGGTCCTAGATCAGATTCGTATCCGATTGGTGGCTGGGCGACTTTAATGAGAACAGTCAGATTAGAATTACGCGTTTTTTTGGATGCGCTGTTTTTCAGTGTTAACATGGCAGCTGCACCAAATCTGAAGTCAGAGCCACTAAACAGTGTTAAAGTATCTGAGCCTCTTTCACCAGAAGAGCTGAGAGCTGATCAGAGTGAGTGAACTTGGTGATGAAGTTGCTCTGCTGGTTAGTTCGTTTGTTGTTCATGAAGCACGTAGTTCACTGAGGTGACGTTATTGATTAGGATGCGCGTGCAGGACGTTTTGGGATGTGGCTTCACATTATTGACAGATTTGAGTCACTTTCCTACACCATTGTGACCCAACAAGTAAGAAAGTTCAGATCTGAGCAAAAAATGGGAACCGAGCAACGAGGCTCGTAATGTGAACAGCCATTCCTTCAGCGTGGTCTTACAGTCTGGGTTAGAGTTCCTCCTGCTCTAATAAACCTCATCCAGCTCACAAAGTCACAGCAGCAACAACAAGACACCGTCCTTCAGAACCACATCAACATGACAGGAATAAAAATATTAATCTTGATCAAATCACTTTCTCACCCAGGCTGTCAACAGTCTCGTCATCTTTCTTCTTCTCCCCGGACTGTAAACGTGATAGATGGAGAAATGAGCAAAGAGCATTTAACAGGAAAAAACTGAGCCCATTAATGTGAAATGTTATATTTGGGCTGCTCCGATTCTCTGAACACAAATCTTCTCATTCAATTCAGTGTTTTGGTTACATGGTGAGCACTGACTTTTAACTCTTTAACACAACAGAAAATCTAAATTTAATAGTTAATAAAAGAACAAAAATTATCTGATTAAAAAAATTCAAACGTGTCCAGAGTTTCATCAAAAACTACAGCTACGCAAAATTATCACTTTAGACCAGTCAAAACAAGGTCTGCGGCATTTTTTCTCACCCTACTAAATTTAGTTAGACATGAATGGTGTTAAATATTAAACAGTTAATATTAGAGATAAATTAACATCATCTTCTCACCAGATATCGAGAGTACATGTAGAGGAAATAGGCTTTCTGGCTGCGACAGCCTCGGAGGAAATATGCCGCCCTGTCGTACTCCTTCAGGTCAAAATACGACTTGGCCAAACAGAGAGCGTCCAGATCCTGAGCGTCCTCCTGAAGAACGAGCAAACAACACATATAATCTGACCGGTCAGAGGACCGCCCCTGACCGGTCAGAAGGCCGCCCTGCTTCCTGCCAGATGAGACAGAGTCCTGGTCAGAGACGTATGGAAATAAACCTGCTGTCCAGTGTTAAACTCACCTCAGTCAGCTCAGGCGGGGAGGGCAGCTTACTGAGTGGAAGAGGGTTGAGAGCGAAGGCCAACTCAGACGCCCTGATTGAAATAAGAAGAAGGAGAATCACCACCTGCAGCTGGACACCAGTCCAAACCAGAGGTTCAGCCCCTCTTTGAACGTGAACCGTTTTAATGAGTCTGAATCATATATTGAATCATATATTAAAGAACACAACGCTGTATGATCAAAGAACTTCTGTTTTTACTGCTGTTCCAACAAATACATGCATGAGCTCCTTCTGGTGTAGGTTTATTGTTACTTGCGTGCTAACAGCGCTCCCTGCTGGAGAAACTTTATAGGTGTGACTTCCAAAGCCACACAGCATTAAAGCAGAGCTGCTCTGGAATTCCACTATAGAAGCCTTTGGATTTAGCCCCTCAGTCTGTTACAGTTAAGCCCACCTAAGACATGAGCTACAACATTCAGAATTATTAATGAACAGTAAGTCATCTGGGCCACCTTCCAAAAAACAGTACAAAAGTGTTTAATGTGTGACGCTGATTATCTTAAACCTTTGGAGGACAAAATAAATGGAATAAAAATACAAATAAAGAACAGTTAAAGGGACACTCCAGCCAAAATAAACAATTTAACATCACTACATCTGTTGTAAACAGATCCTACTCTTCTCCTATAGTGGTCCCGCAGGGGTCTCTAGAGTGAGATTCTACCGTTTAGAGACTAGGACCCCCGCCCCTCTGATGATGTAGCTTGAAGGTGGGAGGAACATCTGAAAAACTACAACTGACGTTTGAGGACAGGACGAGGATTCCCACTAGCTGCATGACGTATTTGTGCACTGCATGCTGGGTATTGTAGTTTAAGAACAAATCTGTTCTGTCGAACTAATAAAGCTGAGAGATTCAACAGAATATTGCAGAACAAGACAGATAACTTATGAAAAGCTAGTTTAGGGCCTCAATGCACATTTAAAAACACAACTTTACCATAATTCTGTGGTTTCTATTGAGTCCTTATTTAGTCTGTTAGAGGATTTAAAAGCGTTTACAGAGAGATTCTGAATAAAGTGATGTTAAATTGACCATTTCTGTGACGAAATAACTGTTGTTTCTGTCGTTTTTGTACTGGAGTCTTTCTGCTCTCAGTGTTTATGAACGTACAGAGTTCATCCTCCTCTTTCTGGACTGAATCAGCAGCAGAGATCAGAGTTTTAAACCGCTGCGTTTCTCGTATTTTACACAAACACAGTGATGTCTGTGATTAAACTTAGTTACAGTGAGAGTTTCACACCCTGAGCTGCTGGTTACGAAGCTGAACTTTCCGGTCCACCTTAAACGCTGCGCCAGGTTCGTTCCACAGCCTACAGGACGCAGAGAGTAACGTTAACGGCTGCAGCATTTAAGGTGGCGCGGAAAGTTGGAATGAGAAGCTAACGAGCCTGAAGCCGACTGCAGTTTTCCGGCTCGTTCAGCGTTTCTATCCGGAAATGAGCGCCGTTTGTGGAGGTGTCGTTGTGTTTTCTCACCATTTGGCGCTGTGGACCAGCCCGCGCTCCCGGCACTGATCCTGAACCTCCACCAGCTGCCGCTTCACCCGCACCAGGTCCTGCAGCTCCGCGCTGAGCGCCGCCATCTCTCCCGCCTAGTGGAGTACACACAGCCACAGCGCCCCCAGCGGACACCAGGGGAATTACACTCATCACACTGCGCCCCCAGCGGACACCAGAGGAATTACACTCATCACACTGCGCCCCCAGCGGACACCAGAGGAATTACACTCATCACAATGCGCCCCCAGCGGACACCAGGGGAATTACACTCATCACACTGCGCCCCCAGCGAACACCAGAGGAATTACACTCATCACAATGCGCCCCCAGCGGACACCAGAGGAATTACACTCATCACACTGCGCCCCCAGCGGACACCAGAGGAATTACAGTCATCATACTGCGACCCCAGCGGACATCGTTGGTTCATTGTTGGTACATTGTTGGTTTCTGAACCATTTCATACAATTCTCAACAAAATCTTTGACTTAAGATAACTGTTGACCGTAGAAACTGTATTTTTACCGCCACTTTAATGCAGGTGACAGTACATATATTCATCAATAATTGATCTAGAACTAATATCATCCATAAATCCATTCACTTGTTTTCATCTGCACAAATGATTTTTTTTTTTAGTTTTGTAAATATTGCTGTCTCCAGTCATACTGAACATTTATGGAGGATCTAAAAACTTAAAAAGAGGGACTTTCCTAAAGTTGGGGAATATAAGACAGTTTGCTGAGAGGAATAAGCCAAAAACTGAACCACAATGCTGAAAAAAGCTAACCTTACTGTACACATCTCCATCCTGTACCTGCCAACAGCTTTATACAGCGCAGTACTGCGGTTATTAATTCGTGGTCTATGAATACTTCTTTCTCATCAGTTTGAAGTGGATATTTGCACTGGACGTATATTAAATTACAAAAATAAAAATAGTTGTTTCCCCTCACTGTGTAAACACAGACTAATATAATATATACTGCTTTATGAACTATTACTGTTTTCACCACAAATAGAGGAAATAAAAAAGAACATTTTTAAATTCAGTTTATTAAAGGACAGCTTATTTTACTTCATGCGGAAGCAGAAAAAACAACTCAGATTTGAAAAACAATATTTACACACAGTATTTATATTTATTTATGTATTTCTGTAACTGTTCAGTCAAAAACAGAGAAGAAAATGTGTGAATATATAAAAGTAAGTTCAGAGTCAGCGGTGCGACTGTTAAACCCAAACTAGATGAATCGGCTAAAAAGTTTCCTCTCCTGTACTTTATTAATGTCCTCATATCATCAGCGTTCTTCTCTGATCTGAGTGAAAAAGGCGATTAAGATCCAAAACCCACACAGAAACCTGATACACGGCCGAACACGCACATGTACCATAAAAGACTAGACATAGGTTTCAAAATATGCTGTGTACATAAATCAAATATTGAACAAGCTACAATATGAATATATGCCATCCATATAGGTTTATATATATATATATATATATATATATATATATATATATATATATATATATATATATGTGTGTGTGTGTGTGTGTGTGTGTGTTTAATATAAATTGACTATAAGGGAAATCCATATATTACATATGTGCTAACATGTCATACATATGAAATCCATATGCTGCCAAATATCAGATTTCTGTATGGGAAGAGTCTGAGGTGTGAATGAATAAAGGAGAGTCTGTTCACTTCCTTTTCCTGCAGCTTCACTGACTGACCAGTCATGGTTTGATCTGTTTAAGGATGGAAATCGTCTGGTTTGGCTGTGTCTGTATTAGAGCTGTCCACTCTGGACTAATCAGCCACAGCGTTCTTAGTCCACTGAGATATTTAGTCCACATTTTTTATTTCTTTATTACAGATTTACTCATGTTTAAGTGAATTTTAATCAAAATGGTAGACAGTTCTGCATGTTTGGAGCGTTTAATGTGCCTATAAAGACTAATTTAAATGTATTTAAATATTTAAAAATAAATGGTTGTGTTACAGAAGATTCTCTGCACTTTGACCTTCATAAAGACGGTTAAGAGTTCAGTATAGGTGGGCTTCCTGTTTACAAACATTACTGGGTGGGCACGCAGTCAGGGGGCAAGACCACTTTGGTAACTTAGCCATTAGCTAAGCGGCCCCTAGCTGAGCGCATCTCCGTGATGACGCTGCACAGAAACCCGTCTCTTTATACTGGCTGACCAAACTGTCCAGCCACTAACTGTCCAAATATCAGCGTTAGTGAAGTTAGCTTATCTGTGTTTGGACAGTCAGCAGCTGAGCGTCTTGGTGAATCAGTGTGAGGATATTACAGCACTTCATGCTAGTCTAGGCTCATCTGTGCTGGTTTAGCTGGTCACCTTGTGTGGTCTTGGTGTTTACAGCACATCAGCATCCAAAACACAACATGCTGGTTTTGCTTATCTAGCAGGGAAGTTAGCCTGGTTACCGATGATTGACCAGTTATTAAACACTTATTAGTAATTAAACAGATCATCCAGTGTGAGGACAGTGTAAATACTGTCCAAACACCACTAATGTTGGCCAAGTTAGCCTTGTTAGCCTATGCATACCTGGTTACCATGCTGTTAGCTAGTTAAAGGAACTGACAAAGGTTCTGTTGGTACATATGAAATTTGCACTGCAACTTGATCAATAATAATAATAATAATAATAATAATAATAATGATAATAATAATAATAACAATAACAACATTCAAGCCATTTAACCATTGTAGAGCAAATTCTGAGTGCAGGTGCTCTTTAAGGACTGTTAACTCGGCCTTCACTGCTAGAAAAATCAGCACAGACCAGCTCGGCCGCTCACCAGCAAAACCAGCAGATGTTGTGTTCTGGATGCTGGTATGCTGGTCAACCAAGTTGCAAGTAGCTAAAGTGAAGTGTATTATTTGACCCCTCAGGGGGACAAAGGATCCAATGAAGTGTCGACTTCATTTCATCTAGTATCTGAGGCGTTTTCCTCATTGTACCTGAAAAAGGTGGACAGAGCTGTGGCAGCAGTGAACTACTTTCAAATGCTTAACATCTCAAATCCATCCTGACCACTATGTTCAAACAGCTAAGAAAAACATTCTTCTGCATTTGCATTAAATGCAAGTGCATTTCAGGTGAAAAATCCACAAGGCTAATGGAGGTGTGACGCACTTTGGGCCTAAAGTTTTATTACACACTCCTATAACCTAAGAATAGCTCAGCCAGTTTGCATTGACGTCCCTGTAGTTACTAAATAATAAACCTTAATATGTTATAAGACTGAGATTTTAAGGGGTTAAAGCGTGACCAAAAAAACATGATATAGCAACATATAAGCTTCATTTTAAATTGTCATTTTTTAAAAATCCCTGCTTAATCAAATGGTTGAGATGTGAACAGACTCATTCAGAGTGGTTTGGTTTGAAACGCTCTGTTCTAGATAAACTTACTGAGTCAGAACTGTTCACAGTGGTGGTGATAGGAACCAGACGTCCACCTCTAAAAGCTCCCTCACAGAAAGTTACTACAGTAAATGGTTATGAATTCACTGCCTGATGACTGAGACACTGTTTTATGATAGTTTAGAGAACTTAAACTCCATTCATGGTGGAGGGATACATGCAGGGTGCTGTGAGGCAAAATAGTCCCCAAAGAAAACTTATTATTTCAGATTTTCCACTATTTTCCATCATCAACATTCCATATAGACTCAGAAGACTCGTGTAGGTTCACTGGTGGTTCTGGATAGTAAATAAAATGTCTATATCTGTGTTGTAGTCATGGCGACCCCTGGTTCCTATCACCACCACTGTAAAGACATCTGAACCGTTTCACACCAAACCGCTCTGAACCTCTCTGATTACATCTCACACACTGGATTATTGAGGAATTTTGATAAATCAGTGGAACTTGTCCTTAAGGTTCTACAGTTCAGTGTTTTGTGAAACTAGTTGACTCTCAGCAGAAAATTCAGACCTTCTGGTCGACTAATAAAGTCCTTAGTTGCCGACAGCCCTGTGTGCATTTCCATATTCATTTATTTGATCCAGTAACGTGCTTCAGGGGTTCCTCAGACAGACCACAAACAGAAACACATCGATCAGTCAGTCTCATCTGGATGTCAGACCAGCTGCATTATTCTCAACCGAGGAAGCTAAAAGTGAAATTTAATCACAGAGTGTTTGTCTAACATGATCATATCCTCAAAAGACTGAAAAAGAAAGCAAATGACACTAATGTGCTATATTGAGCTCATAAACATCACACTAAATGAGGGATAAGTGTAGTACACCGCTACATATAGGCACTATCAGAACGTGTTCAGAGTGAAAAATCTAAAAACTTCACATCACAAATCGCAGAAAAGACCATCTGTGAAATGCACACATTTATAAAAACCCTACATGGATCAAACGCGATCTTCAGAACAGGTGAGATGGGTTTAAAAAGAATGCGAAACATCAGTCACACGTAAATCTGAGGTAAATATGCTTCTCCTGGAGGGTTTCATCCATTATCCGGACGTCCTGCTTCTTCAGCTTCCTGCACTTTAGATCATCTCAATAATCAGTATCTGACCAAAGACTGAAGCTGTCCACAGGTCAGAATGAGAACTGTTCACACTGAAGAGAGCAGAAATGAAGAGGAACCTATGCTGTGTGTCCAAAAGTATCCAGACAGTCCAACTAAAAGTGGCACCCATTACTGCACCGATTATATAATCTCCATAGAAAAGCATTGACCAATAGAATGGGGCACTCTAAAGCAGCTGCATGTGATCCTCTCCATGTCCAATGCCCAGTGTGGGCTTGAGGGGTATAAAGCCCCCCAGCATTGGGCTGTGGAGCAGTGGAACTGTGTTCTCTGGAGTGATGGAGCTCCATCCAGTACCTTTGGGGTGAGTTGGAGTGATCCAGAACTGACCATCCAACATCAGTACCTGATCTCACTAATGCTCAATCAAATCCTGACAGCAATGTTCAACATCTAATAAAGCCTTCCCAGAAGAGTAGAGGCTGTTACTGCAGCACAGACTCACTATTAACACCTTCATTTCAGAAGAAACACTGAGGTCGACAGACTTTTGGACATGCAGTGTAAATGTGCATGATATGGCTTAAAGTATGTGTCCACCTGACCATCACACCTGTATGAGCTTGTTGGACGTCCCATTCCAAAACCATGGAGCTGCGCCCCCTTTGTAGCTATAACAGCCTCCACTCTATTGGGAAGATTTCCACAAGATTTTGGAGTGAGTCTGTGGGAATCTGTGTCCATTCAGTCTAAAGAGTATTTGTGAGGTCAGACACTGATGTTGGACGAGAGGGTCTGGCTCACAATCTCCGTTCTAGTTCATCCCAAAGGTGTTCAGTGGGGTTGAGGTCAGGGCTCTGTCCAGGCCACTGGAGTTCCTCCACACCAAACTGGTCACTCCATGTCTTTATGGAGCTGCTTTGTGCTCAGGGACTCAGTCATGCTGGAACAGGAAAGGCTCTTCCCCAAACTGCTGACACAAAGCTGGAAGCAGATAACTGTGTAAAATGTCTTTGTGCTGCAGCATCAACATCACCCTTCACTGGAACTGAGAGCCCAAACCCTGAAAAACAGCCCCGCCCATCATCCCTCCTCCACCAAACTCTACTGTTGGCTCTGCATTCCGGTAGGTAACGTCCTCCTGACATCCACCAAACCCAGATTCATCATCAGACTGACAGATAGTGAAGCTGATTCATCACTCCAGAGAACACGGTTCCACTGCTCCAGAGTCCAGTGGTGGCGCTTTACACCCCTCCAGCCGACACTTGGCATTGAGCATAGTGATCTTAGGCTTGTGTGCAGCTGCTCAGCCATGGAAACCCATTTCATGAAGCTCCTGATGCTCAGCTCTTGTGCTGATGTTGCTTCCAGAGGCAGTTTAAAAACTCTGTAATGAGTGATGAAACAGAGGATCAGCCATTTTTACATGCTATGCACTTTAGCACTCAGCGGCTCTGCTCTGTAAGTTTGGGTGGTTATCCGCTTCGTGGTTGAGCTGTTGTTGCTTCCATTTCACATTAATAGCACTTACAGTTGTCTAGGGCAGATCTAGCAGGACAGAGATTTTACAAACTGACATCCTGACATCCTATGACAGTGCCATGTTTAAAGTCACTGAGGTCTTTAGTGTGACCCATTCTCCTACAAAAGTATCCAAAAGCAGGAGATACAAGTGTTTCATTACTGTAACTGAGCCAGATGTGCATGTAGTGCTAATTTATTACAGAACAGATACCAGGCTGGTCAGGACGGACACAGAGAGCTTCAGTAAAAGGAGCCCCTGGAGTAGCCGCTCTTAAAGCTGCATTCTGTAAAATCTTCCTTGGAAGTTTTCTAAGCTAAAAGTCCTGTAATTAGCCTAAAAATACTGGTCAGTTTAAATCAGGGCCCAATCAATGTGGGATTCTGTGGCCAATAATGATTTTAAGAGGCTAAAAACTGCGATAGTTGATACAATTGTAAATGTTAAGTTTAATCTAAGTTTTACTTCTGTGCTTTACTGACTGATATGCTGGTCAGGTCTCACTTCTTAAACTCAAATTAACAGCATAAACTTAGTCTAACAGGGTTCATATCAGGGGAAACAAACTGTCCTCACTTTTTTTGAAATGTAGCTCGTAAACACAGATAAACACAAAAACTAGGCTACAAAAACAGTATTTGTGACGTCACATTTACATTTATCAACCTATTTAGCCTATAGTAGTTTAGCCCTGCCCATTCACGCTGCAGTTATAAGGAGTGTTTCAGCCTGTACTGCTTTTGAATGAAGCACAATCAGAACACAAGTCATCAGTATCAGCTGATGTTATCAGCAAACTGATGTATCAATCAGGCTCTACTGCAAAGTCCAGAAACACTGACCCCTATTCATCAAAGCTGCAACAAAAGTGGAGATTTGAGCTCTGAATCGGCTTCAGTGCGTGAAACCAAGCGCAGCCCATCAGAACCTCATTTACATGTTATTTACATGAAACATGCCCTAATTTATGCATGTTTCAGTAGGGAGCCAATAAAACGACAGCGTTCAGTGGCTCAAGGGCCAGTGGCTGTGCTCGTAGGCGGAGTTTCAGGTGGATCAGTGAGTGCACTGCGCCCCCTACTGACCAAACTTTATAGTGTTCAAATTACTGAAAAGAATAAAATGTGAATTAATGCAGCTGTATTAATGCAGTGTATGACACTAGCTGTGTTTGTGTTGTTTATTTTGTGGGTGGAGTCAATAACATAGTATAAAATAAAAGCACAGTGTAATACATCTTTAAATGGAACATGAAATAGTTGCAACAGTTGTTTATAAAAATGTTTGTTTATTAATCAACCAACGTGGATGTAAAATGAGTACTGGATTGCAATGTGCACATATTATTAGTACTATTATATTTTTCTATTTTTGTTCTTATTAGCAGTATTGAACTGTAGATGACATTGAAAATAGTTTTGCTTAGTTGATCGTGAATCAAGCATTTCTTTCACGTTGGTAAACTAATACATTCAAATTGACGCACTTAAACCAGACGTGGGTTTGTGATATGCTAAAGATAAAAAAACTGATAAATAATAACAAATAATAATTTGAATAACAAAACTGGTGGTGAAATGTGATTTTACGATCTGATTGGACGTACGCAGCTCGGATGAAAAAGGGCCAATGTTTATCTTTGCTATTATGCAGGGCACTTTAATGTGACTTATTGACAAATCCTGCACAGCAAGACAGTAAATTATTTATATTTATTAACTCAGATTGTCAGAAACAAAACCTCAAAGCTAACAGAGAACTGACCAGCACACTGCAGGAGCTGAGGATTCACATAAATTCACAATAATAAATAATGCCACACTAATGTCCAGCTAGTTAGCAGAACTAACCAATGTTGCCAAAAAGCTTTTAGACTGGACACCTGCTGGGATTTTGAAATTGAAAACAAGAGATTTTAATGAATGTAATTCATATTAACTTGCTAGTATAGTATAGCTTATCAAAGGCCTGCTTCACAATAAAGCCAAATAAAAACGGAATTCCACCATTTTTAAAAAAATTCTGCAAAATGAAACGGTTAAAGGGAAATTCCACCGTGTTCGCAAAATTCCTCCATAATTGAGTGGTTGAGATGTAAACAGAGTGGTTCAGAGCGGTTCAGAGCGGTTCAGAGTGGTTCGGTATGAAACACTCTGTTCTAGATAAACTTGCCGAGTCAGAACTGTTCACAGTGGTGGTGATAGGAACCAGACGTCCACCTCTAAAAGCTCCCTCACAGAAAGTTCCTACATGAAATGGTTATGAATTCACTGCCTGATGACTGAGACGCTGTTTTATGATAGTTTAGAGAACTTAAACTCCATTCATGGTGGAGGGATACATGCAGGGCGCTGTGAGGCAAAATAGTCCCCAAAGAAAACTTATTATTTCAGATTTTCCACTATTTTCCATCATCAACATTCCATATAAACTCAGAAGACTCGTGTAGGTTCACTGGTGGTTCTGGATAGTAAATAAAATGTCTATATTTGTGTTGTAGTCATGGCGACCCCTGGTTCCTATCATCACCACTGTAAAGACATCTGAACTTCACACCAAACCGCTCTGAATCTCTCTGATTACAGCGCATTGATTCAATTATGTAAAAACATGTAAAAATCGGTGGAATTCCCCTTTAATTACTGCACTATTGTGAAGCGTTTCTAGTCTTCCAGAATGCAGCTTTGATCACAGCACAAGTGCGACGTTGTTGATGAAACAGGCAGATCTGTGTGAAACTCTTTGGTGGGGTGATTGATTGATGGCACATTATGGAATAAACGCGGTACAAATATTGCACTCAATAAAACTCATCATTTTCATGCTGTAGTTACAAATATTAACAATAACTACTCAACACTTAAAGTTCTGCACTAAAAACCTTTCTGTGAAATAAGACGTGAAGTCTAAGTGATTAAAAACAGCTGACGAGAATAAACAACCTCACATATTTACTGTATAAACACATCATCTTCAGCTCAGGAGTAAAACCACCGCCGCGTGTGCTGACCGCCATCGCGCGGCTCGATCCAGAGCGATAATGAAGTTCTTCTTCTCCCTCACGACTGAGAACCCTAACGTAAGTATCCAGCGTGAGGTCCGTGGGGTCAGACCTGCGAGTATGGCGGGACGGCGGCGTGCAGCGGCAGAGCCACCACACTGTTCGACTGTCTGTCGCCCGGACAGATCTCCGACTGAGAGCAGGCCTCGGAGGACGCCATGATGCTCGGCGGGGGGGTCTTCGGGTGTCTTGCTGGGGGAAAGCCACTGATCAGAAACTGAGGAACTGATGAAACCAGAGCCATTTTTGGTGTCCTGGACAAAAGACAGAAAACATATAAACATCACACGTCTGTCTGCCGAGAGAGGAAATGAGATTCATTAATTCATTACAGAATCTTTATTTATTCAGACGCAGCCAATCAGAAAAGACTCGTCTGCTGTCTGGAGTTCGCTTCTTTAGTCTGGCTTTATAGGGTTAAACATTCACGCATCTTGAGTTGCTTGAAAACAAAGTGGGCTTGAGCTGCATAACGTAAAGTAGGGCTGCACAATAAATCGCATTTTATTGTGATCCACCATAAACACATCGTTAGAGCAGTGATGACAGAACAGATCTTTATCCCTTTTTAACCAGAATCTTAAGCCTTTTCTTTTTAGACACGGTTTACTGATTAATTTTTGTTTTGTTCTAAGTTACTCTGGTTCTCTGGTTCTCTGGACTTTTCTTTTATGACATAATTTAACGTTTCCTTTTAGACCTGTCTTATTAATTTCGTTTTGTTTATTTTCTGTAAAGCACCTTGAGTTGACTTTGTCATGAAATGTGTGCTACATAAATAAAATTTATTAATGACCTCACACAGAATATATTACAGAACACGAGTGTCTTAACAGCGTTATCAAACAGCTGTAACTACTCTAGCTGGAATTAGCTAGAACCCACAACAAAAACAAAAACACAACAAAAACTCTGACCTCAGCATTACCACAACATCCGCTAAACGGGAGAAGAAGCTTGTGTAGAAGCTCGTAAGCCACGCTTACAAGCAGCCTAATAATCTGTTAATAAATCGACTAATAGCTCAATCGACAGAGAACGCCAAGTTAATATCGTAAAGACCCAAGATAAGATTTTTACAAAATCTGAAAGGTTTTTCTGTCTAAACAATCTGAAAAGTTTTCTTTTAAATATTGCAAATTAACAGTGCACACAGTGGGCACCTCCGCTACACAAGTTCAGCCACCATCCTTACGCACGTTTGTTTGGGCCACAACCCGACAACAGAGCCTGATTTTAGCACAGAGCAGGCTTCGATGAAAACGTATGCAGCGTTGCAGTCGGCCAGTTTCAGACTCAACGTGAAAGACTGCATTAATACACGTGTGTTCGTTTTCAAAACTTGGTGTGTCTTTTTCATCCATACAAATCGGACTTCAGGTCTTCAGTCCTGTAGTCAAAAGTCAAAAGGTCTGTACTCCCATCTAGTGTCTGAAGGGTCCTGTGACCGAGGAGCCTCACGCAGGACTGCAGTGACCCTTTTACACAGTTCATATGTTTTACGCCACTGATCAGCTCTCAGGATCAGCTACGTTAGAGAAATAGGGGTTGAAAATCAGACGATACCAAGACACCAAGCCGATTCCATCTCTAGCTAAGTCTGTCACTTAGCAACTAACGATGCACAAACAGCTGCAGTGTTAACATGTGAACATAAGGTAGCTAACAATGTAAATGAGTTAGACAGCATTGTAAAAAAAAGTCAAAACAAAACTAAAGTGCAATTACCTGAAATTTGGAAAAAGTTAAGAATACTGCGCCACCTGCTGTTTAATGGGCGACACCGCCCCCAAGTTTCAGTTTCCATTTCCTAAACGCTTCGGCGTGTCTTTAAATGATCTTAGTGCTAAGTCTATTTCTGCTCATTCACAGCTAAACTGCTGTGATCAGCTTTTCTTTGGCTGAATGGTGGAGCCGTCAGTAGGAGATAAACATGCAGACGGTCTGCAGGCTGGCGTAACATTCACCACCGTCTAACACGTCTAACGTTGGCAAAGGCAAACTTGACTGAAAAACTGCTGAAAAACTGTTATCACAAGACAAAAGCTCTACTGATGAGTCTGTACGAACACTGAGCTCTGCTTTATTAAAGCCATGAAAAAACATACAAAGTTTACTGAGTGAGAGCTGCAGCTCCCCCTGCTGGACAAAAACCCTGAACGTTTTTATTTCTTCTTGTAAACTATAACGTGGAAGATGAAACACAGATGTATGAAACATAAATTAGTAAATGTATGAAATAAATAAACAAACAAATAAACAGATGCTGACAATTCTCTCATATATAAATAAAAGCATAAATAAATAAATATATGTGCCATAAAAATATACATAAATTAATAAATACAGGCTAGGAATGCATAAATAAGCAGTCTTGCTAAACTGAGGCGTGTTTTGCTGATGGGAGATTCTGTGAGCTCCCTCAAACTTCACATTAACTCTCTAATATAAAACTGCAGAAACATACTGTGTGAAAGTTGTGTCCATCTGTAGTTTTGTCCTGATCAAATTACATAATTTGTTGAGTGAAAAGAAATAAACACGAACTCTGCAGTAAACTTTGTGATATTTTCTCGTTAGGGCTGATTAGGCAAGTCATGAATTGTCATTCAGAACTGTCAGCTGATGACGTGTAGTGTAATAAAGTGTAATTAATTCTCTGGCTCTTTAAACCTTGTGCGAACACTTAACAACCAGGTTCTCCTCTGAGCAGCTGCTGAAGATCTGAAAATGAAGCTAACTGATGGCTACAAAGCAGCAGAAGGCTATAAGAAGAGCTTGCAATTTTTGTCATTAGGAAATGGCAGTTAGAACCGCACATGTCAAAGCAAGATAAGCGCTGCTCGTGTGCTGGACAGAAAAGGCAAAGCAAAACCCCCACATCACAGCAAAGGAGCTGCAGGAAGACTCAGACTGACCCTGGAGGTGGTGGAGTACCGTTACACTGCCTACTGTTACACAAGCATGATCTGCATGGAAGAGGCATCAGAAGGAAACCTGACCTGCGACCTCATCACCAACATCAACATCTGAAACATCTAAAAGCACTTTGGAAACAGAGCTGTGGGCTGATAAAAACATAACTCTTTGGCCACAATCAATAAATGAATGTTTAGAGAAAAAAAAGGTGCAGCAGTTGATGAAAAGAACACCGTGCTGACTGTTGAGCAGGGGGCAGATCTATTGTGCCTTGGCCAACATTATTATTAGTGATGCAGCAATCCCACTTTTGTCAGGTGGATATTTCGCGATTCAGACACAGATTTTTTGCAGAACACGCTCTGCTGTGTAAACGCAGCCTTAGCGATGCTAAATCTTTAGTATCTTCTCGGGCATAACAATAGTTAAATAAAGATATTTAACTATTTATCATTCAAATCTTTTTGTGTGATAATCATTTTAGTACTTTTAAAAAACTTCCTAAAGAACTTGATGAATAACGATCTATCTTAACTCATTTCTTAAGTAAGAAGAAAAAAACAGTTTTCTTAAGACAGATTTGTGAATCAGTCTCCTGTGTGGAGCCTCATTAGTGCAAAATTAGCTAATTAGCTAAACTTTAGAAAATCAATACATATATTAAGACGAATTTACTTGAAAATCTGTCTTATTATCTCTTATAAGATTGTAAAAATGCTTTTGAAGCTCTAAAGAAGCAGAAAGGTGCCGTTACTCGTTGCTGTCCTGCTCTTTGCTGGACAGATCGCAGGCTCCAGGTTTGTTGGTGATGCTGTAGGGAAACGCGGCTCCGCTGCTCGATCCGTAAGCCAGTTTGTTGAGGCGTGAGAGGGCCTTTATGCTCCCCGGGGGGCGTCCGGGGCTGACCTTGTATCCCGCAGCTCTGGTGGTCCCCAGTGGCCTCCCAGGGCTGGTTTTGAACCCAGCTGCTTTGGTGGTACCGAGCGGCCGGCCGGTGCTCGTTCTGTAACCGGCTAACTTTGTGGTCCCTACTGGCCGTCCACGTTTGCCAGACTTCCCCGTGCCTTTCTTTTTCTTAGAGTCCTCGGGTTTCTCGCCGGCTTTGAGGGCCACTCGTGCCGGGGGCCGTGGCTGCCCCGGGGTGGGCTGCCTCTGGCAGGGCGTGGGTGCCAGTTTGGGGCCTTGTGACGGTGAGGTGAGATGTGTTAGAGGAATCTGCAGGGACGGCGGAGGAGGTGAGGTGGGGTAGAACTTGTTCGCGTGGGCCGAACACAGGTCGAAGTGAGTAGCTGGGTGCCGGCTATCATCGGCCAAACACGAGGGCCTGCCGGTCAGGCAGTAATCGTTACTGGTGCTGGCAACCTGGCGCATCATCTGCAGAACCAGAGGAGCAGAAAACACAGATTACAGAGCTTCTGCACAGTGTTTTACACCCAGATTCAGCTTTTTCCTTCCCTGAACCCCAGAGGGCTTTTTCTTGAAAATATGTTTCATTTACAGAAATTACTGATTCATATTCATATTAATTTATGTTCAGTCTTTATTATCATATTTTAGAAATAATAACAATAACATGTCTAGAGTTCAGGGGGTTAATACCTGTGTAAGACCTCAGCAGAGGAAAATAATTCTCATTTCCACCTCAGAAGCTCTGCTGGCTGGATAATTTTGGTTCTGAGGTTTGGTATCATAAATGATGACTCTTTTCAACCTGGTCTTTAGGCTTCATATTAGTATTTAAAACCTCTAAGAATAAAAAATAAGACATTTTCAGACATTTTAGAGGCCTAGCACAGCGTTTTCCTCTTACTCAAAATCTTACCCCAGTTGCAAATCTATGAGTATCTATATACTTTTGTTTCATGGTAGCGTACTATTGCTGTTGGAACAAAACCTTTAATCTCCAAAATAACTTCACAGGAGAAGCAAAAAAAGTTCTTAACTTATAATGGAAGTTGATTCAACAACATCTTTCTCCACATAATTTAGGATCATTTCTGCTGGTCCGTTCGTCATGAAATTCTGAGACTGAAAAAGGTAACTGGAGATTTCATATCATGTACAAAAATTAAAAAATGTCAAAAATGGAGAGAGCAGGATTTTGTATGACAACGCTGACCTAAGTGTTTTTATTACCGCCCCCTAGCCACCTTTTTGGAGTTACACCTTTTTTGTTATAATGTTAACACTATTGACTACAGTAAATCTTTATCTTCAGCAACCTTATATTGCATATTCATAAACTGTGAAATCAACTTTCCCTCAGTATTGCAAAACTCTAAAATAGAGCAAATTTCTTTCTTTTCACGCTTTTTCTCTGGACTGCTGGTGCTGTTTGCCTGTCATCATTTCCATCCACAACACAGCACAACCTGAACCAACAAAAATAAAGCAGCCTTGATCATAAATTAACATAATATGATACGTTATTAAGATCATAAATGTTTGTATTCTTGTCATATAGTCATGTAGATATGCCAGCTGTTTGGTTTTATGTGGAAAAAAATCCCTTTTGTGCATAGTTTTTGTTTGGACGTTTAGCCCCGCTAGCATAATGCTAATTTCTGCTAGCGCCTGTATGGAATTCACCATTGTATGTTAGCATCAAGCTAACAGCGCTGTTCGTCACTTTCCCAAAGGAGGTTTAACACTTCTTACAGCAGCTGTAGATTGGCATTTGAAGCCGGTAAAACCTGCATGTAACATATTTCACTTTACCTATTTTTCAGTAAATATTCAGTTTTTTTGTGAATCTTCAGTATTATTTGAGCTTCAAGCCTGACATTAACTGTTAAATGTCTGTTAGCCTGTTAGCTCTCTGGCGATAAGCTGAGATATCTGAAAGCTCGTTCTTCAGGCTGGGTTAGTGTGATGATCCTGCACAATATTTGAAAATAAACTGAGTAAGTTTAATGTAATTTGAGAAATACAGTCAATCAAGAGGTGGTTATTAATTTAGAACACATTGAGGGTCACATTCACACAGCAAAATAAAGTAATAAAATTGGGAAAATGTTTCTAATTCAGTGTGTGAGATGTAAACAAAGTGGTTCAGAGTGGTTTGGTGTGAAATGGTTCAGATTTCTTTACAGTGGTGGTGATAGGAACCAGCGGTCGCCATGACTAGAACACAAATATAGACATTTTATTTACTATCCAGAACCACCAGTGAACCTACACGAGTCTTCTGAGTTTATATGGAATGTTGATGATGGAAAATAGTGGAAAATCTGAAATAATAAGTTTTCTTTGGGGACTATTTTGCCTCACAGCGCCCTGCATGTATCCCTCCACCATAAAAGGAGTATAAGTTCTCTAAACTACCATAAAACAGTGTCTCAGTCATCAGGCAGTGAATTCATAACCATTTCATGTAGGAACTTTCTGTGAGGGAGCTTTTAGAGGTGGACGTCTGGTTCCTATCACCACCACTGTGAACAGTTCTGACTCGGTAAGTTTATCTAGAACGGAGCGTTTCACACCAAACCACTCTGAACCACTTACATCTTTACCGCTTAATCGTGGACAAAATTAGAAAAATCGATGGAGTTCCCCTTTAAGCGTCGTAGGGTAACTTACAGAACACTGTATCTCAGTAGTGTTTTGGGCAAAGGTGCCCTTTTCAGTATGACACGCCAAAGCCGCATAGCATCAGCTTAAGTCAGATACTAGTTTTAATTTTTCCGTTCCACCTTAAGTGGAGCAGCAGTCATATTGTGGCGCCTGAGGCGTTATAATAATAACTGCTGCACCATTTAAGGTGGAACGGGGAAAAGTCCAACAAGAAGCTCACTTCAGCATCGGGTACCAGAATGTAACTGCTGAACCATTTAAGGTGGAACGGGGAAATTCGAACAAGGAGCCGACTTTAGATTCAGTAGCAATAATGTAACGGCTGCACTATTTAAGGTGGAGCGGGAAAATTAGAACAAGAAGCCGACTTGAGCCTCGGTCGCCAGAATGTAACAGCTGCACCATTTAAGGTGGAACGGGAAAATTCGAACAAGAAGCTGGCGGATGTGAAGCCGACTTCAGCTTCGCGTTATGAGCGCTGTATGAACGTGTGCATATGACATTCCAACAGTAATAACAGCAGGTTTATAAGCTGTTTCTACAGTATAATCCCCCGAACTGTGCACCACACAGAACGTCCCCGTCGCCGCTGATCAACACAAAGAGTTTCTCTGTCTGTCCTCATAAACCGCAGACAGGAACACCGACTGTCTGTCTGTCTGTATAAAAGGGCGTTTTCCGAGGTGCAGCTGGCGGTCAGGAGCTCCGCGGAGACAATAAACCAGCGGTAACGTTACTGTACCTTGTTTGACTGGAGTTTAAAGGGTTAAACACAAAAATCCGTCCCATCCTCGAAACTACAGCTTCTTCATTTCTGCTCGCAGCCGAACCGCTTCGCTCGAGATCCGGCCGGCAGCGACAAACCGAGCCGTTCTGCTCTTCCTGCTGATTTACAGCCGATTTAGAGCCGATTTCTGTCCCACCCGAAAGGCTTTAGAGGAGAAAGGCAGCCATTTTCATTAAAAATTAATAAGTCAAGCGAAGTCTGCGCATGCGCACTGCGCGGAAACAAAAAACGCTTCTTCTGCCACACCGAAGAGAAATAATAATAATGATCGCTGATCGATAAAGGCTCGGTTAGGACAGTTAAGATGATGGAGACTCCATGAAACTTAATGTAAAATAGAGGGTAAAGAAACCCAAACCCTAAACCCAATACTGAACCAATAACAAACCCAACACTGAACCCAATACTGCACCAATATCAAACCCAAACCCTAAACCCAACACTGAACCAATAACAAACCCAACCCTGAACCCAATACTGCACCAATATCAAACCCAAACTCTAAACCCAACACTGTACCAATAACAAACCCAAACCCTAAAACCAACACTGAACCAATAACAAACCCAAACCCTAAACCCAACACTGTACCAATAACAAACCCAACCCTGAACCCAATACTGCACCAATTTCAAACCCAAACTCTAAACCCAACACTGTACCAATAACAAACCCAAACCCTAAAACCAACACTGTACCAATAACAAACCCAAACCCTAAACCCAACACTGTACCAATAACAAACCCAAACCCTAAACCCAACAGTGTACCAATAAACCCAGAGCCTAAACCCAACACTGTACCAATAACAAACCCAAACCCTAAAACCAACACTGTACCAATAACAAACCCAAACCCTAAACCCAACACTGTACCAATAACAAACCCAAACCCTAAACCCAACACTGTACCAATAACAAACCCAAACCTTAAACCCAACACTGTACCAATAAACCCAGAGCCTAAACCCAACCCTGTACCAATAAAAAACCCAAACCCTAAACCCAATACTGTACCAATAACAAACCCAAACCCTAAACCCAACACTGAACCAATAACAAACCCAAACCCTAAACCCAACACTGTACCAATAAACCCAGAGCCTAAACCCAATACTGTACCAATAACAAACCCAAACCCTAAACCCAATACTGTACCAATAACAAACCCAAACCCTAAACCCAACGCTGAACCAATAACAAACCCAAACCCTAAACCCAATACTGTACCAATAACAAACCCAAACCCTAAACCCAATACTGTACCAATAACAAACCCAAACCCTAAACCCAACACTGTACCAATAACAAACCCAAACCCTAAACCAAATAGTGTACCAATAACAAACCCAAACCCTAAACCCAACACTGTACCAATAAACCCAGAGCCTAAACCCAACACTGTACCAATAACAAACCCAAACCCTAAACCCAACACTGTACCAATAACAAACCCAAACCCTAAACCCAACACTGTACCAATAACAAACCCAACCCTGAACCCAATACTGCACCAATTTCAAACCCAAACTCTAAACCCAACACTGTACCAATAACAAACCCAAACCCTAAAACCAACACTGAACCAATAACAAACCCAACCCTGAACCCAATACTGTACCAATAACAAACCCAAACCCTAAACCCAACAGTGTACCAATAAACCCAGAGCCTAAACCAAACACTGTACCAATAACAAACCCAAACCCTAAAACCAACACTGTACCAATAACAAACCCAAACCTTAAACCCAACACTGTACCAATAAACCCAGAGCCTAAACCCAACCCTGTACCAATAAAAAACCCAAACCCTAAACCCAATACTGTACCAATAACAAACCCAAACCCTAAACCCAACACTGAACCAATAACAAACCCAAACCCTAAACCCAACACTGTACCAATAAACCCAGAGCCTAAACCCAACACTGTACCAATAACAAACCCAAACCCTAAACCCAACACTGTACCAATAACAAACCCAAACCCTAAACCCAACACTGTACCAATAACAAACTCAAACCCTAAACCCAATACTGTACCAATAACAAACCCAAACCCTAAACCCAACACTGAACCAATAACAAACCCAACCCTGAACCCAATACTGCACCAATATCAAAGCCAAACTCTAAACCCAACACTGTACCAATAACAAACCCAAACCCTAAACCCAACACTGTACCAATAACAAACCCAACCCTGAACCCAATACTGTACCAATAACAAACCCAAACCCTAAACCCAACACTGTACCAATAACAAACCCAAACCCTAAACCCAACACTGTACCAATAAACCCAGAGCCTAAACCCAATACTGTACCAATAACAAACCCAAACCCTAAACCCAACACTGTACCAATAACAAACCCAAACCCTAAATCCAACACTGTACCAATAACAAACCCAAACCCTAAACCCAACACTGTACCAATAACAAACCCAAACCCTAAACCCAACACTGTACCAATAAACCCAGAGCCTAAACCCAACACTGTACCAATAACAAACCCAAACCCTAAACCCAACACTGTACCAATAACAAACCCAAACCCTAAACCCAACACTGTACCAATAAACGAAGAGCCTAAACCCAACACTGTACCGATAACAAACCCAAACCCTAAACCCAACACTGTACCAATAACAAACCCAAACCCTAAACCCAACACTGTACCAATAAACCCAGAGCCTAAACCCAACACTGTACCAATAACAAACCCAAACCCTAAACCCAACACTGTACATAACAAACCCAAACCCTAAACCCAATGCTGAACCCATAACAAACCCAAACCCTAAACCCACCACTGTACATAACAAACCCAAACCCTAAACCCACCACTGTACCAATAACAAACCCAAACCCTAGACCCAATACTGTACCAATAACAAACCCAAACCCTAAACCAAATAGTGTACCAATAACAAACCCAAACCCTAAACCCAACACTGTACCAATAACAAACCCAAACCCTAAACCCAACACTGTACCAATAAACCCAGAGCCTAAACCCAACACTGTACCAATAACAAACCCAAACCCTAAACCCAACACTGAACCAATAACAAACCCAAACCCTAAACCCAACACTGTACCAATAACAAACCCAAACCCTAAACCCAACACTGTACATAATAAACCCAAACCCTAAACCCAATGCTGAACCCATAACAAACCCAAACCCTAAACCCACCACTGTACCAATAACAAACCCAAACCCTAAACCCAACACTGTACATAACAAACCCAAACCCTAAACCCAACACTGTACCAATAACAAACCCAAACCCTAGACCCAATACTGTACCAATAACAAACCCAAACCCTAAACCAAATAGTGTACCAATAACAAACCCAAACCCTAAACCCAACACTGTACCAATAACAAACCCAAACCCTAAACCCAACACTGTACCAATAAACCCAGAGCCTAAACCCAACACTGTACCAATAACAAACCCAAACCCTAAACCCAACACTGAACCAATAACAAACCAAAACCGTAAACTCAACACTGTACCAATAACAAACCCAACCCTGAACCAATAACAAACCCAAACCCTAAACCCAACACTGTACCAATAACAAACCCAAACCCTAAACCCAACACTGTACCAATAAACCCAGAGCCTAAACCCAACACTGTACCAATAACAAACCCAAACCCTAAACCCAACAATGTACCAATAACAAACCCAAACCCTAAAACCAACACTGTCCCAATAACAAACTCAAACCCTAAACCCAATACTGTACCAATAACAAACCCAAACCCTAAACCCAACACTGTACCAATAACAAACCCAACCCTGAACCCAATACTGCACCAATATCAAACCCAAACTCTAAACCCAACACTGTACCAATAACAAACCCAACCCTGAACCCAATACTGTACCAATAACAAACCCAAACCCTAAATCCAACACTGTACCAATAACAAACCCAAACCCTAAACCCAACAGTGTACCAATAAACCCAGAGCCTAAACCCAACACTGTACCAATAACAAACCCAAACCCTAAACCCAACACTGTACCAATAACAAACCCAAACCTTAAACCCACCACTGTACCAATAACAAACCCAAACCCTAAAACCAACACTGTACCAATAACAAACCCAAACCCTAAACCCAATACTGTACCAATAACAAACCCAAACCCTAAACCAAATAGTGTACCAATAACAAACCCAAACCCTAAACCCAACGCTGAACCAATAACAAACCCAAACCCTAAACCCAATACTGTACCAATAACAAACCCAAACCCTAAACCCAATACTGTACCAATAACAAACCCAAACCCTAAACCCAACACTGTACCAATAACAAACCCAAACCCTAAAACCAACACTGTACCAATAACAAACCCAAACCCTAAACCCAATACTGTACCAATAACAAACCCAAACCCTAAAACCAACGCTGAACCAATAACAAACCCAAACCCTAAACCCAATACTGTACCAATAACAAACCCAAACCCTAAACCCAACGCTGAACCAATAACAAACCCAAACCCTAAACCCAATACTGTACCAATAACAAACCCAAACCCTAAACCCAATACTGTACCAATAACAAACCCAAACCCTAAACCCAACACTGTACCAATAACAAACCCAAACCCTAAACCAAATAGTGTACCAATAACAAACCCAAACCCTAAACCCAACACTGTACCAATAAACCCAGAGCCTAAACCCAACACTGTACCAATAACAAACCCAAACCCTAAACCCAACACTGTACCAATAACAAACCCAAACCCTAAACCCAACACTGTACCAATAACAAACCCAACCCTAAACCCAATACTGCACCAATAACAAACCCAAACCCTAAACCCACCACTGAACCAATAACAAACCCAAACCCTAAACCAAACACTGTACCAAAAACAAACCCAAAGCCTAAACCCAACACTGTACCAAACAAACCCAAACCTAATCCTTACTGTACCAAAAACAAACCCAAACCCTAAACCAAACACTGTACCAAAAACAAACCCAAAGCCTAAACCCAACACTGTACAAAAAACAAACCCAAAGCCTAAACCCAACACTGTACCAAAAATAAAACCAAACCTCATCCCACCCCTAACCGAAAAGCACACTCAAACCAAACCCACACTCAAGACCTAACTCTAAATCAACCCCCAATCCTAAACCTTAAACAACACCCAAAACCCTACCAAAAGCCCAATTCTAGTCCTAAACCACACCCACAACCAAACTCGAATTCAAACCCAATACAAATAAAATACAATTCATTAAAACCCAGGACTAATTCATACTCATCACCTAAACCAACCCCAACAAAATCTTAATCCAACCCTAAAATCCAATTTTAATTCAAAACCACACCCAAAGCCCAATCCTAATCTAAACTCAAATCTAAATCCTAATCCAATTTCTCCCCATCCCAATCTCAATCCTAATTCAAACCCAAAATCCAACCCAAAGCCTAGTCCTAATTCCAAAGCTTTACCAAAAACTGAAGTATAAGGCTAATTATATCCCAAATTCTAATCCTAATCCAGAACTGAACCTAAAGCCCTTCCACACAGATCAGATCTGTGTTTATACTCCACCTTGTAGCTCTGAGAGTTCGTCCTCCTCAGGCCACCATATCAGCTCTATACATCATTAATTAGTTTTGCTGCAGTTGCTGTCATAAATGTTTGAATAAAACTACCCAGAATTCCCCTGCAGAGCAGCCGGTCTGAGCCCAGTGTCTGTGTGCTATGCAGAGAAAGGATTTAGATTCAAATTCAGATTTAATCAAAGCACTCTGGGTCAAACATGACCAACATAATCTGCATTTATTAAAATCACACTTTTACACCACACATTTAAACAGTTTTTAAAAAGGGACTTTATTGTAAAAGGCCTTCTAAACTACATTACATCTTATATCAACATACTGAAGACACAGATCATTGAAAGGTTGGAGAGTTTGACATTTTGCTGCTCAGCTCCAAAACAACAGGAGAAAAATAAAATACACCAAATAATATCGTGAGCAGAAAAATCAGAATAAGCTCAGCTTTATTGCCTTTTCCGTTTAACAAAGCAGATTCTAAAACAACCTCTGAAGTCCAATAAACACGCTGACGGTGGTTCTGCTTGCTTCTACAGAACCTTGTATCGCCCTTTGCTGGTCGGCTGGTATGAATTTTGCTGAAAGGCAAGAATAAAGGTACATTTTAGGAAAGTGAACCGAAAGTTAGAGATTTTCTACAAAACAGGAGGAATTATTTTTAATAAGAGCTGAGTTTCCTCACTGGATGCACTGCATGATTCTATCACTGAGATGTAAACAACGTCATTCAGAGTGGTTTGACAACAGTCATTTTTAAAGAAACTTGGTGGCTCAGATGTCTTTACAGTGGTGGTGACAGGAACCAGCAGTCGCCATGACTACAACACAAATATAGGCCTTTTATTTACTATCTAGAACCACCAGTGAACCTACACGAGTCTTCTGAGTTTATATGGAATATTGATGATGGAAAATAGTGGAAAATCTGAAAGTTTTCTTTGGGGACTATTTTGCCTCACAGCGCCCTGCATGTATCCCTCCACCATGAATGGAGTTTAAGTTCTCTAAACTATCATAAAACAGTGTCTCAGTCATCAGGCAGTGAATTCATAACCATTTCATGTAGGAACTTTCTGTGAGGGAGCTTTTAGAGGTGGACGTCTGGTTCCTATCACCACCACTGTGAACAGTTCTGACTCGGTAAGTTTATCTAGAACAGAGTGTTTCACACCAAACCACTCTGAACCGCTCTGTTTACATCTTTACCACTTAATTATTGTTCCCCTCAGTGTGTCACTGACAGAATGAGAAACTGAGACAGAAACGTACCAGGCGGATGAGCTCCTCTTTGATGAGTCTGGTGATTTCTGCTTTTGCCTTCTGGACTGCCAGCTCATTGGCACCTTTAAAAAGGATCAACAAAAATGTCAAAGAATATTATTCATTCATTCTGCGCTGAAATGTATCAAAATGGATTTGCACATCATTGTTGTCTAATTTTATTTACATTTTTTCTTCTGTCCCAACTTAACTGGAACTAAGTTTGTACAAATAAAGGATATAAATTAAGGAAATTGAGTTTTTAAATGCAAAACATTACATTTTGTTGCTTAAAATTTTAAAAGGAAAATTTGAATTTATTAAATTATATATAGATCTAGAAAACTGCATTTCCTGAAGATGTGAGTGATTGCCCAGCTTAAGCAGTTGCTAGGTTGGTGCTGAATGGTTACTATGGTATTTTAGGTGGTTGCAATGTGTAGATAAGAGGTTCCTATGGTATCCCAGGTGGTTGCTAGGGTGGCTATTATCAGGAGATCGCGAGTTCGATCCCTGGTGGTGCTACAGCTGTGGCCGGTAACTTGAAAACTCTGTCTGGGCAGGCAGGACGGCCACCATCACTCAGCGTGATGTTAGCCAACGCAGGCATCTGCTAGCTGATGTAACAGAACTGGGGGTGAGGGGTGAGGGGTGAGGGGTGAGGGTCAGTGTAATTTTCAGGGCAGCTTTAGTTTAAAGCGCCCTCTACAGTCTCTACCAGGTTAAGAATTTAAAAACTAATACACTAAACTGATGTCAAGAACAAAAAATGTTTTGAGACTAATATAGCGCCCTCTCCTGACAAACATACTGAATATTCTTTATATTCTAGATTTACATGCAGTCTGATTTAGTGATGTGAAGGTGCACAAGAGAAACTGCTCAAAATCTCTGATAGACCTGCTTATTAGCTACAAACATGTTAGCCTGTTAGCAAAAAAAAGCTAATTAAAGCCAACACTGGCGTTAGCGTTCAAATTTTCGTATCAGTCCATCCCTTAAAAATGTATGAAACAGGAAGAGATGAAAGGAATGCAGGCGTACTCTCGATAGCCAGATAAATCTTGCGCTCTCCCTCTTTGGGCTCTTTGCCGGGCGGGAAGTACGTTCCTCGGATGGTGATGGCAGCTTCAGAATACTCGCCGATCCTCTGCAGGGCCTCCTTAGACGTGACCTTCCACCTGGCCGTCTACAGAGAATAACGAGAAACAATTATGAGGTGAGAATGTTTTAGGGCTGTTTTCACACCTGGTCTGCACCAGAGAATTTTGGTGACCATTTGTTCCCACTACAACATCTAAAGCACACCAATTACTTTAGTGGGGATACAAGGGCTTCTTTATGTTTATCTTGCTGCATTACGTCCTGCATTATAAATTTCTATTTTTATTGTTATCACGATACCAGTTTCCGTCATAAACACATTGTTCAGGGCTTTAAACATGATGACCGTTCTCACTTTCACTGTGTGGAAAACGCATAGACTGTATAAAGCAGTGACAGCTGCGGTCACAACAAACCTGCAACACCATATATTTTATATACACACACACACACACACACACACACACATACATACATATATATATATATATATATATATATATATATATATATATATAGGCAGTGCTGTGTGTGTGTAGCAGGAGAAATACAGTTAAAAGTCTGGGGTCAGCTAGTTTGTATTACACAACTCTGAAAAGGAGTCCCTCTGAGGTGGAGTGTTCACACTCGTCAGAACAAACTGAATTAAAGAAAGCGTCCCACACCTCCACACCAAGCAGGGCAGGCGTGAAAGAGCCGTATAAGGAGATACTGTACAATCCTAATTCCAATAATGAACCGAGTTCTGTTAAAGTGAACCTGGAAGGGAACCAACTGCAAGTGACCTCAGTTCATTTTGTGTTCACAATGTAAGTGAACTCTAAAGAGGACTCAGTTTTCTTTCTGGTCCATTGAGATCTCAGACCACTTCTTGTTCAGACCACAGCTCCATTAGAACTCGGACCCCTTTCACAGCACTTACGGTGTGCACAGCGCTCGCCAAGTGGGCCGCATTCTCGGATAAATCCGAGCTATCAGGTGGCGAGAAGAACCGCCAGACCCGCCTGCTGCTCTCCTATTGGCCGCGCTGGAACAATTGGCCGAAGTCCATCGCGCAAAATTGGAAAAACGGCCCTGCGGGTCTGCCGCGGTGGGCTCCGTGTTCGGCTGTGCTCCTCACTGAAGCTCCACCCAGCGAATTTTCATTCATTCAGCGTTCAGAGTGAAAGCAGCTGAGAATTGCGTTGCGTGCCCAGCTTGAGCCTTTAACACGGTATAATCACGCGAGCTCTCATCTGATCGCTTTAATAAGTCAGCGCTGCTGTCTGTCTCAGACCACAGACAGACTTTATCCTGAGTAGAATCTTATAAATGATCGTTTGTCTGTTTACCTGCTGAAGTGAAGACTGTGGCTGTGTGTACGGCGAGCATCGAGGTCTTCACCATAAAGCACAGCTGAAGCGGACTGGGGCCGTTTTGTTTTCACAATGCACAATTTAATCGAACCACAAAACGAACTACAAACGAACCGAACTGAGACCACCTCTCGAGGTGGTCTCAGTTCGGTTCGTTTAGGGGGCCGTTTAGGGGGGTCTGAGTTCGTTTGGCGTGTTCACACATGCAAAAGAAACCATGACTCAGCGGTTAGGGTTAGGGTTCAGACGCTGAAACGGCCCAAGTGTGAAAACACCCTTAATATCAACTCACACAGAGCATTGAAAGTCTAGGGCTATATAATATGACTGCACATTAAAATCAATACGAAATATTGGGACTATATTGGAATTATACATCTATACACAGCATCCAGTACAACCTGTGATGATCTTCTGGTGCATTTTAATCTGTTATCATCCTCTTCAATACTGTTAATGTTTGTTCTATGTCATAGTGTTCTGATGCAAATTTGAACAACTACGAAAAACACGGATGAATGAAATTCTTGTGCTGGTTCCGAACTCGTTCTCAATGTTTAAAAACGTCTAGTGTAGATGACTCCTGCTGATGTACCTGGTGTAAATAAAGCCGTACCTGAGGGAAGTCGTTGATCTCCAGCTCCTCTTCGTACCTCTTGACGGTCTCGGCCTGCTCGGCAGCCTGTCGCTCTTCCTCCAGCTTCTCCACAGGGGTGTAGTTGAGCTTAGCGTTGATCTTCTCAGCCAGCTGCTCGGCGATGGTTTTGGCGGAGACGGACGGGGCAATGATGGTGCCCCCCCTCATGATGGCATTGGTGGCCTGCTGCATTACGTCCTGTCATTAACAGCAAAAACAAAAAGTCAGAGTGAGAGTGAAATTACAGCTTCTTCATCGTGACGTATCTGAGAGTGAGGGAGCAGTGGAGCGCTCTCGGTGAGCGTGAGGGTGGTGGGAGGAAAAACTTGATGTTGGTATATATTTTCCTTCCTGCCCGATGTACACTACAGGGGCAGTTTCTAAACATTTGGGGTCCTAAAAGATGTCCGACCACCTTACCGGAGGCTCAGAGCCCACCCTAATCAAATTTAATTGTATGACATGTTAGAAAAAGAATAAATAGTGGAACACAATGATATCAGAACAGTAGGCCTCATTCACCAACCGATTTCTTCGTAAACCCACTTACGCAGTTGATGAAGATGCTGACTCACCAGTGTCTCTTATGTGGGGTTTGTTCTTAGGTAAGAACAGAATCTACACACACTCAAGAGCACAATGGAGAGAACAGTTCTGCACTTTAAGAACACGTCATGAATCTGACGGAGACTTTTTCTTAGGATCTTTATCAAGAACACATTTAAGAACAAACTTAGGAGGATAATTGAGAATGAGGCCCAGTCTCAGTATTAATAAAAACATTACTGGACTGTTTGGATTTGAGCAGTATTTCTAACTGATGTTTGAGATGATTCTTGACTCAGAAAGAGCAGAACGCTGCAGATATGGAGCCACTGCAGTAAAAAGTTTGATACTTGATTGTTTCTGTTAATAAACCTACAGAACTAAACGTTACATCTTCCAGACTCTGTAGTCCTGAATGAAAATCTTCACACTGAGGAACAACAAACTAACACCATAGCAGTGAGTGAAAATCTGCTTTGGACAGTGGTTCTATATAGAACCATGAACACTCAAAGAACAATCTACATGCTTATATGGTTCTTTGCATGGTGAAACAGTCCTTCAGATCGATGGAGTTCCATATACTACCAAAAAGGGTTCTGCTGTTATGATCTCAAGCTTGCATACAGTAGACAGACCCTATTTGATGCTGTATAGAACCCTATACAACATATTCTCCATCAATCTGAATCATTTCTCCATTTCACATCAAACCACTCTGAATGACTTTGTTTACATCTCAAGGGATGAATTATTCAAAAATGTTGAAAAATTGGTGGAATTCCCCTTTTAACTGTGGCAGCAAAAATGATGAAAATCTCTGGACTCACTGCTCTTTTTCTACAAACAAAACTGAATAGGGGTCTGAGTGTAACCTTTAGCTATAAAAGCACAAACAGGTCCAGTGAGTTCAGCTCTGTGCGTCTTGTGATCTGAGGAGATCTGGGAGTTTGAGTTCTTATTCGTAGCCAAAACTTGTTGTGTATGTTATTCTCTCTCTTTGCCTTGTCGTCCAGTCTGAGAGCCTCACGACAAAAAGCTGAGAAATTCTGACAGACTCACGTTAAGTTTGTGATGCTCTCCATTTTAGAAATCTGTTAAGATTTTTACAGTTGTGTAGTGACGCCCAGCGTTAAGCAAAATGTAAGTAAACAAACAGTAAAAAGCAAAACTGATCACACAAAAACTCTAAATACTGTAAAGTGTCCTCCTCTGATTCTGAACACTCACCTGCGCCTCAGCACCCAGGTTCTTTTGAGCGTTGATCTTCAGTGCCAGCTTCTTGGCGATCTCAAGTTTCTGGATGTTTCCGGCTGAAGGTGCAGCAAGACCAGCAAGACCCGCAGTAGCTGTGGCTCCAGTGAACCCGGGAGCGGCTACACCGGCACTGCCGCCCGGAGCCGACAGGTCCTTCACCCGCTTCTTAGAATTAAACATGCTCTCGATCTGCTCATCAATCTGTGGGCAGAACGAAGAGAGAACTCAGGAGCTTCTTACAGAATCTTTCAGTTAAAGTAAATAGGCTCAATGATTAAAGGACAACAGAGATCGAACAGTCTTTCCAGTATGGATGATGCAGGTTTGTGGACAGTTTCTACTTCAGTACACTAGGTGGCGATGTGCAACTTTTACTGACTAGACAAGAAAGAAGATCTCAGAATGCAGATTTTCATTTATGTTCATTATTTACAGTAGTCTATTTTCAGTTCTATCAAGATAAACAGTTTGACATGGACCAGAATGAGTTGGGTGAAAAATACAAAAATACAAACTTAAATTTGAGCATTTTGAACGTTTCTACACCTGCGTCACACCTGCGTTCTTACTGAACGGCAAAGAAAGAACAGCAGTCAGCTGCATATTATCGTTAACCGTTCAGGTAAATGTGTCTTTTTAACAGGCTTTGATGCTGCATTTGTGGAAAAGAAGCAAATGTTCAGGAAAAACAGCACAAAACTCACATCCAGCGCCGTGTCTTCATCATCAGAGTCGTGAAGACCCAGCGCGGCTTTCTGCAGTTTCTTCCTCTCGTTGGCCAGAGCGTGCTCCGTCTCGTCAAACTTAAAGCCCTTCCCTGAAAACCCACTGCTGCTTTTGATGCTTTTGCCTTCCTGTTAGAAAAGAATGACAGCATGATCTTCTCTTGTGATCTTACATTTTCAAACAGATGTTTTATCCACAGACAGTTCATATATGCAGCCACACGTTCCTCCACACACAGCTGGGCACTGAAATTCACTGACGTTACGGTGTAGAATTACTGCAGCACAGCAGGAGACTGAAAAATTCTCCATCATTCAATACTACAGTTCAAGTCTCAGCATCTGTGAGCCAATAAACACGCCAGCACCAAAATCCAGACTGCTGACGGTTTGCCTAAATGACGTTTTAACATTATTGGTTAACAACATTAACATTATAAGTTATTAATAGTATAAGTTATTAGTTATTAACATTATTAATTCACCAGGCAGAGAACCTGTTAGTCACTGAATGTTCAAGGTTCTATATAGAACCATTTTCTTTACTGAAGAACCCTTGAAGAACTATCTTTTTAAAGAGTGTATTAATTCAGGGGGTCTTACAGCCTTCTGCTGCTCTTTGAAGGTGACCCACAGCTGCTCCAGCTCAGGAGGAACTGGGGAACCTGACAGCTCCAGAGCTTTGAGGATGTCACCAGCGTAGCGCGCCTGCTCCTCAGTGATGAACGTGTAGGCGTAGCCCTGCAAGACAGCGCAGCACAGCGTCAGTGGATTTAATACATTCATAGATTCATATTGTTTATAAAACAGGTCAGAGAACTTCCACCAGGTCAGCAGGTCAGTCTGTGATGCGTCTTTAGGGTCGTTCATGCATTTTTAAAAGGGATGTTTGAGTCCTGCAGTGACAAACTCACACTCTCAAATCAGTCTATCCAGTCAGCAGTTATTAAACACTAACTTAGTGGTATAAAACCTGAGTGTGTGAAATATAGAAGTAAACAGAACACAGCGGCTCTTTACACACTTCTACCAGACAGGAGTTTGATCAATAATAAGAACTGATCAATAACGAAACTGTAGGCGAAATTTGTGTTTGCTCATTTTACGATCAGATTTAAACTTTAATGGCCAATAACTACACTAAGTACCAAACTACCTCCGCCATGTGTGTTAATTGCACTGCGAAACAGGACTTTAGCCACATTACACCTCAGAAAATACACGCTGCATATTAAATATTTATTAACGATGCACAATGAAATCCCAATCATACTGGCATTTTCTGAAAACTAGTTTTAGGGGAAATCATTTTTACTGCAGTGAATATAACGACCTAATTTACACCCAAGGGTGAATATCGCTGTATTTAATAAAGACTGTTTAGTCCAAATTATGGTTCTTACGCTTTAAATACAACAAACAAAAAAAGTGTCACTCTCTTAATTCTTTTCAGAAAAAATGAAGGAATATCAGGTATGAATATTCATCATGAAATGAGTGAAAAATATCATTCTATTATCCAGTCCACTGTAAAATGAGTCCCCAGCCTCACCTGGTTTTGTGAAATTAAAGTGGTCTTACTTTGTTTCCAGCTCTGCCCGTGCGCCCGGCCCGATGCACATAGTCTTCATAGTGGTTGGGACAGCTGTAGTTGACCACAAGGATCAGCTGCTTGACGTCCAACCCTCTGGCCGCAACCGAGGTGGCCACCATGAGCCTACAGGCTCCGTTTTTAAAATCATTTATGATGCTGTCTCTGTCATACTGGTCGATTCCTGTTAAAAAAGAAAATTATTTAGAGAAAAACAAATACAAAACCAACAACCACAGAACACACTGTAATTACAGCGAACAGTCCGTTGGAACGCGAGTGTCCAGACCAGAGTTTGGCAACCTGCGGCTCTTTTACTGTCCTGTTGTGGCTCCACAGCTGAATCAGATTTGTAGGTAAAAATAAAATAATCCTCCTTTACAGTAAAATAAAGCTCTGCTGATCGTTCAACACAGTTTAACAATAAATGATCTTAAACTCTGGAGTTAATGTAGAACTGCTAATTCACCCTTTAACCCTGAAGATCAGCGCAGACTGCTGGTCACCATAGCAACACAGACAACAGTCTCGCCTAGCTAGTAGCTAACGAAACGGCAAAGAGAGAGATTTAAGATGAACATCGATAATTTGGAGACAAATGGACTTATTAGTGTTTATAATCACTCCAGCTGGTTTCCTGATACGTTTAATCTGCAACGAGAAACTGACAAACACTAAAGACGCGAGGCTGAAGTCAGTTTCTCATTCGCCAGCTTCTCGTTCCCGTTCCACCTTACATGACGAAGCAGTTGCATTCTGGCCCCTCAGGCACCGTTTAAGGTGGTCTGGGAAAATTCGAACAAGAAGCTGGCGAATGAGAAGCGACTTGAGCCTCAGAGAAAACGCACGTTGAGGTGGATTGGTTTTTGTTGAAAGGACAAAATGGCTCTTTTTAACATCTGGACGTCAGAACATCCAGCACTGAAAGCGACTCGTTCAGGTAACAGAACTGGACTGTACCTCCGTGCAGAGACATGCAGGGGTAGGAGGCCTTCATCAGGTCTTTGAGCAGACCGTCAGCATGTTCCTGTTTGTCTACAAAGATGATCACAGAACCTTTCTCCTGGTAATGACCGAGAATCTCCAGAAGCTTCAGGAACTTCTTGTCCTCCTCAATCACAATCTGAGAAGAACAAGAAAGCAAATTAGTACCAACGTCTGGATCAGGAACTCTTTCATAAAAGAGCTTAAACCAAACATCACAGGGCTGTACAGAATCACACTTACAGCAAAACGGACCACTTTAAAGCTAGAAAACTGTATGAATTACAAGCAGTAATAAAATTAGTGATACACAGTCAGAATCAGCTGGAACCGCAATCCGTGTCGTGATTTTATGATGCATGATGTGAGAAAATTTGGCTCATAGTAAGAATTTAAAATTACATACAGCATTTCAACTATTTTTATTTATTCAAATATCTGAATTTTTAAATGAATAGTGTTTCAACTTTCTCAAAGAAACACTGTTTACAGTGTCGTTTATGCAAAACTCAACAGCAGGTTTCATTTTCCCATCCGAGCACAACCCACACCACCATAACATGAAACACAATACAGTAAACTCATCATCTTATGTTAAGGATGTGCTAAACTATCAGAATTAATTTCAACTGTACAGCCAGACTTACAGACAAAACAATACAGTGTTTAGTAAAAAGAGTAATACATTAAATAGCTATATATTACTGTAATATGGCTAATTCTTCTTTTTTGTTTGAGGTAACTGATAGTGTGATGCCCATAACGGACAAAACGCCCTGAATCTGGGAGCACTCTGGGGTGTCAATCAATCATCCTTATTAGAATATTAGGCCACGCCCAGACAGCTCTGAGGTCTCTGATAAGTGTTTACTAAGCAGTGTTTTATAATATTTCTATCAAACTTTGCAGGATGTTTAATCTAAAGCTTAATTTAAGTGCCATAAATATATTCTTAAATATTTTAAACCGTGATTTTTACACAGCATGTCACCAGCCGGGCTCAGCAGACTTTAACCCTGCAAAGCAGAAGCTTTGGGTAAGCAAATCAATAATACAGATTTTACTTTCCTGATACTTTATATAAAAACACAAATAAAATAAAGAAGTGAGAAACTGGCTAACAGACGTAAGGGCTAAAATCGGGACAGGCTGTAAAAAAACGTAATTTGCCATAAAAAAGCCATGTTTTGTGCCCTGGTAGTAAATACAGAAACAGATGACCAATTGTGACTAACAGAACAGACGTGCTCCTATTTATCTGCTCACCACATGCTGCTCCACATCCGAGCACACGACGCTCCTCCCTCCCACCTGCACTTCCACAGGTTTGGTGAGGATCCTCCTGGCTAAGGCCTCCATCGCTCGTGGGAAGGTGGCAGAGAACATCACTGTCTGCCGGTCTGGCCTGACATTGTCCACTATACGCATCACCTGGACAACACACACAGACACAGGCAGGTAGGTTATGTGATCTGTATTGGGGGTCCTCACAGCCCACCTGTTTATCACTACGCAGCATGAAGGCACACAGTGAGAGAAAGATAAAGTTATTCTTTATTTCTGAAGTGCTGACACAGGAAACTTTTTTATGATGAACTAAACAACAGCTTATAGATTAGACGGTGGATCAGATGGATCAATCTATCTATCTACCTACCTATCTATCATGTTTCAGTCAGTGATGTCACTCCGCCCCCCATCAACACCTAAATCATGCCAGACGGCCTCGTCTGTCCCGACTGGTTTGTCCAGGAAATATTTGTGCTGTTTTAATTCCTAAGCTCAGCTTTTTCTCAAATATAAATTATAGAAATGTGTTTATTTAGTGGAATAAAAATGTGACATAACTTCGAAATACTGGCATCGCTTTCAAACATGACTGTGTGTAACAGCAGTGAAATAATCTTTTCATCCTTTTTTCTCTGGCTTATTTTTGTAAACTGTTCTTTAAAATACTGATACTCGTGAGGAACGTGTTCTTCGCTGCTGCTCAGATGCTTATTGATGCAGTACTTTTATCTGTCACTCACTCAGAGAGACTCACCTGCGGCTCGAAGCCCATGTCGAACATGCGGTCGGCCTCATCGACCACCACGTAGGTCACCCTCCGCAGGTTGGTGACTCGGCCTAAACATCCAAGCACAAAACACACAAACTCTGTGTTATAAACATGTTATAAGCAGCTGGTTTCATAAAGCAGCACAAAACTGACCCCTACTGGTTAAACAGGATTACAGTGCAGTAAATGATACAGACTACAGCCACACTGACACTAAAGGAGTCTCTGGTTTCCATTTCTTGCGTACCATCTCAGCGGCACGGCCACCCTGTTAAACCTGTCACATCATACATTTAAACAGCTGCATCAACAGCTGGACTACCTGACCGGCTTTTCACCTGGGAAAAACACACATCAGAGATTACCGCGCATGTGTGGAAGAGAAGACTTCTACTGAAAAATTAATTCATAAACAGTCAAGCACCACCAGCTCTTCGTTTATGACTGTAAATACAAGGGATGCATCGATAACGATACTGGTATCAAGTACTGGACTGATACTGTGCTAATGTACTCAGAATGTAATTCACAGATACCAACACGCCTCGGATGTGACTCCTGCTGTCGCTGTGCTGCTGCTGAAAGAGACAGATGAGGATCAAAACTATGAAATCTACTTTACTTACAGTTGTACGGAAGAGCTTTTCTGACGGGGAACTAAACCTCCACTGCAGCGCTGCTCAATCAGAGATCACTGATGTAGCAGAGCTAGATAACAACCTTCATTAACATCGGATAGATTTAATGATTTAACTGTTAAAATTCATTACACTCATTTACACTAACAGATACTTCACTCTAATTAGGTTACTCACTATGGTATCAGTATCAGCAAGTACTTAAAAAAACTGTCTGAAAACGTGGTATAGATGCATCACTAGTAAATACTGAACTGACCACATGTAGAGCTGAACAACAGTTAAGTATTATGACTGGGAGGGACTCAGCCTTCAGTGTATAATCAACACAAGTACTTATAGAGCAGCTGAACGTGTGTCACAATAAATAAACAATAAATGCAGTAAAACAGAAGATAAAATGAAAACATGATTGGCTACACTACAATTTTAAATAAAACATAAAAGGATCTATTTCCAGTGACATCAGAATCATATCGGGATCAGCAGATAATGGTATTGAAAAAGTTTTATCATCAGAAAGATTATTAGTTTTGACTGATATTTCAAACCGACATTTCATTTTTTGTACTTACTGTCCTTTTATTGCTACTCTAACTAAACAAATCAATAGTATGTGTCTCCATAGTGATGTGAATTATGTTTTTAATGGATGAACTGCCACCAGTCAAGGAGCTTCTTTAACACAGTGACTGAAAACACGCTCACCAGCTACTCTGAGGGATTTTAATCCGTTTAATCATGAGGACGTCGCCAAATTCTCAGAATGGATCGCAGGTGGGATGCTGGGGTCGACAGGATTCATGATTAACCTTCCATCTGATCATCATATCATTTGTTCACCATTCCTAGCTCGTTATGTCACAGTGAACAGCCTTTGTCATGTTAGCTTCACTGACCTTCAGCAGTCTTCAGGAAACGCCTCAAATGTCTTGATGTTACATTTTTCCAAAATGGTCAAATAATGCTAAACGTTTAGTAAATGGAAGTGATTTCATTCACATTCAAAAACATTCTATGCAACTTTACAATGGAAATTCAGTCAGGGCGTTTTCTTACACCACCTTCAGCCAGAACACAGGCCAATAAGAACACACAGTCCTGCAGCGTCTCATAGGAGCGCTAGAACACACTGCCTGCTAACCCTCTCACCTGACCCTGCAGCAGACTGAAACCTGTTCAGGAGAAATGAGTCCACTCACCGCTGTTGGCTCCTAACATGTCAATCATTCGACCTGGTGTGCACACTATAATTTCGGCTCCTCGCTTCAGCTCTGCGATCTGCTCCCCAAAGACAAAACACAAGGCACTGAGGGTTAAAGTCTGGTCCTTCACTTTGTTCTGCACTGTTCTGCTATTATAGTATCGGCTGGCTGACGTACTGAATATTTCCAACATGCGCCTTAATGCACCTCACTGCACTTTTTATGTGCACAGAGTTTCTTAAAGACTGTGATAGTCGTCTGCCCTCTTCTCACTGTGTAAAGCTTCATGGGCAACATTGACAGCTCAAATGATAATGTGAAAAGTGAAATAGCTGTATGGGGTGCAGCTCCAGTCCTGCAGGGCTGGTGTCCATAACAGACTGGTGTTTTACCTGCTCAAACACACCTGATGACACTTACCTGTTAAACTGCCAGGTTTAGAGGTGTTTGAGTAGGAAACGTCCAAGCGGTGCTGGACACCAGCCCTCCGAGACTGGAGTTGTGCACCTGGTACAGTGGATAACTGCTCTGCCCCATTAGTAGCACTTAGAGTTGACGGGCAGATCCAGCAATTAGAAAACTAGAAATCTGCCAGACTGACTTGTGGCAGAGGTGGCATCCTACGACAGTGTCATGTTTAAAGTCACTGAACTCTTCAATATGACGCTCTACTGCCAGTGTTTTTTTTACGGAGACTGCAAGGCTGTCTGCTTAATTTTATACATCTGTTAGAAATGGGTGTGGCTGAAACACCTGAACTCAGTAATTAGGAGGGCGGTCCACATATTTCTTGCCATATAGAGCACATACACGTATTTCAGTTGACATCATAAAGGATGAAAAACACTGAGATACACTAAAACTCCCAAAGCAGTCCACTTCAAACAGGACTGCAAAAAAGAGGCAGTTTTACAGCTTTACGTACCTGTTCACTGATTCCGGTGCCTCCATACACACACACCACCCTCAGCCCCAACGGCTTAGAGAACTTCTTGCACTCCTTCGTTATCTGCAGGGCCAGCTCTCTGGTCGGGGTCATGATCACAGCTAGGAGAGAATTCAGGTCCATGTTAGTAAACTAAGATCACAATGTACTAAATGCAAGCAACATAACAGTGGTGGTGAGAACTTAAAGTATGAACTTTCATTACTACCTTTTACTAATTGCTGGGAGCTGAATTACAGCTGGACATAGAATAATAACTGCGAAAATTGAGAAAAAACTTCATTTTTTTGCTATATATCACGATTCGTTGGCCGATATATTCTTTCCCAATACACGGAAAAACGTTCATTATTATTCTCGTCCAGATACTGAAATTATGATTGATGTGTTTATTTTTTCCTTAAATACAAAGATTCTAAAACTGTACCAATACCGTGACCCAAAAACCGTAAGAACCGCAGACCCAGTGTACTGTCCCATCTCTACTGCAAACACTGCTAAGGGTCGAACCGTATCGCTCACTGTCCGGCTCATATACGGAAATGAATCTGCAAAAACAGCCCGATTTGAACTCACTCTTTTTGTGATGTCATATGTCAGCCCACAGCAGTTTAGCCCCACCCATTCACACTGAAGTTATAAGGAGTGTTCCAGCCTGGGCTGTGTTTGGATTGAGGCACAATACACGGAAGCCAATCAGAACAGAGGTCATTTACATACCTCAATCTTAAAGGCACAGTAACATCAGCCTGTTTGATTCTAAAGAGAGGCTGGACTGTTTTTGGACTGTAAGTGGACATCAAGAAAGATAAATGTAGGATAAGCAGCCTTTAACTTTTTGATTAGCTGTGTGCTTTTACAGTTAATGTAGCTGCTCACTAAATACAAAGCTAAGCTCAAGCTCGAGTTCTTTTGCTATCTTAGTGGTCAAAGCTTATTCAGAGAGAAATAACGTCGACGGGTTTCAGAAATCTCGTTCAGGACTGATCCTCTGCGAGATGACCTGTTTGTTATGAAGTTAATTTGTATAGAATTATAGAGACGACAGTTAAGGCATCATGACGTCATTCCACTGTTACGATTATTACTGAGAAGCTTTGTTACAATCTGCTTTTAGAAATCAAGAGTATTAGCGTACCAATGGGGCCTTCTCCTTCCTCCAGCGGCCTCTGGTCTAAAATGTGGCGGAACATCGGCAGGAGAAAGGCGATGGTCTTCCCACTTCCAGTCTTTGCGATTCCAATGAGGTCCCGTCCAGACATGATGGCAGGGATCGCCTGTGCTTGGATCGGAGTGGGCTTTTCATAGTTGTGTCTGAGGGAGAAGAATAAAGAGAAAATGCATTCAAATAAAACAACTCTAACGCTCTCTTAAGCTGGGTGTTCACTACATGACTTTTAAAACCTAGACAGATTTCTAAAACAGAGAGCATCACAGACTTAACGACAGAGTTTCTTGTGTTTCTGTCAGGAGGAGCTCAGACTAGACAAGAGAATAACACACAAAGAGTTTGGGCTACGAATAAGAACTCAAACTCCCAGATCTCCTCAGATCACACGACACACACAGAAATGAACTCACTGGACCTGCTTGGACTTTTATGCGTAATAAACTGGGGATTAATATGTGGTGAGAAACACTGACATCACAGTGAGAGCTGGAGAAATATTTCACTACAAACTGGCAGCTGAGCTGAATCTGTAAAAAGAAGTGACCTGACGTCTGGATACATTATAAACATGATAAGCATGATTTCGGCTCTTATCTGCCTGTGTTTTACAAGCAGCTCCTCTGTCTCCGCTTTGCTGTTCATGCGCACCTTTTCGCCTGTTTCTCCGCTCTTCTAGCTCTCTGATTGGCTGTTGTTTGGATCTCTCACTTCATCTGTGACTGTGGTCTCCGATCACTTTAGAGTTCGGAGAGCTAAAGATTCACTTGTTTCTCCTCTCAAACTAGTGGCTTCCGATCGAGTTCCTGAGCTGGAGAATCGCTTCAGATTGTGAAAATTTGTCACAAGAGGTTAAAATGGGACAAAAAAATGTGTAGAGAAGGCCCAGCTTAGCAAAACTATCGCTCTAAATGTCAGAGTATTTGTGCAGAGAAGGGCTGCACTCACTTTTTAAGGGCGTTTAAAACTTTCATGGACGTCCCACACTGCACCCAGGTCTTGATGGGTTTCGGACAGCCCTTTCCTTTCACCGTGATGCCTTCCAGCTCAAGACGGTACTCGTTTACCTCTGGAGGGGAAGGAAAGTGATTTGAAAAACCTCTGCACAAACCCTGCACACTGCAGCTATTAGCGATTGTTATCTTACCCTCTGGTGTCATTTTGGCCAGCTCAGGAACTTCTACGTAGAAATTTTTCCGGAAGGACTCGTACTGGATCTTCTGATGATCCACAGGCTCTAGAATCTTCCGCTGCTTTGTCTGATAGCCGGTGAGGGCGGTCTGCAGGTCCACCTCCTCCTCCTCAGACGAATACTACACACACAAAACACATGAACCTACAGTTTTGACCCAAGAAAGACATTCATGTGAACAAAAACTACAACTAAAATTAAATTTCTTGGTTAAAGAAGGACGTTTAGATGAACCTCCATGGCATCCTGGTCATTCTCCATTAACTCTCCTTTCTTCTTGGTGGTATGAGGCGTCTTCTTTGTTTTTACCACAGTTACAACTTTGGTCACGGTCATTCCACCTTTCTGTCGACACAGAATTAAATATATTTATATGCAGAATTAACCATGTTCACATCACAGATATGGTAGAACTGCTGCAGTGTGTTAAACGTTCTAATATAATGTCAATAGATTTGCTTTCAGATCAAAGATTCACACCCTCAGTTACAAAAGTATAGTAATAATACACACTATAGGGCCAAAAGTATGAGGACACCCTCCTAATTATTCAGTAATACTCAATGCTAACAGGTGTACAAAATCAAGCACATAGCCATGCAGGCTCCATAGACAAACACTCAGTTACGCAGTTGTAGACTGAACAAACTCACAGAGCTGGGCTGCCGAGTCCTAAACGTGTAGCAAGTAAAAACTGCCTATCATCTGTTGTATCACACACTAAACTTCCAAACTGCCTCTGGAAGCAGTATCAGCACAAGAACTGAGCATCAGGAGCTTCATGAAATGGGTCTCCATGGCTGAGCAGCTAAGATCACTATGCTCAATGCCAAGCGTCGGCTGGAGGGGTGTAAAGCACCACCACTGGACTCTGGATCAGTGGAACTGTGTTCTCTGTAGTGATGAATCAGCTTCTCTATCTGTCAGTCTGATGATGAGTCTGGGTTTGGTGGATGTCAGGAGAACGTTACCTACTGGAATGCAGAGCCAACAGTAGAGTTTGGTGGAGGAGGGATGATGGGCTGGGCTGTTTTTCAGGGTTTGGGCTCTCAGTTCCAGTGAAGGGTGATGTTGATGCTACAAAGACATTTTGCACAGTTATCTGCTTCCAGCTTTGTGTCAGCAGTTTGGGGAAGAGCCTTTCCTGTTCCAGCATGACTGAGTCCCTGAGCGCAAAGCAGCTCCATAAAGACATGGAGTGACCAGTTTGGTGTGGAGGAACTCCAGTGGCCCTCACAGAGCCCTGACCTCAACCCCACTGAGCACCTTTGGGATGAACTGGAACGGAGCCTTCCCAGAAGAGTGGAGGCTGTTATACCCAAAAAGGGGGGCAACACTGGTGACATGTGAGATGTCCAACAAGCTCATACAGATGTGATGATCAGGTGTCCACATACTTTTGGTCATATAGTGTATTTAAAAGTTCAAAATCAGGAATTCTCCCTCTCTTACCTTGTCATTTCCACCTCTCATCGTGCCCATGTTGAACTTTTTGACTTCCTCCTTCACCTCTTCCATATAGGCATCTAAAGGATCCAGCTCCTCTCCGGTTTCTGTCTCCATCGCTGCGCTCTCCTCCGTCTTCCCGTCCTTCTCCTTCTCATCCTCATCATCTCCTTCACGGTCCACTGAGGCTGGACCTTCCTCATCATCATCTGAATGAAATACACAAAAAATAAGATGCCATGAAATTGATCTGTGCTTTTGTTTAGAAAGTTCAGAAGTAGTTTAGAAGTTTCTGTCATAGAGAGCCTGATTCTTTTTTTAATCTTTTTTGGGTAATTATTATTATTTACAAAAAAAACACAAGGGATACTCGGCCGTCACTACAGATATTAGTAGTGGGTAGTTCACCAGTTCAACCAGTATACTGGTTTAAATTCCTCCTCAGATGTGTGTTTTGTCCTACCTGTTGTACTGGTGCGCCGCAAATACGTGCAGATAACATGATATCAAACAGAGCAAACCATGATAACGTTACCCCCTCAGCTGAGAGTCAAAGTGAGGGATGTTTCAGTCACAATTCAAATGAAAATGAAACTGCAGCTGATTCTCAATCACCTCCTGCTGTCTAGATCACTGCATTTGCTCACAAGCAGCGAACTCTGTTTTTAAGGCAGTGGACATAAAGTAACATAACATTAGCATTAGCCTGACATACACACCAGAACGATGGGGCCGGGCTCAGGAGCCACCGGTCAACAGCATCAGCCTACAGACTGATGTCTCAGTGGCCTCATGTCCAGCAATAAGTCGTGGACCAGCTGGTACTGAAGCATGAACGAACGAATGAGTACATGGGACGCACCTTTCAGACAGAGGACCTGAGAAATTCAAATAAACTGGCATTTTATTCTGATCTATTCCACCTTAAACAATGCAGCTGTTACACTATTATAAACTAAAAGGTGCCCCAGAAAAGCTCTTTCCAGCAGTCAAACATTCACATTCCTACTGATTTTAAATCTCATGTTTCTTTGTGGAGCTGTGTGAGATTCCCGCACCGTCATCGTCCTCCAGGCTCCACTTCTTGCCCTGTTTCATCTCCTCCAGCTCCTTCTTGATCTCTCCGATGTTCTCCATGGCCTTTTTCCTCTGCTCCTCCCTCCACTTCTCCACACGCTCCTTCCTCTTCCTCATCTCCTCCTCCAGAGTGTTCTGGTCAAAGTCTTGCTGCAGAGACGTGAACATATGAAGCTCATTAGTGATGGACGAAGGACAGGCGACTCTGACTGAATCTGAGTCTCTCACAGTGAACTTACGTCTTCAGCCTTCTCCTCCTCCTTCTCCTCTTTGACTTTCTTCTTGTCTGTGGGCTGGTCTCCACTGTCTGACTTCTCCTTGCTGTGTAAGTGGTTAGAAACAGACATTTAGTACATGACAAGGGCCAACGACAGGCTGCACACGAGCACAGGTGTTGACTTGAGTTAAAAAAATAAATAAATAAATAATCAAACAAAAAGTATTCTGAAGTTCAGCCCTAATTCAATAAAACATATAATTTTGGGGGAGGGCTGTGGACCCCTGAGGTGGGGGAGTATCTTAAAACGATCACACACTTATCGTGATAATACTGAGTTTAGAGTGAAGGATCATTTATGCTCAACGTTAAATACAGATACGGACAAAGCTACGATTTCTAAACTCACACTGTACGAAACGCTCCGTCTGACTGACCTGCTACGGGAAACACAGCCTCTACAGACGCTCTGAATACAGACCGTTATCAATAAAGCTGATTCACTCAGAATAACTGAGTACTGAGCAACACGCTGAGACGCTGGTAAGAAATGTCGACTTTTTCCTCTCCGTTTTGTTGGCCTACGTGTCTCCACCTGTGTTGGGGAAGCAGTTGTGATTGTGTGTTTATAAACAGTCTATAATCTCTCAGTGTATCCTGGTGGGAATCTGCCAAGGCGGAATGTTTAAAGTGAGTGACGGCTTTGTGTCCGACTGTGACGGAGTCAGTAACTCTTTCCTGTGTGAGCAGATCCTCCTTCACTGGGTTCATTAGCGTGGCAGCTACACTTGGCTTACGGCACACAGTATCAGCTAGAACCGGAATGTTTGTATCGGTGATTTTTTCTGAGTAAATAAGTACAGTTTCAGCACAGAAGCAGTATCGGTATCGATGCATTCCTAGAATTACTATTATTTAATAGACTAACTGCACCGTAAAGTTGATTTCTAAATTGTATTTTTTATAAATACTGATATCAGTCTTCCTGAAATATTAACACTTTCTGTCAAACTCTGCTAAGGTGCATACTTTGAAGTTTAACTGGGGGGAGCATCTGAAACAGGGGGTGTCATTACTCTTCAGGATTTGGATTTCTTCTGTTTGGGTTTAGAAGAGTCACCACTCAGACCTGATCATCATATCAGTCAGTCACAAACTGTTTAACTACAACTACAGTCTTACAGATGGTTCTTTAAGGGTTCTTTAGTAAAGGAAATGGATCTATGTAGAACCATGAACACTCAAAGAACCCTTAGCATGATTAAATGGTTCTTTTCAGGGTGAAAATGGTTCTTCAGATGGAGAATGTGTTGAAAAGGGTTATTTGAGTGTTTATGGTTCTATATAGAACCACTGTTTTACTAAAGAACCCTTGAGGAACCATCTTTTTGAAGACTGTACAATTCAAATCTGAATTGAAGAATGGAAATAGTGCAGCGGACATGGTAAATGTTCTCATGCTCTTCGCTCTCATGGCACCTCACCCCTCATCATGTTTTCTACTCTTGCTAGGACTGGAAGACTTTGACCTTCTCCCTTTGCTTCGACTCCTGGACCTTCTGCGCTCCCGACTCCTGGATCGCTTCCGCTCTCGACTCCTCGACCGCCTGTGAGACAGGACAGAACACACTGTTACTGCGAGCAGGAGAACCTGAAGAACGACAGATTGACAGCTGATTTATCAGGTATTAACCAATTAACTGGTAAACTGAAGTGTCTCAGAGCACTTTTCAGATGGATCACACTGAGAATCAGTAACTGCTACAATGAATTATCCAACCAAAAACCAGTGCTTACCTAAACACTACTTAAGGGCAAAAGTTTCTGCATAATTAACTGGTTAAGATGTAAACAGAGCAGTTCAGAGTGGTTTGGTGTGAAACGCTCTGTTCTAGAGAAACTTGCCGAGTCAGAACTGTTCACAATGGTGGTGATAGGAACCAGACGTCCCCCTCTAAAAGCTCCCTCACAGAAAGTTCCTACATGAAATGGTTATGAATTCACTGCCTGATGACTGAGACACTGTTTTATGGTAGTTTAGAGAACTTAAACTCCATTCATGGCGGAGGGATACATGCAGGGCGCTGTGAGGCAAAATAGTCCCCAAAGAAAACTTATTATTTCAGATTTTCCACTATTTTCCATCATCAACATTAATATAAACTCAGAAGACTCGTGTAGGTTCACTGGTGGTTCTGGATAGTAAATAAAATGTCTATATTTGTGTTCTAGTCATGGCGACCCCTGGTTCCTATCACCACCACTGTAAAGACATCTGAACCATTTCACACCAAACCTCTCTGAATCTCTCTGATTACATCTCAACACCCAAATTAAAAAGTTTCCCCTGTAATAAAACTTTATTAGGGGTGGACGACATGGCAAAATACAATATTGTGATACTTATTTTCTCGATAGATAATATCACAATATTTGGCTTTTCTGAGGTCTGATAAATTGGAACAAACAAAAATACTATCAAAAAATACAAATACAGTGATTTTCACTCAGCATTTCAGACACCAACAATAAATCCAATTAAGCAGGACTAATTATGCTCTTTTTAATAAAACGTGCAGCTGGTCGATGATCTTAAGGTACTGATCACAGCCATGACGCGACTGGAAATCATACTGTGACGTAATTTATAACAATAACAATAAACATCGCCATATTTCCCACCCTACAGGCCATACACACTTCCTTAACACCTTCAGCCTATATTTAACTGCTGCTAACGCAGGACAGAGTCATCAGCACATAAAAGCAGAGAGATCAATAACAGAAAGGAAGTTTAACCTCTGGCGTTTCCTGTCTCTGGAGCGTGATCTCCTCCTCTCTCTGCTCCTCGACCGATCCCTCCTGCTCCTCTCGCGAGTGCGAGAGCCGGCTCGCTCGTCCTTCTTCGAGCGCTTTGAATCAGGAGAACGACTTTTTGACCGACTGTCGGATCTCCCCCTCGACGAGGAGCGCTTCCTGTAGTGCCTGCAGTGAACAAGGACATCAGTAACGTTAACAGCTTTAAAGGTAACAAAAATCAGCCTGACTGATTCTAATGCATAAGGTGAGGTTGAAAAATGATCATGAAGTGAATTAGGACTGTTTTGGTGCATTAAACCACAAAAATGTTAAAGGTGGGGAACAGAATCAAATAAAACAAGACTGTGTTTTATACTAATACTGCACACACACAGGCTCTCTCACACACACACACAGGCTCTCTCTCACACACACACACAGGCTCTCTCTCACACACACACACAGGCTCTCTCTCACACACACAGGCTCTCTCTCACACACACACAGGCTCTCTCACACACACACAGGCTCTCACACACACACACAGGCTCTCTCTCACACACACACAGGCTCTCTCACACACACACACAGGCTCTCTCTCACACACACACACAGGCTCTCTCTCACACACACACACAGGCTCTCTCTCACACACACAGGCTCTCACACACACACCCAGGCTCTCACACACACACACACAGGCTCTCTCACACACACAGGCTCTCACACACACACAGGCTCTCACACACACACACACAGGCTCTCTCTCACACACACAGGCTCTCTCTCACACACACACAGGCTCTCACACACACACAGGCTCTCTCTCACACACACAGGCTCTCTCTCACACACACACAGGCTCTCTCTCACACACACAGGCTCTCTCTCACACACACAGGCTCTCTCACACACACACACAGGCTCTCACACACACAAACACAGGCTCTCTCACACACACAAACACAGGCTCTCTCACACACACACAGGCTCTCACACACACACAGGCTCTCACACACACACCCAGGCTCTCACACACACACACACAGGCTCTCTCACACACACAGGCTCTCACACACACACAGGCTCTCACACACACACAGGCTCTCACACACACACACACAGGCTCTCTCTCACACACACAGGCTCTCTCTCACACACACAGGCTCTCTCACACACACAGGCTCTCACACACACACACAGGCTCTCACACACACACACAGGCTCTCACACACACAAACACAGGCTCTCTCACACACACACACAGGCTCTCACACACACACACACAGGCTCTCTCTCACACACACAGGCTCTCACACACACACAGGCTCTCTCTCACACACACACAGGCTCTCACTCACACACACACAGGCTCTCTCACACACACAGGCTCTCACACACACACACAGGCTCTCACACACACAAACACAGGCTCTCTCACACACACACACAGGTTCTCACACACACACACACAGGCTCTCACACACACACACACAGGCTCTCACACACACACACACAGGCTCTCACACACACAAACACAGGCTCTCTCACACACACCCAGGCTCGCTCTCACACACACACACAGGCTCGCTCTCACACACACACAGGCTCGCTCTCACACACACACAGGCTCTCACACACACAGGCTCTCTCACACACACACAGGCTCTCACACACACACACACAGGCTCTCACACACACACACACAGGCTCTCACACACACACACACACAGGCTCTCACACACACACACACACAGGCTCTCACACACACACACACACAGGCTCTCACACACACACACACAGGCTCTCACACACACACACACACACAGGCTCTCTCACACACACACACAGGCTCTCTCACACACAAACACAGGCTCTCTCACACACACACACAGGCTCTCTCACACACACACACACACAGGCTCTCTCACACACACACACACAGGCTCTCACACACAGGCTCTCACACACACACAGGCTCTCTCACACACACAGGCTCTCTCACACACACACACACAGGCTCTCTCACACACACACACAGGCTCTCTCACACACACACACAGGCTCTCTCACACACACCCAGGCGCTCACACACACCCAGGCGCTCACACACACACCCAGGCGCTCTCACACACACAGGCTCTCTCACACACACAGGCTCTCTCACACACACCCAGGCTCTCTCACACACACACAGGCTCTCTCACACACACAGGCTCTCACACACACACAGGCTCTCACACACACCCAGGCTCTCTCACACACACAGGCTCACACACACACACACAGGCTCTCTCTCACACACCCAGGCGCTCTCACACACACCCAGGCGCTCTCACACACACCCAGGCGCTCTCACACACACAGGCTCTCTCACACACACAGGCTCTCACACACACACACACAGGCTCTCTCACACACACACAGGCTCTCTCACACACACAGGCTCTCTCACACACACAGGCTCTCACACACACACAGGCTCACACACACACACACAGGCTCACACACACACACAGGCTCTCTCTCACACACACAGGCTCTCACACACACACACAGGCTCTCACACACACACACAGGCTCTCACACACACAAACACAGGCTCTCTCTCACACACACCCAGGCTCTCTCACCCACACCCAGGCTCTCTCACCCACACAGGCTCGCTCTCACACACACACAGGCTCTCACACACACACACACACAGGCTCTCTCACACACACACAGGCTCTCACACACACACACACAGGCTCTCTCACACACACACACAGGCTCTCACACACACACACACACACACAGGCTCTCTCACACACACACACAGGCTCTCTCACACACACACACAGGCTCTCTCACACACACACAGGCTCTCTCACACACACACACGGGCTCTCACACACACACACACACACACAGGCTCTCACACACAGGCTCTCTCTCACACACACACAGGCTCTCTCTCACACACACACAGGCTCTCTCTCACACACACACAGGCTCTCTCTCACACACACACAGGCTCTCTCACACACACACACACACAGGCTCTCTCACACACACACACAGGCTCTCTCACACACACACACAGGCTCTCTCACACACACACACGGGCTCTCACACACACACACACACACACAGGCTCTCACACACAGGCTCTCTCTCACACACACACAGGCTCTCTCTCACACACACACAGGCTCTCTCTCACACACACACAGGCTCTCTCACACACACACACACAGGCTCTCTCACACACACACACACAGGCTCTCACACACACACACACACAGGCTCTCACACACACACAGGCTCTCTCACACACACACACACAGGCTCTCACACACACACACACACAGGCTCTCACACACACACACACACAGGCTCTCACACACACACACACACAGGCTCTCACACACACACAGGCTCTCACACACACACAGGCTCTCACACACACACAGGCTCTCTCACACACACAGGCTCTCTCACACACACACACACAGGCTCTCTCACACACACACACAGGCTCTCTCACACACACACACGGGCTCTCACACACACACACACACACACAGGCTCTCACACACAGGCTCTCTCTCACACACACACAGGCTCTCTCTCACACACACACAGGCTCTCTCTCACACACACACAGGCTCTCTCACACACACACACACACAGGCTCTCTCACACACACACACAGGCTCTCTCACACACACACACAGGCTCTCTCACACACACACACGGGCTCTCACACACACACACACACACACAGGCTCTCACACACAGGCTCTCTCTCACACACACACAGGCTCTCACACACACACACAGGCTCTCACACACACACACACACAGGCTCTCACACACACACAGGCTCTCTCACACACACACACACAGGCTCTCACACACACACACACACAGGCTCTCACACACACACAGGCTCTCACACACACACAGGCTCTCTCACACACACAGGCTCTCTCACACACACACACACAGGCTCTCACACACACACAGGCTCTCTCACACACACACACACAGGCTCTCTCACACACACACACACAGGCTCTCTCACACACACACACACAGGCTCTCTCACACACACACACACAGGCTCTCTCACACACACACACACACAGGCTCTCTCACACACACACACACAGGCTCTCTCACACACACACACACAGGCTCTCTCACACACACACACAGGCTCTCTCACACACAGGCTCTCTCACACACACACACAGGACCCGAGATATGAGGACAGCACTGCTAACTTTACAGCATCCACTGCAGTTCAAACAGTCTCATCATTTTCAATGTAAGACAGCCAACTGGTACTGTCAGTGCAGAATTTATCACTGATAATTAACGTTAATTTACCTTAGCTTAGCTAGGAAACGTTACCGTCAGCGTGTCTGACTCTCAGCTCCTCACATTAAAGCAAAGCGCTGCTGAATTTTAGCTCCTTTCTGAGACTGAAAAGTTGACATCAAGACTGCTAACACATCCTGCAGCGCATTTCCATCCTTTAAAATGCGACTGCATGCTGTAATCAATTGTTTTGACCATCCGTGAACTTTTAAAATCCTATGCGATGCTTTGTGGGTGTGACCTCGTCTCTGCGTCATCACCATTCACACCCAGACAGCCAGTGTGTTTATGATGAAATCACTAAAGCACAAAACTGTTTAGAGCTTCATAGACCTAACATATTAATTTTGTTCTCAAAGTGCACCAGATTGACGCAATTAACTTTAAAACATTCAAAACTTTCTTCTGGGGGGGATAATGCCCCCTCAGAGGTCCGAGCGACATCCACCTACCATAGATGGGAAACACTGGCCCTTTAACTTCATTATGTTGAGCTGGTTCAGTTTCTGGGCTGCTTTACTGTCTTTCTCACCTCTAACTTTGAAGCTTTAGAGCACAAACTTCAGTTCCTGGGCTGACAGATGCTGGATGGACTAAGAGGCTCCACATCAGTTCTATAAACTACTTAGTACTTAAAGGGGAACTCCTCCGAAGTTTTAAATTTTCTGCATTATTTAATCATTAAGATGTAAACAGAGCGGTTCAGAGCGGTTTGGTGTGAAACTCTCTGTTCTAGATAAACTTACCGAGTCAGAACTGTTCACAGTGGTGGTGATAGGAACCAGACGTCCACCTCTAAAAGCTCCCTCACAGAAAGTTCCTACATGAAATGGTTATGAATTCACTGCCTGATGACTGAGACACTGTTTTATGATAGTTTAGAGAACTTAAACTCCATTCATGGCGGAGGGATACATGCAGGGCGCTGTGAGGCAAAATAGTCCCCAAAGAAAACTTATTATTTCAGATTTTCCACTATTTTCCATCATCAACATTCCATATAAACTCAGAAGACTCGTGTAGGTTCACTGGTGGTTCTGGATAGTAAATAAAATGTCTATATCTGTGTTGTAGTCATGGTGACCCCTGGTTCCTATCACCACCACTGTAAAGACATCTGAACCATTTCACACCAAACCACTCTGAATCTTTGTTTACATCTCACACACTCGGAGAAATGTTGAAAAATGGGTGAAATTCCGCTTCTGTATATTTAAAGGTGTTTGTTTTTCTCTTCTGCTCTGCTTTGTTTTAGGAAAGCTGCCTTTAGTGCAGTCATTCGCTCAGTGACGGTGAGTTTAGTACACAAACAGCTCTGACTTCGGCTGAAAAAGCTTTTTCTAATTTTCCGCTCTACCTTAAACAGCGCTGTTGTTTCACTGTGGCCCAGAGCGCCAGCACAGAACCCCGGCGCCATTTAAGGTGGAACGGACAATTCGAATTAGAAGCCGCTCCGGCCTCGTTAGTCACTGAGGGTTTGGTGGACTCTCTGCGCGCCGCTGCGGAGTTACTGAGCCCGTATTTCAGTCGGGTCACCTGTATTTAATCCCCGTCCAGGTAACGTTAATTCAGTCCTCACTCCGCGGTAGCTTTAGCATATTTAGCGCCGCCGCTCTGCTGGCCTTCCGCGGCTCCAGCTGACCGCTCTGTCCGCGCTGCTCTGCTCTGACCTCTCACACGCACAAATGCACTTCAATTACAAAGTTTAATAAAACAGTGTTTTAATTAAAACTCTTTATTCACCTCGACTCGCGGCCCATGGCGACTCCTCTCCTTCTTCTTCAGTTTACCCGGCTGCTCAAACAGACTGTTCGCCCTTTAGCGCCCCCTGCAGGAGACACCCAGCGGCGCAGCACCAACAAACAGAGCTGTAAACATCACACTGTAAACAATGATTCAGTGTTTTAGCTCAATAAAGTGAGTTCAGTTCACTGAACTTCAAATAATAAGTTAACATAATGTAAAATGCAGATTTGATTCAATTATCTAAAAATGTTAAGACCACCAGATCACTCACTTTTAATTTAAAACATCGATCTGTTTCTACTGCGCGCCTCCGTTTACCCAAAAACAACTAAATAATAAAAGTCCTGTACGTTTTAGTCTATATCCGGCACTGTGAACCTGCACATTCCCCCAGATTCACTGCTGTACACACTCAAAAACATGGTTCTTCAAGGGATCTTTAGTAAAGGCAGTGGTTCTATTCAGACCCATGAGTTCTACAGAACCATTTCATGCTTAAATGGTTCTTTGCATGGTGAAATGGTTGCTCAGATTGATGAAGAAGGTGTTGTATATGGTTCTATACAGCACCAAAAAGGGTTCTACTATTGTTAAAAGCTTCACATCATGACAGAACTCTTAGCAGAACCCCTTTTGGTGCTGTGTAGATACATTTTTAAAAAAGGTTCTATACAGAACCAAATTTATACTTCAAAAAGAATTTTTACACAGGAGCTGCTTGTTTATTCCATGAGACAGTCTGAGGTTTCAGTTCAGCTTTATTGTTTACACAGTGAGATTTTGTGTCTCGAGAACCGTTTTCTTAATAACTAAGGCTGCAGCATCTGTTCACATTTCATTGGTTACAGGTTCATACAGATCAAAATAAACAGCATAAATAACACAATATATCAACACTTTACACTTTTCTGAATGTAAACATTATCAAAATCAAGTTAAAATCACAGACAGCAGATTAAACCAGCTCTGAAACCGAACAATGTCATTTGAATAAAAGGTCAGGAGGAACATCAGCGAAGCCAGATGAGAAACTTTCAGCAAGAAAACGACGCAGCTAAACACATCACAGCCTCTAAAACACAGGATACACACCGATAAGAAAGCTCAGAGATTATTATCACACACAGTAAAGCGGATGAGACTTTCGCACAGAACACTGAGGGCAGAAGGAAGCGGCTAACGCTGGCGTTCAGCACTCCCGTGTGAATATGACACATGCTTTAAAGCAAAATGCAAAACTACAGTCGGAGAAGAACACGGTGCCCACCATCCTGCTGGAGACCCACCGTCCTGCAGAGCTCCAGCAACATCTCCCAGCAGACATCGCAGTCACTGACCCATCAGAGAGCTTGTAGAGAGGAGAATTCCCACTCTGTAATGGTTCCTCAAACACTAGAGGGCGCTCCCGAACGAGTTCAAAATGAAAGGGTTAATATGGAGCGTTTGAGCGAAATCATAGTTTATTAATGCTGAAACATTTTTAATGTAAAAGAATTCATTCATTTTCTGAACACAGAGCAGCACAAAACACTTTAACACTGCTGTTATATTTTTAAGAGCTTTTGAACTCGAGTTACAGGAGTTTAAAACAGAGCCTCATGTACGTTCATGACGTCTGTGAGCGCGAACGGCCAATGAGCTGCGCCACTCACCAACCAATCAGCGCTCAGTAGCAGTAATGTTAACGTCCTGCTGCCCAAAACCTGTTTGCTGTAGAAAAAGGAAACATACAGGTGAGTTTTCTTTGTTTTTTTAGTGAAATACATCCTTCTACTTTCTAAAACTAAAGGAAAGTTCTGAGTGATTAGAAACTATTTTAACTTTTTGTTTTTAGCCATTGAGCTCCATTAACTCCCATTCACTGAGGACTCGCTCGCTGACGCCCTCTGCTGTTTAGAGGTCCTGCTTTTGATATAACGAGGGAAATAGGAAGTGGCCAGTCTCCTCATAAACCAGCTCTGGACTCGTCATCACGCATCACAACTGTGCTGGATCTGCTGGAGCGCCAGGGCGTGTGGGCGGAGTCAAGTGCAAACTGATTGGTCAAAGTCAGGAGTCACAGAATCGTCACTTGAGTCAACACGTCCATTACTGACCTATTAAACATGCTCATACAAGGAACTTCGGCTCTGAGCCGTTTTTCTCTATGGAAAAATCAACAGCACTTTGGAGAACAGCTGCTGTCGCTCTCTGAGGTGGACAGAAGGGTTTCAACTTGTCGGACGAACACTTTTACACTGAATGTCACTGGATTCCCTGAATTATGTGGTCGATAAAAGCCGTTACCTTCTGGTCTTCTTAGCCAAAAAAAAACGTAATTTATACCTCAATTATAAACAACTGTAATCACAATATTGGTCAGAATCGCAGATATTTTGCCAAAATCGTTCAGCTCTGCTGGCAACCTCACCAAAATACTCCACACAGACCAGCTGTCTTCGTCAAACGTGACAGTTAAGAGTGTTTGTCAGTTTTACGCTGCAGTTTGAGTCGCTGCTGATGCAACAGCAGTTTAAAAACGCTGTTCATTTTTCCCCACAGAGACCAACGGCTTAGCTCTGGAATTCCTAACACAGCAAAGACGCTGACCTCAGGATTCACCGACTATCCAGCCTCGCTGTCTGTGGGTCTTCACGTCAAACTAACACAGTAAAAGGTGCAGCAGATCCAGGAGCTCCTCCACTGTGGCTGCTGTTAGTGTTTACTGTTAACACTAGTGTTGTGTAAGAAATCACGAGACCACCACACGACCTCCAGAGACCCCCTGTCTGCTCTCACGGTTCTGCCGTGTGGTGGGGAACGGATGCAGGAGCTCAGTCAGGGTAGGTAGGGACGGTTCTCCAATACTATAACTCCTCTACTGTACACACTACTGCTGTCTGTATATACAGTACGAGTAAACAGTGCTGATGTTCTATTTAGCGAGTGTGCGGTATGAATGGCCATTACAGTCAAACAGCTACAGGCTACCGCACGCTGGACGCACAACGCTGGTCCTCATTCTCCAATCTCTTCCTCAGTGTTTCTTAAACGTGTCCTTTAAAAAGATCCTAAGAAAAAGTCAACGTCAGGTTCATGACGTGTTCTTAGAGCACAGATCTTTAAAGGTAACCAGCCTTGCTGAAAAATCACCATTAGGCTACGTTCACGTTACAAGCCTCCTCGCTCAAATGATTTTTTGCTCAAATCCGATCTCTCTGACACGATGGTTCACACTCGTTTAGGTAAGTGACTCAAATCTGTCATTAATGTGATGAACCGGCGTCCTGAAATGACCCTCATGAGCTCATCCTACTCAGTAACGTCACGTGAATGAATCACGTTCATCATCAGCACAAACTAACGAGCAGAACGAGCTTCGCTGAGAAGATCATTAACTCTGATCAGCTCTCAGCTTCATTATTAGAGCGAGACGAAGGAGAAAAAGGTGAGATGAGCTGCTTTTCCACCGTTTACAGGCTTTAACTTCTGTTCGGCGCTGCTGCCATGGTAACGCTGAATGATGGCGCAGTGGAAAAAAAGCACATGAATTCCGATCTGAGCGTCACATTAAGGTCGCATGGCCACGAATCGGATACGTATCTGATCTAGGACCACATATGAAAGTGGCTCAGGTCGGATTTGAAAAGATCAGATTTGTGTCCACACAGCCCTGAAAACATCAGATCTGAGTCACATTAGGGCAAAAAATGATTTCATGATTTCGATCCCTGGTGATGCTACAGCCGTCTGTGGCTGGGAGTCCAAGAGAACACAACTGGCCTCGCTCTCTCTGGGTGGGTAGGATGGCCCCCCTTCTCCCCCTCCACTCAGCGTGATGCTAGCCAGTGCAGATGTCTATTAGCTGATGTAACAGAGCTGGCGGTTAGCGTCTCCTCTGAGCACGTTCAGCAAGCCAATGACGCTGCGTTAGCAGCAGTTTGAAAAGACACAGTGGAGCTTCGCAGGACTCGGAGGAAGCCTGTGTTTGCCTTCGCACTCTTAGAGCTGATGGTATTGTGTGAATGGGTCCTGACTAGTGGGCGGAACTGGATACGACTAAACTGGGGAGGAAATTTGGGGGAAAAAAACAAAAAAACAAATACTGAGTCATTGTTTCCAGCGCAGGCAGACGTAACACAGCGTAGTTATGTCTGTTTGCACTGCAGATCTGTTGTACTACATTAAACTCACACAGCAGATCCACAGTGAATTTACACCAGGAAACACGTCAACCAGAAGTGGTTAAGGGAAACAGATGCATGGTAAGCGACTGTTTTGACCTTAGCTAATGTTACTCGCCATGACACATCATATTTCAGCTCATACGGTTTAACTGGAAAGCAGTTTGTTAGAGTTAATTATCTGAGACTGAACATGATAAATTCATTCAATGATGTTGAGTTTTATTCCATTACATTTACAGTAGAGTATAAAATGAACTTCTTGTTTATCTGCACACTTCCTATGAGCTATAGCTGAGCTTTGTACTATCAGAGCTGCCCTGCAGGTGTCCAGTAGTGTTTTACCTAATGATGTTTTATCACAGTGTAAAAGACCCTAATAGCTTATCAGATGTTCTGATTCCAGGTGATGGTTTCCTGACGTGATCCAAAGGTGTCCTACAGGAAACTAGTGGTCTGTAATGATAAGTATTAACCCAATTCCCATTAGAAAGCAAACCTATCAGGCTTTAATCCAAATGGTTCTAATGGTCTTTGTTCAGCAGGGTTCTGATCCAGTGGGCTGTAGCCGTTAGGTCTTTCTGTGCTTTCTTCTCTGGAAGTTGCTGCTGTTTCAATTTACAGTTTCATTTCGTCTTCTGAATCATGAAGAGCTGAAATATTAACGTTAAATGCTACATGAGCTAAAACTGCTGCGCAACATAAGATTGACCTCATAAAGGTTTTGTCAGTTTCATGCTGAGGTTTGAGGAGCTGGTGTTGAAGTTTGAAAGCAGACTCACTTTCACGCGACGTCAGTTCAGTGCGTATAGCCGTTAGCGCTCGTAGCAACCTTCATGTTTCAACCCATAACCACATCAGAGGATCCAGTGACCAAAACACAGACACAAGACAGAAGATATCAGCTCTGAAACATCAGCAACAAGGCTTTTCAAAAAGGCTACATGGAGCAGAAGCTCTGACCAGAGTGTAAGACGCTGGTTCTGGTGGAGAACAGAGTTCACACAGCTTGTGGTTCTGAGGACGTATAACGTGCTGAGATAAGCTGAGATGCATTTACATAAACTAATTTACTGTCATGACCATTTAAAGATTTAAAGTTCTGATCCTGGTCCGCAGTTTGGACACTAACACACTACACACGCTGTCCTAATGAGCACTGCCAATGTTGGTGTACTATTTTAACAAGCTGTTCAGTGTGATGAGGTTCTGGACGCAGGTAAGGACTTCTGCAGAGGATTTGGAGCAGGGGTGGCTGGAAGGTGGATTTCCAAGACCAGGGTTGGTGACCACTGCAGTAAACAAACTGGAGAAGTGTAAACTGCTAACCCTGTGGTCTCCAAGACTGCTCCTGGAGATCCACCATCAGCTCCAGTCCACAAACACATCTGACCAGAGTAAGTGAGTGTAGGGTTGAACGATGACACCGGAGTGATATCAGTATTGGCAGATAAAGGTGAAAAAATGTCTCTATAATTAGATATGAACGAATGTTCAGGTGGTTTTGGGTTAATGTGCTAAAATATCAGAGTTTAGTTCTAATACTCTCTGTAGTTCTAATTCAGATAGATTTAATCCGAATTTATCCATTTTTGAATGTTTACATCCCTAATGAACTCTACTGATGATCTGGACCTAATGGGATCAGTCAGGGTTGGACGTGAGCTCTTCAGGAGGGCAGATCTCCAGGAGCAGGGCTGGTGAGCACACTGTGCTAACCTGTCAGCTCTGTGGTGTAAGATAAAGACTTTCTTATAATCGATAACGACGTCCGCACACATGAACACATTCCGATCTCTTACGTTCTTCCGTCTGAAAGCGCAGAGACCGTGGCACGGGTTTGGGAAAGGTCTAAAACAGCTTACAGAGCAGCACAATTGAAAGGGTCACGCAGCGGTCAGCGCTCCTAACTCCGCTGCCCCATCACGACGACTCCGAGCCGAATAAGAGGATCAGCTCGTGACACAGGATGAAGGTGAAGAAGTAGACGCAGAGGTCTGCGAAAACGTCGCCCATCTTCCTGTAAGTGTCCATGGAATGGTTGATAACCTCAGCTGGGATGCCGGACAGTAGGAGGGCAGCGGTCAGAACGGTGGTCTTCATCTTTTTCTCCACCTGAGGGTCCAAACAAGAGAATCTCTCACCAAAGCGCACCAGGACCAAAATTGGAAAGTGCAAACCGACTCTAAATGTAGGTATTGTGATATAAACTGAGTCTGTTCTACAGTTTCTCATTAGGCTGAATGAATAACTGACTCTAAATGTAGGTATTGTGATATAAACTGAGTCTGTTCTATAGTTTCTCATTAGGCTGAATGAATAACCGACTCTAAATGTAGGTATTGTGATATAAACTGAGTCTGTTCTACAGTTTCTCGTTAGGCTGAATGAATAACCGACTCTAAATGTAGGTATTGTGATATAAACTGAGTCTGTTCTACAGTTTCTCATTAGGCTGAATGAATAACCGACTCTAAATGTAGGTATTGTGATATAAACCTAAACGTAGGTCTGTTTATTTGTGGGCGGAGCCTGGACAGAGCCATTTGCTTAAGCAGGTAAATGTGGAGTGGCGTGCAGGACTCACCTTAGGAAAGTATTTGTATAATCCCATGTAGGCCAGCTCAAGGGTGAGAAATGGTGCAAATATTGACTGCAAAACAGAAAATAAACAATCAGCTAAACAAGCAGAGAACCTGAAAACCCAGAATGTGACCCGCCTGCACCATCACTCACCAGATACTGGCAGACGAATATGCGTACGAAGACGGCGAGAAGAACGCTCCCGGTGAGCCGGAAGAGCCGAAAGGAGTCCAACTCCTCGGGGTCCGCGCTGCTGTCCTGTGCCGCCTTCTCGCTCGCCAGCTGACCTCTCAGTTTCATAGCGTCGTCGAAGCGGGACAGGTACTTCTGCAGGCCCCTGCGGGGGGAGCGAGAATGTTCATCGCTGGACAGCTCCCCCCGTGGCCTCTGCCGGACGCCCCGGGACACGTCGTCATCCCCCAGGTCTTCTCTGCTGTCCGGCAGGGGAGAGCCCCTCCTCTCGGGGGTCTCACATGGGGTGGTGCTGCTCCCACCTGCCTCCGAAACGTACGGCGAGAGTCTTTTGGTGGAAACTGGCGGTGACCAGGACTCATTCCTGTCCAGGTCCAGATGGAAACGGGGCTCCATCACACGGCGGGCTTCTTCATGGAAGGAAAAAAAGAGAGAAGAAAGTGAAACAGCAGCGTTGTTTCCAGGCACGATCGAGGAACATACAGAACATACAGAACATACAGAACATGGTGGAACCCATCATTCAGCATATATTCTGAAATGAAGGTGTTAATAGTGAGTTTGTGCTGCAGTAACAGCCTCTACTCTTCTGGGAAGGCTTTACATTAGATGTTGGAACATTGCTGTGAGGATTTGATTGCTTTTGGACACAGTATATATATGTACACTGTAGACTGCATGCTGCTCCTCACAGTAATGTACTACTAGTACTCATTATGTGATAATTACCGTCCTGTGCTGTGTACTACAGGGTCAGATGACCACTGGGCAGGAAAAAATACGTCTTCCTGAAAGGATAGTGTTGCGCTATAAGATGGTTCCATAAGCCCTGTCTCAGCTAATGCACATGTAGCCCTGCATCCATCGTTGGTGCAGAGCTGTTTACAGCGGTCTGACCAACACAGCTGAGAAGAAAACAATCAAGTGCGAGTTAAAAAGCATTTCTTTATTTATTTACATCGTAATTGTGCTGCGATATACTTGTAATCTACACCGACCAGCCACTTCATTAAGCCCACCTCCTCTTTTCTACACTCATTGTCCATCTAATCAGCTCCACTGACCATACAGTTTCACTCTGTAGTTCTACAGTTACAGACTGTAGTCCATCTGTTTCTCGGCATACATTGTTACCCTGTTCTTCAGTGGTCAGGACCCTTTAATGGTCAGGGTGGTGGGTCATTCTCAGCACTGCAGTAACACTGATGGTGTTAGTGTGTGTTGTGCTGGTGCGAGTGGATCAGACAAGGGTTCTGCTATTGTTACGATGTCAATCTCATTAATCTGAATGACTATTTGACCATGAAAAGAACCATTAAAGCATGAAAATGGTTCTGCAGATTAATGGAGAATGTGTTCTATATAGTTCTACACAGCACCAAATAGGGTTACAAGCCTGACATCGTAACAATACAAGAACCCTTTTTGGTGGTATACAGAACCATGTACGACACATTTAAGCGTGCAAATATTTGCACTCATGTTATAAATAGAAACACCGTCTTTAGCGAAGAACCCTCGACGAACCTTCTTTTTTAAGAGTGTAAAAGTTTGCTTGTTGTTGAAATGATCCGTTCCACCTTAAATGGTGCAGCAGTTACATTCTGGCGCCTCCAATTAAGGTGGAACGAAACATTTCAACAAGAAGCTAGCGAAGGCCTATCTGGACACTTTCTGGACATGTGTGGTGTCCAGGTGGGCGCAGATGGAGGTGTGTGTGTCCTGACCGCTGCTGTCCGAGTCGCTCTTGTTGAAGCCCACTATCCGGCTCATCCTCTGCTCGGAGTTCTGCAGCAGCCTCCTCCGGCGGCTCTCCGCTCTGCGCTGCGCGGCGCTGCGGCCGCTCGTCTCCTCTCCGGGCTCCATGCTCTCCTCTCACCCACACACGGTCCGGACAGTCCGCTCTAACCGTCCCGACGGGCAGATTTGTCCTCGATCGCCGTGATTCTCTGATTACAGTGCTGATCTGCAGCTCCTCAGTCCGACTCAGGGCCTCTGCTACGCTGCGGGCGCGGCGCGATGACGTCACCTGAAAATAATAAAAGTCACGGAACCGTAATGTCCATTTCTATAAATATGTAAACAGTGTAAGATAAAATAAAAGTCATATGAACAGCTGAAAACATTATTTAAATTAAATTGCAGCAAACGGTTGAAAATTAAATTAAAACACAATTTAGTAATTTTAAACAGCGTGGTTCTCTACATTAGGAGGGTAAATCAAAATCATCTGAAAACGAAAATAAAACATACCAGATGGTACATTAGTCTGTGAATACATGAAAAGAAACCCCCAAATGTACAAAACAAAGCAGAATTTACAGTCAGAAATAACATACAAAAATAAATCAAATGAAGTGGGACGGCCTGTTTTATTCCAGATTTTTTCAATTCTTGAACACATAAGTAGAAAAATGTGCTCTGTCAGCTCAACATGGGAATCGGGCTCATTCATGTCGCCCCTAATAAGCATTTCACACAGTGAGTCGCCTTATCCTGTATTTTATCACATGTTTGTTATTTTGCCAACAATATACAAAAATAGTGACACTATAACGTACATACATTTTAGTTTTATATATTTGTGGAACACAAACTAAGCACGGATAAGAGGTAAGATAAGAGAGAGAGCTCCTTTTTGTCATATTTATCTGTGTAAATCTACATGGACAGTGACGTGTGAGGTTGTGAGTCGCTGAAGGATTGTGGGTAATGTAGTAGAAGAGCAGCTGAACTGTAGTTTCGAAGTCACTTCCCCAAACGGAGTACCGGGTTACAGCGAGTCGGTGTTCGCTGAGCGGACTGCCGTGTCAGAGAGAGGAGGTGCTGTAGATGGTGTTGATGCTGTAGCTGGTTCTGTAGATGGTGTTGGTGCTGTAGCTGGTTCTGTAGATGGTGTTGGTGCTGTAGCTGGTTCTGTAGTGAAGTTTAGATCAGATGTATTGATGTATTCGGTTAGAATGCTGCAGGTTGAGGTTCTCCGTGCGGCTCTCCTGACCGTGTGTCTGACAGTAAGTGTGGACTCCGCTCCTCCTCCTAATGTGGTCTTCATCCTGGCTGATGATCTGGGCTGGAACGATGTGGGCTTTCACCGCTCTGAGATCCGAACCCCGGTGCTGGACCGGCTGGCTGCTGCGGGGGTGAAGCTAGAGGGGTACTACGTCCAGCCGCTCTGCACACCATCCAGGAACCAGCTGATGACCGGCAGATACCAGGTAAGACAGGGCGCGCGCGCACACACACACACACACACACACGACCTACAACCATAACCACTACTAGAATCACCGCCACGGCTGCTGCTAACTTTACAGAGCAGCGCTGCTCTGATTACTGATATTACTGTCAGATCCACGGTTGTTGCTGCTGCTACTATTATCACTGCTACTACTACCACTATCACCAGGGTGACCGCTACTAGTACTGCTACTAACCCTAACCCTAACTACTGTTACTACCATTATTAGTACTGCTGCTACTGCTACTATTATTACTACTAATAATAGTACTTTACTACTATTACTATTACTGCTACTACTATTCATGTTACTATTATTGTTACTACCAATATTACTGATGCTGCTATTACTATACTACTATTACCACTACTACTGTTAATAATGATGATGATGATAATGATAATACTCTACTACTGCCATTCCTACTGCTACTACTACTATTACTGTTACTAGCACTACTCCTGCTATAAATACTCTACTACCATTACTACAACTAACAGTACTACTGGTACTCCTATTACTACTACCACTAATACTACTGTTATTACCATTATTACTGCTACTGGTACTGCCAATATTCCTACTACTACTGTTACTAGTACTATTACTACTATTCATATTAATACTGTACTACTATTACCACTGGTAATACTACTGCTCCTAGTATTAGTCTTACTACCACCATTATTAGTACTGCTGCTACTACTACTCTACTAGTGTTACTATTACTGCTACTGTTGCTGCTGCAGGTATAACAATTTCTATACGTTCACATTAGGAGTCAACAAGTCAGTCCAGTTTGTCTGTGTTTGAGGCTGCTCTTGTTGTTGCGTGTGGGCGTGTGATAGAAGTAAATTATACCCATTCTGAGGATTTTGTTTGAGCCAATCGTTCAGAATAGTGCTTCACTGTGTCATAGTTTACTTGCATAAAGTTGAGAAAATTTCAATTAGACTTGTTTCTGTGCCTCTGGGTCGCTTACCACTTGTTGGTAAATCGCAGCCACAAATCGTCCACTCCCACAGGAAATGACTGCCCGCTGTGGCTTTGTCACCTGCTGGTGTGAGCGTACAGTTACTGCTTCTATTATACTACTACTGCACTATAACTACTAATGCTACTAATACTACAAGTATCATTACTACTAATATTACTACTACTGCTACTATTTTTACTACTATTACTATTACTAATACTAGTACTAAAATTACTACTACTGCTACTATTACTGCTATTCCTATTTCTACTACTATTACTAATACTAATACTGCTATTACTGCTACTGCTATTACTGCTGCTACTGCTTCTGCTACTATTACTGCCACTACTATTTCTACTACTATTACTAATACTAGTACTAATATTGCTATTACAGCTTTTACAGCCACTACTATTTCAACTACTGTAACTAGTACTAGTACTAATATTGCTGCTTCTGCTATTACTGCCATTACTGTTTCTACTACTATTACTAGTACTAGTATTAATATTACTACTACTGCTATTACTGTTACTACTATTATTACTACTACTATTACTAATATTAGTACTAATACTAACATTTATACTAAGGCTGTTATTGCTACTACTATTTCTACTTCTATTACTTATACTAGTACTAATATTACTACTAGTGCTATTACTACTAGTACTATTTGTACTACTAGTACTAGTGCTAATGCTAATATTACTCCTGCTGCTATTACTGCTACTATTTCTACTACTAGTACTTATATTGCTACTACCACTATTACAGCTACTACTATTTCTACTACTGTTGCTAGTACTAGTACTAATATTACTACTACTGCTATTACTGCCAGTACTGTTTATACTACTATTACTAGTATTAATATTATTACTACTGCTATTAATGCTACTACTGTTTTACTACTGTTACTAGTACTGGTACTAATATTATTACTACTGCTGCTCTTACTGCTGCTACTACAGTTATTACTTCCACACTATTGTTAGTACAACATTTGTTTCTGCTACTAATACTACATGACTGCAGCTGCTGCTGCTACTATTGCTATTACTTCTACTATTACTAGGACTATTAGTAATAGTATTACTGTTGCTGTTTATTACTGTTATTAATAACACTGTTTATACTACTGCCCCATTACTGTTACTGTCACTGTCACTCCTTTTTCCCACTGTGTACCATTTTCTCTGTCAGATCCACACGGGGATGCAGCACCAGATTATCTGGCCCTGCCAGCCATACTGCGTCCCTCTGGAGGAGAAGCTGCTGCCCCAGCTGATGAAGGAGGCCGGATACTCTACCCACATGGTGGGCAAATGGCATTTGGGCATGTACAAAAAAGAGTGCCTGCCCACACGTCGAGGCTTTGACTCTTACTTTGGTACGTTGATGTTACTAAACACTGTGTAACCACTGTGTCCCACAGACACTGCATTTTACAGCAGGCTTACAGGACCTAAACTGTTAAACTACACTGTGGCCATCTTAGACAAAAGACATGAGAAGTTTTCCAGACATAAGTTTGCCTTGGACAAAACTACTGCAATGTTAGGCGACTTTACTGTAGAGCTGTAGGCTGACCTTTTTAGGTGACAGCACTGGTGCAGCACAAGAACATAGAAGCATGCACATTTTTAAACTTTTTATTGCAGGTAAACGGCAGGCATTATTATTCAAACGAAGATTAAGATGAGCTAATGAGCTAAATTAGAGATAAAGGGAAAACTTTGGCTGTTGATGAGGACTCGTCCTCTTCTACTCTTCCATGGACGCTGTGCTATTGTAATAGTTTGCAGAAAAAGATATTTTTATTGTTTGTGGAACTGACATTAGCCAGAGTACCTAGTTAGCTTTGCATTATCTCTGCCTTCTGAATCACATCACAAACAACACGTCCTGACACGTCCTCATGTTCAGGCGCTCCTGGTTTGGAGTACGACTTCAGACTTTTTAAAGTCGACAGTTATGTGATGCAAGTCAACATTGACTAATCGCTGATGACGACGTGAATAAACCCACAGGAGAGGGGAAGTTTTTGCAGCATGCGACTTTAAAAATGTGTGGCGAAGCCAAACTCCACAGGTCAGTAGAGTGTGATGCGCCCTTTCCAACAAGCCCTGGATCGCATCGCTAGCCTTCAGAGATACAGACCCTGAAATAGTGCTGTCCCTGAAACAGCGAGCAGTGTTTAACACAGCACCCGCGAGACGCTACACAGCACTTTTGAAGCGATGCTGAAACTGACTACACGCTCGACAAAATGAAGGATTTAAATATTCTTCATCTTCATCTGGACTTGATGTTTAAAATAAGTTTGAGTTTTATATTACGCTTACATCACGACTTATTCTGTGAGTTTATTGACTGGTTGTTAAGCAGAAATTAGTATTGCCTGAGTCATGTAGACCCATAGTTTCCCCTTCATCTGATTACACAGGAGCATGAAAACACACTGAACCACTTACTGATACAATCTAATTTTCTGCAGTTATCGGATTATTAAGTGTAAACACACTGAACCAGTTACTGACACAATCTGATTTTCTACAGTTATCAGATCACAATCTGATTTCTGCAGTTATCAGATTATTAGGTGTAAACGTCCTGAACCAGTTACTGACGCAATCTGATTTTCTGCAGTTATCAGATTATTAAGTGTAAACGTCCTGAACCAGTTACTGACGCAATCTGATTTTCTGCAGTTATCAGATTATTAAGTGTAAACGTCCTGAACCACTTACTGATACAATCTGATTTTCTACAGTTATCGGATTATTAAGTGTAAACACACTGAACCAGTTACTGACACAATCTGATTTTCTACAGTTATCAGATCACAATCTGATTTCTGCAGTTATCAGATTATTAAGTGTAAACGTCCTGAACCAGTTACTGACGCAATCTGATTTTCTGTAGTTATCAGATTATTAGGTGTAAACGGACTGAACTTGTTCTCTGTTGTGTATTTTACTGTTTTTTCCAACAGGGTACCTGACAGGTTCTGAGGATTACTTCAGTCATCATAGGTGCTGTCCCATCACTCCTCTGAACGTAACCCGCTGTGCACTGGATCTGAGAGATGGAGAGGAGGTCGCCACGGGTTACAGTGGCACTTTCTCCACCGAGCTCTTCACTCAGAGAGCCACCAGCATCATACAGCGGCACAAAGCAGACCAGGTACGCAAACAGGGATAAAAGGAGTCAGAGAAAATTTGACAAAATCCGTGGAGTTCTCCTTTAAGTAATCTCTAATAGACTTGATTATGTGGTTTCTAACACTGTATGACACTGTTATCTACAAACATGGACTAAATTCAAGTTTCAGAATGGCATTAGGTTACTATGTGTGCAACATACACTATATGGCCAAAAGTTTTTGGACACCTGCTCATCCAGTGTTTTTTTCCAAAATCAAGCATATCAAAAAAGAGTTTTTTTCCCCCCTTTTTGCTGCAGTAACAGCCTCTACTCTTCTGGAAAGGTTTCTAGATGTTGGAACATTGCTGTGAGGATTTGATTGAGCATTAATGAGGTCAGGTACTGATGTTGGATGGTCAGTTCTGAATCACTCCAACTCATCCCAAAGGTGTTGGATGGAGCTCCATCACTCCAAAGAACACAGTTCCGCTGCTCCACAGCCCACAGGGCTTTATACCCCTCTAGCCCACACTGGGCATGGAGACCTTAATATCATGTGCAGCTGCTCCAGAGTGTCTCATTCTATTGGTCAGTACTTTTCTATGGAGATTATACAAGCAACGGCAACAGAATGTGTCAGAGATGATGAAGTGACTGTTCAGTGTTGGGAAACAGTCGGTTACAGTGGTGCACTGCAGACAGCAACAGGGTTGTGGTCAGAATTAGCCAACTGATGGAGAAACTTCACTTTATCTGAGCATATGCTACATGCTTAAAAAAGATGGTTCTTCAAGGGTTCTTTAGTAAAATGGGTTCTATATAGCACTAGAAATGGTTCTTTTCTTATTACAAGCTTGACATTGTAACCATAGAAGAACACTTTTTGGTGCTATGTAGAACCTTTATCAAAAAGATTTTATATGGAGCCATTTACAGCACAATCCCCTTCCATCTGAAGAACCTTTACAATGCAAAGAAGCATACACCGGATCATTTGAGCGTTTGTGGTTCTATGTAGACCGATTAAACTGGCTGACCGATTAAACTGAGTACTGACTAAGGACCTTTGTAAACTGTGTCAGAAAATCATACAGTAGCTACCATGGAGAGAAGCTAACAGCCCAATCTCAAGGCCCTAAACTCCCCCCTGGGCAGCTCCTGTTCAGGACAGACAGAGACGCTGCTATCAGAATATGCCAGACGTCTTAAATGGGCGGCTCAAAAAGTGACTCAGTTTAAAATGATGTTCTGTTTGTTTATTTCATGGTGCTACATTCTAGTAGACTGTCTGTCTGTACAAATCAGAGCTCACCAATCAGCTGGTGGTACAATTCAGCCCCACAACTCCACCCCTGCTTTAACCCTTGGGTCACCAGAAAAGACGTTTGTGGTGATGTTGTGGAATCACTGGACACTTGTGAGCTTCTGGTGGAGTTTTACACAGCAGTGTTCTCTAAAACTAGGCGAGGAAGTGGTAGAAGTGGTCAGTAGATGGCAGCAGCAGCCCCCTCTGCTGGCCAAAGGTGGAACGGGAAACAGTGATAGGCACCATAATGTAACCTCTGCACCATTTAAGGTGGAATGGGAAACAGTGATAGGCGCCAGAATGTAACCTCTGCACCGTTTAAGGTGGAACGAAAGCCAACTTCAGCTTTGTGGCTGGATTAGGGTTGGATCTGTAGATCTCCTGGAGCAAGTTGATGACCTCCAGTCTGAGGAGTCTCTTTGTCGATCACCACGGTCATGAGTTATTTTCTCTGGCTTCTGCAGCCGCTCTTCCTCTACGTGGCCCTGCAGGCAGTTCATGCTCCTCTGGAGGTTCCTGAGCGCTACGTCACCCCGTACACCTTCATCAAGGACAAGAACCGCAGGGTGTATGCCGGCATGGTGTCGGCGATGGACGAGGCTGTGGGCAACATCAGCAGAGCTCTGCAGGACACCGGACTGTGGAACAACACCGTGCTGATCTTCTCCACAGGTATGAAGAAGAAGATGCCTGACCATCACAAATTATTTATGTTTTGTTTTTGTTTTATTCACATGGAGTGAATAAAAAAAATACGTTCATTGGTCCAGTGCAAGACCATAAACTAGCGCTCTCGGTCTCGTCATCGCTTGGACTCGGTCTTGTCTTGGTCTCGAGACCAGCCGAGTGCAGTCCCTTCATCTGAGGTCATTTGAAACTGATCTTTTTCTAATATTATTTAATATCAACACTTGAGCAAACAGAATAAACCGTCCTCACTTTACAGGTTTAAATAAAATCTGCTGGTTGAAGATGGATTAACTTGGTATTGTTTGTTTGTTGCCATTCATTGGTTCCAAAATCAAACACCCCCTGAGAGCAGATGGTAATGTTATTATTACTGTCTTTTCTTTAATAATCTAAATGTATGTATGTTGATTTATATTCAGTCGACTTTAGGTGGTGATTCTGAATCAGTTCTAGATAAAAATATACAAAGAAGAACCTCAACATCACTACCTCCCCTAACTTACACTGCAAAGTCGTATTCAGACTATAATATAATAATAACAATATTTTTAGCCTATATATTATTCAAAGTTATATTTTACAAATTTATTGTAAATCATCAACTGTTTTAGCTTCAAAGGAGGAAGACGATTTGTAGGATGTTAATGTAGTGAAATCACTGATGTTGATAATCAGCGAGCTGCTCTATGAACCCAAACTGTTCAGTTTTTAACCTTTTCATGTTTAATGGTACAACATTGACTTTTTGACCACAGCCCCCCAGCACAAACACATTGTAGTTTTAATGTAAGTAACCCTGAGTTCTTTAGAACCAGGCAGTACATGTTAGAATGTTAGAACAGATTAGAGCTGAGCAGAGCGTTTTCAGTGCTGTCTAATAAAAGCTTGTATAGGTCAGTGAATGAGGAGTTCACATTCCGCTCCGTCCTCAGGAAAATCACGAGTCTGTGAGGGAGCGTCATAAAGCTTTGAGGAAGCTGTCTGTCTGTGTCAGGAGTGACAGTACAGTTTTAGTGCTTTGTACTTTGGCAGCTCAAACACACTGAATAAGTTCTGCCTGTTCATTATTACACTGAGCAGTATAGCAATGCTCCACCAGGGGTCACTGTACTGCAGGTCACTAATGCTGGTTTCCCTTTGTGTCCTTCTTTTCTGTGTTTTCAGATAACGGGGGTCAAACGCTGGCCGGGGGCAACAACTGGCCTCTCCGGGGCAGAAAGTGGTCACTCTGGGAGGGCGGAGTCAGAGGTGTAGGCTTCGTGACGAGCCCGCTGCTGGAGCGGCCGGGAACCGTCAGCCACGAACTGATCCATATTTCTGATTGGTTGCCTACACTAGTGGGTCTGGCTGGCGGGTCGACCAATGGCACGAAGCCGCTGGACGGGTTTAACGTGTGGGACACCATCAGGTTAATCATTTTACCCTGATTTTTTTCATCAGTTAAAGCTGGGATTGCTACTTTGGTTATAGCACTGGAGCTACGAAGCTAATGTAGCCAACAAGTAATGGAAGCTAATTATCATTGATGAGTGCCATCAAGTCGATTCTGACTCCAGGTGACCGTTTGGACAGTGTTCCTCCAGAATGTTCTGTCTTCTGTTTGGGTCTTCAGGCTTCTGAATGGCTGCTTCATGACTCCTCTGATTGTCTCCATCCGTCTTACAGCCGGTCGTCCTCTTTGACCTACTCTTCCAAGCAATACAGTGTTTTCTAATGAACTGGCTCTTCTCAGAATGTGTCCAACATAAGAGCTTCAGTTGGTTCTCTGGGCTCTGACTGAGAGGTGAGGTTTGATTTGGTTGAGGATCCATTCATTTGTTTACTTTGCCATCCAAGATTCTCCCAAAAGTCTCAGCACCAAAGTTCAGAGGTGTCAGTATTTTTCCTGTCCCACTTGTTTACCGTCCAGCTTTCACACCCATAAAGAACGACAGTGAAGACCACAGCCTGGACAGTTCTGGTCTGTGTTTGTAGAGACAAATCGCTGAATCTGAAGATCTTTTCAGGCTCCTTCATCCTTGTTCTGCTGAGAGCTGATCTGGGTCGTATTTCTCGAGGATCCTCTGTTGTTAATAACTGATCTGAGTAGCCAAAGCTGTCCATCGTCTCCACATCTTCTTGATCAAGGGTAAAGTTAGTGTTTTGTCCGTCGTCATAACCTCAGTCTTCTTCATATTGAGCTGAAGTCCCATCTTTTCACTCTGTTCTTCAGCCTACCTCATAAGGGCCTTCAGGTCTTCCAGATGTTCCACTATGAGCGCTGCTTCACCCACATATTGAAGATTATTGTTTCCTCCACCAATCCTGAATCTTAGATCATCTTCCTCCAATCCTGCTTGTCCAATTATATGTTCTGCATGCAGGTGGACCAGGTCTGGTGATGGTGGGCAGTCTAGTTGAACTGCTTTTCCGATGTGGAACCATGGCTTGTCGATCATTAGCATGGTGCTACCTGCACTCTTAAAAAAGATATTCCTTCAAGGGTTCTTTAGTAAAGACTGTGGTTCTATTTAGAACCATCAGTTTTATATAGTGTTATATAGTTCTCTGCATGGTGAAATGGTTCTTCAGATTTATGGAGAATGTGCTGTATATGGTTCTACATAGAACCTGAAAATGGTTCGGTTTAATACAGGACAAACAGAAATCACTGCTTTCTTTTCTTATTGGAATATTACTGACATTTTTGGAATTGGGTTTGTACAAAAGCCTCACAGCCCCAGCGCTAAAACTAAAGAAGCAGTTGTCAATCATTGTGTCTGTAATCAGAGAAATATCTCTGTGTGTCTCAGTAAAGGTAAAGCATCTCCTAGACTGGAACTGCTGCACAACATCGACCCCATCTATGACGACATCGCGCCCTGTAAGTAGGAAAAAAGACTGTTCACACTGAGTAACACAAACCCACAGCAAATAGTCTTTAGTAGACAAAAAGAAGACAAATCAAAAAACAGGGCATTTGAAAAAGTGAACATAACAGCCCTTTTTCATCAAAGCTACGTAAAAAGATCACAGATTTGACGCCTTTAATGATGTACAAGCTGCTCTGCGTCACTCATTAAACTTTTCAGCATAATAACAGGAAAAGATTTGAGCTCTGAATCAGCGTCAGTGCGTGAAATCAAGCGCAGCTTATCAGCACCACATTTACATATCATTTACATGCTCTAATTAATGCAGATGTTTCAGTAGAGAGCCAATGAAACATAAGCGTTCAGTTCAAAAGCAAATGGCTGTGCTCATGGGTGGAGTTTGAGGTCAGTGAGTGCACTGCGCCCCCCACTGAATAACTTCATAGTGTTAAAACTACAACCACTGGTAGTGGACTGCCAAGTGCACAGATTATTAATATTACCGCTATTTTCATTTTTATTTATTCTTATTTTAGAGAATATTGATAATAGTTTCGGTTAGTTAACTGCAAATCTACTGTTTTGTTCAGGTTGTTAAACTGTTATGCTCACCCCTAACAGACATGAGTTTGATTGTACAGATACGCCAAAGATGAAACTGATCAATAACAAAACGGTCAGTGAAATTTCTGCTCATATTACAATCATACGCAACTTTGAGGAATAAGGGCCATTGTTGTTAGACAGCTAATGTTAGACAGCTTGTTATATCATTATATGTATTACTAATATTGAATCTTAATATTAAATAGAGTTAAAATTAAATATTAATATTAAATAGTTCCACTGCTATTTTAAATATTTTAAATGCTATTTTAAAGAGTTTTGCTTTTAATATTTTTTTAATGGAATTAATGTATCAAATTGTTTAGGAGATTCTGTTTTTTGTTCTAATCACTGCAGTTCAAATGAACTGAATGCATCTCTCTCTCTCTCTCTCTCTCTCTCTCTCTCTCTCTCTCGCTCTCGCTCTCTCTCTCTCTCTCTAGGTACTGGGAAGGAGGTAGATTTTGAGAAGCTGCAGGAATCTTGGCGTTTGTTGTCATCGAGACGAGCCTTGCCAGAGCTCCGCCCACAATTCAATGTTTCCATGCACGCTGCCATTCGCCGTGGCAAATGGAAGCTCCTGACTGGTTACCCAGGTAACAGCTGTGCCAATTAAACCAATCAGAGAAAGAACTAATTCTGCCAGTTTTGCCTCAACCTAAAATTAAGCCGTATAGCAGCTGGATTAGTTTCATCTGCGCAGGAGCTGTATGAGTCACAAACCCTTTAAAAGATCTATAAAGTTCCTCATTCAGCTTCTTCCTTTACTTTAACTCATGAAGTCCCTTAACGTCATATACTGAACACCCTGGGTGCAGTAATATAACACTGAATTTGTCTATGTGACCTCATTTACAAAATGCTGGTGTGCTTGATGAGCGCCTGAGAGAAAAACAGCTAATTTTAAAAGCGTGTTTTTGTTTCTAAAGGTTCCAACCCATTTAACAACTCTAATACTTCAATAACGTCCTATACTACATATAAACATTGGCCACATTGATTGTAAAGAAAGGGGAATCAGCAATAAAAAATGGCCTAAAAATTACTACTCACAGATTTGTTTTGTTTTATTGTGGAAAGAAAAAAATTGCACAGACATAATTCAGTAAAACGCTGATTTTGCTTTACCACTGCAGTAAAATGTGATGTTCACTCGTTTTAGTAAGTAAGTAGTAGTGAGTCCTGTAACATGAGTGTGTTGCCACTGAGAAGCCAGAGAGCTGTATAGGCAGAGCTGGGATGTAACACGAGTTCACAGAAACTGTCTTCAGTCCAAATTACAATTTGTAGAGACAGGATTAGGAATAGTTACATTTTACATTTTTACGAGAAAAGAAACACCATCAGGTATGGAGGACCAGATTTGCCAAATTGAAAAATAAATAAAATTAAAAAATAAATGGCTCAGTAAATTAATCAATAAATAAAAAAAAAACTAAATAAAGTATATATTGCTTATTGTGATTGTAATTATACACACATTTCCTTTTTCTGCAGTTACATATTTCTCAAATCATTTATTTCTGTATTATTCATTTTGTTTTATTAATGCCATTTTTATATTTTTTCCATATCTATATTTAACAATTGTTCACTTTATTCTTTGATTGATGTATTCATTTATTTATTTTTTCATTAATTCATTTATTTATTTCTGTATTTCTTTGTTCATATGATAATGAGGGGGCGTGTTTTTCACGTTCAGGCTTGGCAATGAAGCCCAGGAGGAGAGGAGCTGATTAAACTGTTCTTTCACTCCATAAAGAGCTGCAGTGTCACGGACAGACAGACCTGCTGATGAATAACTCTCGATGTCTCGATTTCCTGCTCTGTCGTGACAAACAGTGAGAATAAGAAGTGAATGGAGGCTCTGATTGAACTGTAGACAGAGCTGAGGTACTGCAGTCTGCTGCAGCTGCTCACATCAAGCAGTCTGTGTGTCTTTGTACAACACACCAGTGATTTCTGTAAGATTTCTGTTTTTGAAAGGAAGAGGAGCTTTTATATGTAGCAGGAATTTGATGGATTGATTTATATTAAGCTAGCTATGCTGGCTAGAAGCTATTGCTGACCAAACTAGATAGCCTGACTAACATAAAGCAGCTTTCTGCTTTTTCAAACGTCACAGCAGAACCACAGTGCTGAGATACAGGTTAGCTAGGAGCCGTGTTTTGATCGAGCAGTGAAAGGTGGACGTTTCTCCAAAGTTCTGCTTCAAAAATGGCCATGAATCTAAGAGTGAAGCTGTTCGGCTAGCTTTACAGTCTGCTGCTCATACGAAGCTGAGTTCCTCAAACTGCTAATGGCAGGTAGACAATTAGCGCCTGTGGCCTGCTAGCCCACCGTCAGCTGAAGGAGAGTTTAATCGAGGAGCAGACTTTACGTATGAAGGCTTTGGGTTCTTTAACAGCTCTTCAGCAGCTAATGAAAGCTAGCTTCCATGTTTGGGAATACAGCTACAGTTAGCAATGGCTTCTAGCGTAGCTAACTGCACTTAAAGAACTACTAGTCTACCAAATTCACACCACATATAAAAGATCTTCTTTCCTTTGAAAACAGAAATGTTACAGAAATCGCTGGCGTGTTGTTCAAAGACACAGAGACTGTTGATGTGAGCAGCTGCAGCAGCAGCAAACAGGGCTAAACCACACATTCAGCATTTTAGCTCTGTTTACAGTTAAATCAGAGCTTCCACTCTTTATTCCCACTGTTTGTCGTGACAATGCAGGAGAACGGAAATGTGTCTCCTGGAGCTCAGAGTTGGAGGATTACAGTTCACTTTAATCAGCATTTTCTTTTTATTTCATTTTTTTTGCCTCTGCAGTGGTTATATGGAGCAGAAGTTAGTTTACCCTGCTAAAGCTTATACCGGAAGTAGTCGCGACTCTTTTAGTTACCGCTGAGAGAGGAAGACATGTACAATCGATCTACAGAGTCTGACATCGATCAACCAATAGGAATATTAAGACGCTGTGACATCATTGACTGACAGCCCCTTTTTTACCATAAGGACGAGGAAATACAGAAATAAATAGAGAAATAAATAAATATAGAAATGAATAGTTATGGAAATAAATTAATAAAATAAATTAATAGAAAAACAAAAAAATGTTAATAAAGAAACAAATAACAAAAAAATTAATACAAAAACTAGTGAGAAGGGGAAATTACTAAACAGACATATAAATAAATGCAGACATTAATTTATATAAGATTTTAATTATTAATATATTAATTGTTCTGTATATTTATTTATTTTTAGATTTATCATCATTATTCTTTGCAATTCTACTTCATATATTAATTTACGTAATTTATTTAAGTAATTTATTTTTAATTTAATTTATTTATAATTTTGGCAAATCCGCTCCTCCATACATCAGTGCTTTATTAACTGTTTACAATTCAGTGCACAACATATAAAGACTTACTCTAAAGAATGACTGAACAAATCAGCTTCTTTACAAACACTAAAACTCCTGCTAAAGCCTGAGTAGACTGATAAATCAATGTGATGATCAGTTATTAATCTCAGTGTTACTGAGCTCTGCTAAAGCCTGAGTAGACTGATAAATCAATGTGATCAGTTATTAATCTCAGTGTTACTGAGCTCTGCTAAAGCCTGAGTAGACTGATAAATCAATGTGATCGGTTATTGATCTCAGTGTTACTGAGCTCTCTTCCTATTGTGCCTTTTCAATATGTATTGTAAATATAGTCCAAATATGGAATGTGACAGAATTTCTAAATTAGTGGAATCCTGAGAAGCTCCACTGCATCTTTTCAAACTGATGCTAACACAGCATCATTGGAGCACAACACACTTGGAGGAAGGGCTGCTTGATTATGGCAAAAATCATAATCACGATTATTTTGGTCAATATTAAGATCACGATTATTTAACATCACTACTCACTGACTTTGCTAAAAGGCTAGCCTGCTAACCACTGCTTCACCTTGTCTGCGTCTTAAAAAGTAAAAAAAAATACACAGCAAAATCAAGCATTTCAAGTCAAGCAAAAAATAATGGAACATATTTCAGAAACTACAAAAAATGCACAGTAAAAATAATAATACTTCATTTTTAGACAAAATCTGTTTATTTATTTATTTTATTTGGCTATTTGTTTTGAAACACTTGCTTTTCATGCTCCAGTCAACTCCCGGGGAATAAAATCATGCCCTGTTTCCACACCTATTTCCCACCTGAGTGTCCTGTTTCACTTGGAAATATGTCACATCAAGGACTAAATAGTATCTGATTCACAGTGACTGTAACAAATTTTTGAATGCAGACAGCAGGGGGCGCTCTGTCCACTCTCCTGTCCTATAAACAGGGTTTACATGAATCATTAATGCTTTCACTCGTACTGAGTGAATTATGACTGCAGTGGGAACGTTTGCTGTTTTTTCTTGGCAGGTTGTCCCCTGTGGTTTCCTCCGCCAGGTGAGGGTCAGGAAGAGTTCACTGCCACACCTGAACCGCTGAAACAGGTGATGCTGTTTGACATTGAGCAGGACCCTGAGGAGAAACATGAAGTCTCAGCGCATCACCCGGAGGTGGTCAACTTTCTGCTAAGACGCCTGGACCACTACCAGCGGGAGGCGCTGCCTATAAAATTCCCACCTGAGGATCCTGGGTGTGACCCGGAGCGTCTGGGAGGAGCTTGGGGTCCGTGGGCCTGACGGCATAGGCAGGGAAAGTAAAGAGATAGTCAGATCTGGGCAATCTGACAGGATTGGATTGGCTGATAAATTAGTTTAGCAAATTATCTCTTATTTCTACTGCACACTGAACACGCCGCACCACACATGTGCCCAAAAATCAAGGTACCCAAAGTCTGTGGCTCTGAGCACCGTTAGATTTCTCAGCCTGTCAGAGCGCAGCCTCAGCACAGCCATTACTACGTTAAATTAAAGCCACATTGAGAGCACAGAAGGCCATTGTGGACATCATGTGGCTTGAAATTTACACAGAGAAAGGCAGCCAGTCTTTAAGATAAACCTCAGCTAACGTTATTAGCTTAGTCATTTTTCACTTTGTGCCTCTCAGCTTGAAAACAGAAAGATAGTGTAGAGGAGTAAACTGACCCCGAAGGTGATAAATTATGGTGAAAGTTTCATTTAACAGTTAAAATCTCAGACTTATTACATACTAAGACTTATTATTCAGTAACTACAGGGACTTCAATGCAAACGAGCTGAGCTATGCTTAGATTATAGAAGTGTGTAATAACGCGTTGGGCCTGTTGGCGGGTCCTGGCCATTTAAAGGGTTAATAAGTTTATACAAGTAAAGAGCAAACATGAAGCTGGAACTTGACATTTAACAGCTTTCTCAGAGTAAGTGCATTTACATGCACCCAATAATCTGATCATAATCAGATTTCTGCAGTCATCTGATTCAGATGGTTGTGTAAACAGCACACTCCGATTTGTTAGATCAGATTAAGATCTATAAATCTGATCAAGAAATCAGATATAGAAGCTGGATTTTATCTCAGTAATCAGATTTCTCAGTGCTGTAAACTCTTACTCTGATTTCTTTTGGATTTCTGAGTCTGAGCATGTGTGAAAACAGACCGCGGTACCAGACATAAGCGAGCAGCGTCGCCGCGAGACACATCAAAACACTTTTGGAGTGAAAATAAACCTGCTTGAGAAAATGAAGGATTTCATTTTTTAGGGTTTTTTTTTTGTTCATCTTCTAGATGATGTATGTTCATATTTTCAGGTAAAGTGGTGTGATGTTGTTAAAAAAAGCCACGGTATGAAGTTTTACATTATGTTTACGGCACGTCTTCTTCTGTGAGTTTATTGGCTGGTTGTAAAGCAGAAATCTGATTACTGTCTGACTCATGTAGACCTGGAGTTTCCCCATTATCTGATTACTCAAAAGCATATAAACGCGTTGATCGGATTACTGACAAAATCTGTTTTTCCAGTTATCGGATTATTAAGTGCATGTAAACACCCTCTGTGATGAAGTGTGTAGAAGGGGTTGCATAGACTAATCAACTAGTTCGACTAATAAATATCCAAATCGGTGCTGTGGGCAACAGTTGAAGGCAGTGTCTGAAATACAAGTCTGTTTAGCGTGATACGCGCAATGAAAACAAATCTGGAGTAGCGGTCAGCAAACACACGAGGATCTTGTTTACTTGCTACTTCCTGTTTCAAACACAGTTGAGGAAGTAGATTAAAATGGTATTGTGAATGTTGACTGGGCTGATGTTTCACTTTGAAAGGCTAACTGGTGAGAAGACACACCTGCTACTTCATCAACAGTCATGAGCTTCCCATCAGACAGAGCAGAGACCAGAGCCAGCTTAAATTCTCAGTGAGAGGAGATTCTGAGAGCTGTGGTGATTTTAGCGTACAGTGTACATCAGACCGTGTGTGTAGCTCAGTGGGCAGAGAGTCTGAGGCTCAAACTCACTGAAATGTAACAAAAACTCCTCACACCTCAAACCACAGCATCTGAACAATGATTGTGAGAGTAAACATTGAAAAATAATTGGAAACATAAGTCTGATTGACCTCTGGTCAAATTTCATATTATTGTTGAGTTTCTAAGTGAAAATAAGTAAACACATCCTCTACAGCGGACACACTTAACCCCTTAAAAGTCCAGGGACCACCGGCAGGCCCAAAGTTTTATTACTTCTATAATCTAAGAATATCTCAACTAGTTTGCACTGAAGTCCCTGTAGTTACTGAATAATAAGACTTAGTATGGAATAAGAGGTTAAATATGACATTTTTATGCAAATTTTAGTGCTCAATTTCTGTTTGCTTGTTGAGTTTCACATATTGAGAAAAAACAAAATATATAACGTGCCACATCGTTTGCACAGGCTGCTTTTTTCCTATATGTTGAATTCAGTAAATAACAGTCTCTGTAAAGGATGTGTAACTTATTCACACTCAGAAGATCAGCTAAATGTGGAATTTGAGCAGGGGCGCACAAACTTTTGCACACAACTGTATAACAATAAATAAATGTTTTGTACCAAACTGGACCGAACGTATCGGGTTTGGAGTGTTTTAGCTTTTCCCACAGTAAAAACTAGCTTAGACTCATAGCCTGTAGTCCTGCATGCGGTCCTGACGCATAACTGAGTGTGTTAGAATTACGGCACTCAGTTAGCACCATGCTAATTTACATGCTAATAAACTTACATTACTTGTTAGCCACATTAGCCTCGTTGCTCCAGCGCTGAAACTAAAGACACAAACGTCAAGTGGCAAACAAATCGCTGGTCAAACACATTTGGGGTAAAGTTGGGGGGGGGTGTAGTTAGATTTTTACTGAACTATCGCTTTAATGCTGGGCTAAAAGGCTGCAGTCCTGACAGGATGAGCCTGCTGAACTTCCTCTGTGCTGCTGAACTCAGGGAGCTGTACCTTCTCACTGCAGGCCTGGAGGTGGAAACCGATCCAGATGACCAAAGAGCGCCAGTTAAAAGTGCCTGCTTTGATCTTACTCTGATCTGCGTTTTATACCTAAGCTGTGAATTTTGATTAAATGTTGATTTGCTGTCCTGGCGTCCACAATCTGTGCACTTTTATATGCAATTTTCCTTCAAAATAAACTTTATAATTTGTCTAAATGTCGTCTGCTGCTCTTCTGTATAACTCTGTGTGTGTCTCCAAGTGCTAAGATTTAAAGGAAAAAACAGAAATAATAGTTACGATTCACTTCATGCTGCAGTTAACTGTTACTAGGTGTCCACTGAGGCACTGATAGGAGCTTAATTAGCGATCCTCAGTATAAAATAAGCAGGACCTTGTTAGTTATGAAGGATCCCACATATGACAATAAAATTTAAGGTTTAAGGTCTTTTTAAGGTCTAAGTTGTCATTAAATCAGTAACTGGTGTAGACAATACAAACCACCTAATAAAGGAAGATGATCAGTCTGCGATCAGCTGAGCAGCAGCTGAGGAGACACTTTAAATGTAAGTATTGAGTTTAAACAGTTGAATAACTAAAGATACAAATGTTAAAAAAGCCAATGTGGTCTGAAGCTAAACTATTGCAACATGCATAAAGTAGACAGAGACGCATCTCCAGCTCTAATAAATGAAAAAATAAAACTAACATCAAAGTTTCTGGCTCCGTCTTTACGGAACTTTAAAAGAACTTGACAGGAACGGCGTTGCGTGATGCAGCAGTGAGGGCGGGAACAGCAGTGCTGTAACGCAAACAGGAAATCCGTCGTAGACCGTGTCCTTCGAAAGATGCAGCCCCTGAATTGGGACACAGTTTCTAACTACCTCATGGCCTCTCCAGACTTCCTTACTCTACAGGGGAAAGAAGGGTGTATTATTAGGGAGAGTGACAACTTACTTTAGGATGAACCCCAACAGGGTCCTCACTTCTGTTTAAGGTCCGTTTCTATGGTTTTTAGGCAGCTGAGTCAGCAGCATAGTTCACTACCAGCATAATGAGCTCCATGTATTTCTACTGTAAAACGCTGCTTTCACTGTGAGATGATTTTCTTTTCTAACTCTGCGTTTTAAAGATCTCAGACGCTGCAGACTTGATCTCCACCGCCCCTCTGATCACCTTCGTGTGTTAATGTTGATGATGAAATATTACAGCGATGGTGGTGAATAATGAGGAGACGGAGCTGAACGTGTGTCTGTTTATTAGGAGGAGTAACGTTAGCGCGCTCGGCTAAAGCGTTTGGGAAACGGAGACTGAAACTGGGGGGCAGCGATGCTCTGATAAACAGCAGGGGGCGCTCTCACAGTATTCACAACCTACAGTTTATCACACTTTAGTTTAGTTTGAGCTTTTTTATATACCCATAACTAGCTGCCTGGCTGACTAGCTTGATTATTTTGATTATGTGCTGTGTGTGTGTGTGTGTGTGTGTGTGTGTGGTTGGTTGCTAGACAACATACAGGACAGCTGATTGTAGACACACTACTGCTCATTTTACAGCACAGTTACATATGACTGTAACTTCTAATTGACCTGCAGCTTGTTTGGTCAGATTCTGAAGAACACAGTGACCGCAGGCCTGCTGTTCTATTCTTCTGTGTTAACACTTCTTCTACAGGCCTCTGTTGTTGTATTTCAAGATTAATAACACACACTTTTTAAGCACAAGACAGTTTTGGACTGCAGGCAGGTCAGTCTGGCACCAACACTCTCTGATTATGCAGTCAGAACTGTAAAAGAGAGAGAGACAGAGGGAGAGAGAGAGAAAAGGCACCTAAATGAGGTCCAGATTGTGTTGCTCAGTGGTTTGGAGATCTGAGCTCAGTGTTCCTGCCTCCTCTGGCCTGACAGGACAGCCAATGATATTGAAGAAGGAGGCAGCTCTGTGTGCGTGTGTGTGTGTGTGTGTGTGTGTGTGTGTGTCTGTGTCTGTGTATGTATATATGTGTGTATTTAGCTGTTTGTTGGGACCAAGTCCTCCTGCGGTCATGATAACATGAATGTTTTGTGGTTGTGGGGACATTTAGTTAACGAAATATAGACGCTCAAATCCAGATTCAGTGAAGCTGATTGTTTATCTGCTTCCCCCACAATCAGCTTCTGTCTCTGGTGTTCTTAACTAACTAGAGCTGCAGCTCTGCTCTGCCTCAGGGTGGCGCTGTAGCAGACTGGTTCACCCAGTTGGTCCTTCATAGCCTAGAAACTGTAACTCTGCCCGGATTCCTCTGAAAAACTTTACAATGAGCTGCAGCAGATCTGTAAATCTGAAAACTCGCCCAGTTTCCCAAGAGTTTGGAGTGAAGAGTGACTGTTCCTCATTTCACACACTGAAGACAGAAGAGGAGACGAGGAAGATCTCAGTTACTGTGAGGAAGAGCGCAGAACCGCACTAGAACAGAGACTCTACAGAAGAGGAGACGAGGAAGATCTCAGTTACTGTGAGGAAGAGCGCAGAACCGCACTAGAACAGAGACTTTACAGAAGAGGAGACGAGGAAGATCTCAGTTACTGTGAGGAAGAGCGCAGAACCGCACTAGAACAGAGACTCTACAGAAGAGGAGACGAGGAAGATCTCAGTTACTGTGAGGAAGAGCGCAGAACCGCACTAGAACAGAGACTCTACAGAAGAGGAGACGAGGAAGATCTCAGTTAGTGTGAGGAAGAGCGCAGAACCGCACTAGAACAGAGACTCTACAGAAGAACAAGTGATAAGACAGACATTTTTGTACCTTTGAAGTGTCATCGTCACTATGGAGAGTGACCCCCAAAACCAGGGGGGTTTGACACACTGACTAAATTGAGTTTGGTTGAGTTGAGTTTGGTCTGTTTGGGTCGGGCTGGGTTAGGTTATTCTGATTTGGGTTAGGTATGGTTAGGTTGGGTTAGCTTGGATTGGGTTTGGTAGCATTAGTTTGGGTTGAGTTCAGTTTGAGTTAGGTTGGGCTTGGTTGGGTTAGGTGGGTTTGGTTTGGTTAGGCTGGGTTAAGTTGGGTTTGGCTAGACTGGGTTAAGTTGGGTTTGGTTAGACTGGGTAAGGTTGGGTTTGGTTAGGCTGGGTTAGGTTGGGTTGAGTTAAGCTAGGTTTGGTTAGGCTGGGTTAGGTTGGGTTGAGTTAAGCTAGGTTTGGTTAGGTTTGGTTAGGCTGGGTCAGGTTGGGTTGAGTTAAGCTAGGTTTGGTTAGGCTGGGTTAAATTGGGTTGAGTTGGGATAAGTTTTTTAATTTAAGGTTGTGTAAGATTTACAGATAAAAATGTAGCAGTAATGTAACCAATCAGCGCTCAGTAGCAGTAATGTAACCAATCAGCGCTCAG